GAGATACCCCCTAATTACATAAAATGGGAAATTGGTAAACATGGTACTAGTTCCCAATATAGTTTAGTTCTGACCGTAAATTCCTAAATCGGCTAGCTGACCGCTAAATTCTCGAAACGGTTAGTGTGACCGCGAAATTTAACGGGGCAGGTTTGCCGAGCGACGACGACGACAATGTCGACCATTTCTCGACGCCACGGAGAAGAATATCGTGGAGAGCGATCGTTAAGATTAATACTATACGTATAATGAAGACATCGAACAAATATCTAATCGAAAAGTTCTATATTTGCCTTAGTAAGTCTAGTCGAAATTCCCTCTATGGCTAGGGCACCTAGAAATCTAGGCCGGACAACCCTCTTGCCTTACCTATGATCGAACACTAGTAAGGTCCCTCAATTCTATCGGTTCGACTGAAACTTAGTGTGCCCACGAAGTTTCGTCCTTGATAGGTCAACCACGATTTGGTGTCAATTTTGAAGCAGTTTTTGGCATTATAAAATATAAACTTGTTTTTTTTTTTTTTAATTTTGGAACCACCCGGTTGCAGCTTGGCGTTGTGCGGCGACGCCAAGACCGTCGTGCTAGCTGATCACGTAAGCATACGGCTTGGCAAAAGTCACGTGATATTGTCATATGGAAGTTCCTACCGCGTCGCCATCGGATCCAGTCTATAGGCACTCTACTCGATATCGACGTGATCTACCCATCGGATCCAGTCTATGAACCATATGGCCCCCCCCCCGGAGGGTGCGCCCTTCCTACTCGACATCGACATGGTCCGTAGATTGGATCCGATGAGTGAACCACCCTACGGATCAAATATTTTCCGAACCACCGCCGTCGGATTAACTATTTTTCCAACATACCATTTTCGGATTAAATATTTTCCGGCCTCACCCTCATCGGATCCAATCCGTGGACCATGTGCCTCCCCGGGCTCCCACTCGTGGTTCATGGATTGGATCCGATAAAGTCCCCCCGTCGCTCATCGGATCCAGTCTGTGGGCCACCCAGAGAAGCTCTACTAATCATACTCGAGATGTTTCGTAACCGAGCGTGAACGACAAGCCTCGATGTCGAGATGATCCATAGATTGGATCCGATGGGTCGTAGTATTTCATCGGATCCAGTCTGTGAACCACCCAGACAGGCTCTACTAATCGCACTCGAGACGCTTCGTAACCGAGAGTAAACGACAAGCCTCGACGCCGAGATGATCCATAGATTGCATCCGATGATTCGTGGTATTTCATCGGTTTCAATCTATGAACCACCCAGAGAAGCTCTATGTCATGGCACAACCTGGAATCCCCTCGAACGGTCTTAGCAGGCCCACTGTAGCTGTCGAATAGCCTCGTGTGCCTGCTCATAGCCTCGTGCGCTTGCGTGGTAGCCTTGTAGCATGACTGTATCGCTGGCTATAAGTATCTAGGATGGGTTTGTGTAACAACAGTACTAATGGAGGGTGTGAAGAGAGGGATCATAAATCGTTGCGAGCGTGCAAGGTAGAGTGTGGAATGGCAATGTACTGAAACCTGTCTCTATCTAAGGGTTCGAAGGCTCTTCTTATACCTTCGATCCGTTCATCTTCCTGCCTCCTTTTCAACGCCCAGTCCCCTTCCTGCCACCTTCGCAGTGGCTGGGAATTCGTGGCGTGATGGGTGTTACAGGAGCGTACAATGGGGTCGATAAGGGCACTCTTCTTCATCGACTAAGAGAAAGACGGATCCCCGAAAGCTTAGTGCGATGGATCAATAACTTCTGCAGCGAGCGCAAAGCGACGATTATCGTTAACGGTCAGAAATCGCCTGTCTACGATCTTCGACACCCAGGACCGCCTCAAGGGTCGCCACTCTCGCCTATCCTCTTCCTCTTCTTTAACGCCAACCTAGTCCAGAACGTCATCAACTCCAACCAAGGATCGATGGCATTTGTGGACGACTACTCAGCATGGGTAACGGGGGCGACGGCGGACGATAACACACGCACAATCCAAGAGCGATTCGTGACTAAGGCGGAGGCATGGGAAGCTAGCAGCGGAGCGACATTCGAACCAAAAAAGACGATATTTATCCATTTCACGTGTGCAATCGAAAGGCGAAGCGATCGACCGTTAATTATAGGAGGCGAGGAGGTAGCCCCTAGTACATCCGTCAAGATCCTAGGAGTGGTGCTAGACCAACAGCTACGATTCGATGCACACGCGTCTCGACGTGTGGACAGCGCGACCCTCGGCGAAGACCTTGAAGCTACTAGAACCCATTCAACGCATGGCAGCGCAGACGGTCGTGGGAAGTTTCGAACGGTGGCTCTATCAATAGCACAGGCCGAAGCGGGCATCGAGCCACTAAGAATTCGATGGCAGAAGCAGTCGCTTCGCACGTGGACCAACCTTCACATGTTACCGCGTAAACACCCATTCTGGAAGAGCAAGCGTCGAATTGATATAGATAACAAGCGATTCGTGTCCCCCCTACAACTCCACGCCTCGAATTTCAAAGCTATCGACTTAACACACATCGAGACTATCGAACCGTGGTGCACGGCGCCCTGGACAAATCACCTAATTGTGCACATCGATAACGACCTGGACGTAGCTATCGACGAGGCGGAGAGGAGAACGTCCGACCCACAAGCCGAAGCGGTATTTACTGATGCTTCGGCACGTAATAATCAAGTGGGGATCGCGATCGTTCACTCGAGGGGCACGATTCGCCAAACCATCGGGACAGAAAACGACCTGAATGCCTACGCCGCGGAGCTTGTCGCCATTTACTAAGCGGTAGCGATTACCCGCTACGACGCGAATATGCACTCGAGAAGAGGGCGAAGGACATACACGGTCCTAACGGACAGTCAGGCGGCTCTTAAGGCATTAGCACGACCCCGACAGCAAAGTGGCCAATTCATTCTACGAGCCATTCTCGACCTAACTCGAGAATTTCGAAGGGAACAAGGCATCGATATCACCTTTCGCTGGGTCCCCGCCCACGCGGGCGTCATTCTTAACGAAACCGCAAACGAACAGGCCCGTCGAGCGACGGAACCGGAGAGCCAATTAGAACAATCCCGTCTACCCAGACTACTGACAGTAGCTCGACGAGCAGCAAAGATCGAATTTACGATGAACGAAGCAACATTCACGGAAAGGCGCGTTTTCCAGCGACAGCTCGATCAAGCTCTACCAGGCAACCACACACGGAAACTATACGACTATCTGTGTAAAAGGGACGCGAGCCTTCTAGCACAGCTGCGCACAGGCAAATGTCGACTAAACCACTATCTGGCTCGTATTAACGCGATCGAATCGGAGGTGTGCGTCTGTGGAAGAGAAGCCGAGTCGGTCCGACACTTCCTCTTCCGATGCCCTCGATGGGTAAGTATTCGAGAAGAGAAGAAACTAACAAGAAAACCACGATGGGGAGACCTTACGTTCTGGTTAGGGGCGTGGTCCGACAGACGAGACAGCAACGGCGAATACGTAGATGGGAAGATGGGCAAGTGGAAACCGAACCTAAACGCTGTCAAAGACATACTAGAATTTGTCAAGGCTACCGAGAGGTTAGATTGGACACCAGAATCAAGGTAACAGAGGCGAGGAGACAAAACGGCTACTCGAAGGGGATGCGGAAGAGGAGGATAGTATTCAATATGGCGGTTCTGCTGACTAGTCGATATTATGACGGTCAACGCTCGAGAAAGCGCTCTCGATGATAACTGCCAGCTTTCGAAGATTAGTATCCTCAGAGACCGTATCATCGACAGCCGTGTCGAGAAGCTGAGAATTCGAAGGCCGAGACAAGAAAGGGATTGGAGGTCTAGGAACTGGGTGTGGAGACTATAGGATAGACGAGCACGTGATAGAGCTAGTTCCCAATAGGCCTAGCGGCCTACACGGGCGTAGGAATAATTAATCAATCAATCAATCACATGTGTCTTTCACGTGATGTGATAATCCTGTTCTCACTTCTCGGCCGCGGTCTGCAGACGAGGCAAAGAACTAAAATGGCACCTTGCTCGACACCGGCTTACGCCTGGGTCGAACATCAACGGTAAAGGGAGGCCGTCCAACTGAGTCTCGGGCGTTGGGTATCCGAATCGTACTGATCCCCGCTATCCGAATCGTAATGGCAGTGAGTTCAACCTCCCATTCTCCTGCGGTGCTTTTGCCACTTTTTTGAACTTGCTTGCCGTCGCTGGGTCCTTGCCAACACCATCTGTTCTTCTCTCCCCTCAATTTCGATTTCAGCAAACACTTGCATCCATTGTCTCAAGCGGCCGAGGACCGTCTTTCATTCAACATGGCTCCTGGCTCGGCCATCATCGATGTCTTGAGAACCCAAATCTCTCCGTCAGCCCTTGGAGTCACTTGCATTTTGATATTGTGCACACTACTTTTTTTAAACTCGGAGAATTCCCTCTACAAAGGATTCGAGCCCATTGGAGTCGAAAGAAATGCGTGGACTTATGGTGAGGCCCGGAAGAGATACATCACCAACGCAAAAAGTATCCTGTGGGAGGGTCTAGAGAAGGTCTAGTCGACAACGTCTCCGGCAATGTAGATGCCCCATGCTAATATGGCACAGTGTCAAGGCTCATTTCAGGTGGTCACAGCGTCCGGCCCAAGAATAGTTCTCGATGCCAAATATTTGGATGAGTTAAAGAGCAGCCCCCACGCGGACTTCGCCAAAAACAACGCAAAGGTGAGCCCTCCTGGATGCCTCGTACACTGGCGCTCACACAAGCAGGTTTTCTTCGGTGATTATCCTGCACTAGGATGCTTCGGAGAGCAGGGAAATGGCGAGATCATTCAAGACGCTGTGCGCATCAAGCTCACGCAGTCACTAAGTCGGCCTCCCCACGGCGTACCCTTTGGGTTGATAATCGAGCATATCAGATCGCCTAACACCGATTCTCAACGAAGAGGCACGCATTGCGTGGAAAGAACTCGCCGGAGACCCGGAAGGTGGGTGCTCATCCAGCTTTTACCCTGACCTGTCGTTCTGTGTGCAGTGCGTGATTGGACATGGCTGACTGTGTGCCAGAATGGCGCGACTTTCCTGTCTGGTCGAATGTGCTGCAACTGGTTGCTCGAGTCTCAGCAGTAACATTCATTGGGCCTGCGCTGTGCCACGATAAAGATTGGCTCGACTTGTCCGTCCACTACGCCGTCGAAGCTTTTGACTGCGTGCGTGCCTTGCGCCTGTGGCCAAAACTCACACAGCCTTTTGTCCACTGGTTTCTTCCCGAGTTCCGTCGACTCCGCGGACGACATGGTCAAGCCCGTCGCATCATCGAAGGCGAATGGAAGAGGCGTCAACTTCTTTCTGCCTCGGGGAAACACGAAGTGTACAACGACGGGATGCAGTGGCTCCACGAAACGGCAAAGGATCGTCCCTTCGACAGGACCGACTCACAACTCACCCTAGCATTTGCTGCCATTCATACAACATCAGACCTTATCACCAAGGTTATTTTCGATATTGCCGCTCACCCAGAGATCCTTGATCCGCTCCGAGAAGAAATGGTTGCTGCACTTGCCGGTGGATTCACAAAGTCGGCTCTGTATAACATGAAGCTCCTTGACAGCGTCTTGAAGGAGTCGCAAAGGCTTAGCCCATCATCATACGGTATGTCGTACGGTCAATCCTTTGATGGCGTTGGCATGGAAGCGACTCTACACGCGTGGCTCGTCCTGACTATATCACAGCACCCTGCACGCGGAAAATCGACAAAGAGTTCAAACTTTCGGACGGAACTGTGCTTCCCAAGGATGCCCAACTTGCGTTTACCGCAAACCGCAACTTCGATGCCAGTGTTTGGCCCAACCCTGACAACTTCAACCCCTACCGTTTCCTCGAGCTTCGCAATAAACCCGGAAAAGAGAATGCCTGGCAGTTTGTCACTGCCCAAGTCGATCAACTGGGGTTCGGGACTGGCCAACACGCATGTCCGGGCCGTTTCTTTGCCTCGAATGAAGCGAAGATCGCCCTGTGCCATCTGCTGCTCAAGTACGATATCAAGCTAGCAGGTGCTGAGCGACCCAAGAACATGACCATCGGCGCTGAGATTGTAGCTCCTGTTCTTGACTCGATTCGTATCAAAAGGAGGTACGATCTCGAGGCTGCGTTACTCAAATAAGAATGTAGAACTTGGTTTGAGCCGAACCCCAAGGACCATCCATCAAAACAGCGGTATTGTGGCTTCGAGGCGGGCTTGCAATAGACAGAGGCGAGAAGCCTGATTCCCACCACGCCAGTTCCTGATCTAATAGCTCACGTCTATTAGAAACAGTGCCGGTACCTAGATGGCCCCTTACTCTGGGTGGAGCTTATTTGAATTTGGAATTCCAACCGATGCTTCACCAGCGTGTCCGTGGGAACTCTAAGGAAGCCAGCTACTCAGCCCTCAGTATTTCCGGTCCATCTGCGTCTCGAGCTGCAGGCGTTTTTTGTGAGGTGTTGTTTGTTGCGCGGCGGTAGTGACGACTGGACTCTTCGGAGACAGCAACGGAGGGATTTACATATTCAGTTGCCCATCGCGTGTGTGGCAGTCAGAGACTAGAATAGTATGGTGTTTCCGAATTACGTGATAGTACAGGCATCACAGTGGCAAAAAAGAAAATACTAATGCTAGCCTGGACGACTACTTGAACTCTTCTTGAATAACCGTCCCATCAAGGTCGTCTTTCGTGGTGGAGGCTCCTTCTTCAGCCTTCATCTCGGCAGCTTTCTGGGACCCGGAATCCTCAAACTTCAGATGCTGAGCTCTGTGCTTCACCATCACAGGGGAAAGCTGTTCTGCGTCAGCAGGTGTCTGGTTTGTTGGGATGAACTGAGACTTACATCCTTTGTGAGAGCGGCACAAACAAGTCCCACAAACATGAATACTATCGCTACGTACCATATCCAGTTGAAAGATTGGATGTATGCCTTTCTGGAGGCCACCGTCGAAGCCAGGATGATTTTGTCGGACACTCCTGGTACAGAGGTGATGGGCGTTGTCGTTACGACGCCCATCATGATCTCGATGAACTCCTGTAGGGAGGTCTTGGGTAGTCCGTTCTCAAGCGCTGCCGTAGCTATCGCCGTTGGAACAAACTGTGCAATCTTGTTCTGCAGAACGGTTTGAAAGATGGCATTGCCGGAAGATCCTCCCAAGCTCCGGAGAAGAGCAAGACTTCCGCTGGCAAATCCTATCCATTCGTCTGGGGCGGAATATTGGATGAGAATGATGGTCAGCAGTTCGATCACCCCGAGACCTTGCAGAGATCAGCGTCGCCTTGATGTCAGTGCAGTTGCTGACATACCTGCTGCTCCGAGGAACGAAAACGCCCACGGTATACTTTTGCTGTTGAACTTGGAAAGAGCGAGCATCGGGAGGAAGATGATCTGCAATAGGGGGCCAGCAACCAACAGAGGGGTGGTGCCAATCTTGGGGCCTAGCCACGGTAGCAGAAAGCCCACCGTGAGACCTCCAAGTACGTTTCCCGTTCCCAGTGGGATGCTGTCAACCCCAATCCCGACGATATCGCTTCCGTCATAGACGGAGGCCAGGAAGACGGGGAAAAGCGCAAAGATGGAGTAGTACACCATGCCCGTGGAAAAAGTCACAATCAAGATCATGGTAAAAGTCCTGACTCGCTTCCACAAGAAAGGATGGAGCATCGGCTTCTTGGGGATGGAAACTTCATAGAAGCCCAGGCAGATGAGGATGGCAACTCCGGCAAGGAAGGGGGCGAGGAACCGGGCACTGCGTGCCCCGTACTGGGGGATCCAGATGATCCCGAGGAGGACAAGAAGAGGTCCCGCCTACAAATCGAGACGGTTAATCCAAGTGAAAAAGCCACGTTTAATATTGTGCTGCACTTACAATGATGGCAAATAAGCCCACGTAGTCGAACTCGGCGACAATCTGCCTTGCGGGAGTCTCCTTTGTGGCGAGAGGCTTTGCCGGGAAGTAGAAGAGGAAAGTAGCCACGACACCAAAGATATTCATGGCCAGGATCATCCAATACACCGACTTCCAGCCTAAAGCAGTGTTTGCAAGCAGGGCATGAGCGATCAGCGAGCCGGCGATGTTCCACACCGCGGAGAGGCAGTTGACAGCGGAAAAGACGTATCCTCTGTTCTTTGTGGACACCAGTTCGTTGATTGACGCCGGCAACAAGCTTGAACCGGCCTGATTGAAACCGAGAAAGACTTGCGCCGCAACCACTGTAGCGTTGTCAGCCATGCCAACCTTTTTGATCCGACAGAAACAACTACTTACCCTGGCCCACACTGTGGGCGCTCAGCGCTATGATGCAGGAGATGATGGCGCTGATGCCGGTGAAAAGAGACACCCATCGACGGCCGAAGACGTCGCCGACCTGCCCGAGAACAATGGCGGCGGTCCCAGAGGCCAGTGTCGGGGCTGACAAGAGCCAGGAATATAACGATGATGGGCCAAGGTCGGCGTTGATGTTGGAGAGCACCGAGTTCACAGTATACACTCCTCCCAAAGCGATCTGGAAGAGCATGGCGAGAGATGCAATGGCAATCCATCGTTGGAGGTTCGAAGGGACGAACCGCGGTACAATGCTGCTGATTACTCCAACCTGGTGGTTGGCCTTTTCCATGGTGACCCTGAGTGCTGGTGGCGAAAGAAACTACCGTGATGGTCAGGACAGGCTGTTCCAGTGGTGGTTCTATATGTGCGAGGACCGTCGCCTCGGGACCAACGCAAATCTTAGACGACTCGTAGAGAGTCCAAATTTTGTAGTATCTACTGTGAAATTTGCTCAACTGTGGCGCGTTTGTGGAGTTTTCTGGGGCCCCGGATCCGGTCCAGCTAAGCAATATTTTATTGGGGCAGACTACCCTCGATGGCCCTTGATGGTGGGACCTGGCAGGGGTCTTCCCTTCTCGGCTAGGCGCCCCGACATTGGACGAACAGACTGGACTGGTCCAGGAGTAGAGTTTAGGTACTCCGTATAGTACGAGTCGTACCTTGTTGAGCTTACGCGACCCTAGCCTCCACGTTTCCCCTTCCAACTTACGAACCACTACGGGCTACGCTTTCGGCGAGCACGGTCAAGCTCTTCCATGACCGGCCTAGACTCTCCTTGTTGTTTATTCTGCTGCTCTTGGAGCAGAGTCTAGACCAGTTGTAGGTTTTTTACGCCTCCCGTCTTAGGTATGTGTCTTGCCAATCTTGATTTCATGCTCGAATGAGGAATATAGCACTCTACAGCATCACAGCTCAGGACAGACTGAGTCTCCTGAGATCATCGGACCCTATGCTTGGTCTCGCGCAAGAAAACCATCGGCCAGCTGCAGCACGTGAGACTTGCTTGTTTCCATCCCCAGTTGGCTGTGGATAGTGGATGGACTTCCCCGAGCCGTGGGGGTGTCATACATCTCGATAGAATAGACAGAGTCAGGGGTGCTTGTTTCTCCATATATTCCCAGGAATACACCGTCGTTGAGATTCCGTATTCTCTCCAGATCGCCTTGAAGTCGATCGATGCCACCCGCCGGAATACTAGCTAGTGAGAAGAGGATGGTGGAACCTCTACCATTTCTTCTCGATCCATTCATAACGGCAGCGATCTCCTCTAACGAGTATATCTCTGGAGATGACTGAAGGAGCGTCCCGGAGGAGAATAATGTCAGTAGCTGCTGGACAGGCTGTGTGGCCATATGACTCTGCAGTGCCAGTTGATCGTTGTACCTTGATGTTTGTAGCAATTAGTAAGCTGGACTCTTACTTCCGGTGGGCCTCCATTATCTCACTCTTCTATCATATAGACTTCATTTGAAGCGCCTGCATTTTTTGGAAAGGCGATAGCATATTTAGATACACCCTTTTCCGAAGCTCGCACAAACTCCAATATCTGTTCAAGGTGCTTGATTAACTGTCGGCGAATTAGCTTTCCTTTTGTTGGGAAGTATACGATGGACAAAGACGGGCCACAAACCTACGTACCTCCTCCCGTGATTCTGGACTACTTGCACGCAAGCGAGCAACCATTGTGATGGGCTTCATTACTTTGAGAGAGATTCGGGACCCAATGTTATCCACTCTCTAAAGACAATGTGTTCTTCTCGCAAACGTGCAGGCATCCTGCTACAGAAATATAGAATATTTAAGATAGATGATTCTTTTTCCTCGCCTTGGTGCCCATAGGTGCCTGTTGCAAGAGATCTACTAGTTTAAGTAGCAAGGTACGACTCGTACTGCTGATTAATCATGGCTTAGTCAACCCGTAGCCTCAGATGAAAAAAGACAAGGGTTGGAGTTGAGAATTGCGTTACAGGCAGATTTCTTTTTCCTTTCTCAAGCAGGAGTTGAATTTAGCCCACCTTCGAAACAACCTCTTTCTGATAACAGGGACAATCCATGTGACTCGAACCCAAACGCCCACCATGGATCAGTCTCCCCGCTCAATCGCTGTCCTCATTGGGAGCACCCGTACTCCTCGGATAGGGCCACAGGTGGCCAAGCTAGTTCTCTCTCTTCTAGAGCCAGAGGCACGAGCAAAACGGATGACTCTTTGCCTGGTGGATGTGGCGAGCTTCAACCTGCCCGTGTTCAATGAGCCCGCGGCGCCTGCCATGGTTCCGGCTTTCGCATCACACGTCCACGAGGCCACAAAGGCATGGAGTCGGGAAATCAGCAAGCATGCGGGGTACGTATGGGTCATTCCAGAGTACAACGGAGGACTGGCAGGGGGGACCAAAAACAGTATTGACTACCTGTACAATGAATGGCCCGGGAAGCCGGCCATGGTCGTGGGCTACGGGATTAAAGGAGGCCTGTGGGCCGCCGAACAGCTTAAGCAAACTCTACAAGTGATGAAGCTCAACGTGGTGGAGAAGCTTTCGACCCTCACCTTTGAGGGCGGCGCCGGAGCTGATCTGACATTGGCCATGCAAGGAGAGCTGGGCGCAGCAACCCGAGCCAAGTGGGAGGCGGAATCCGGACGCCTTCAGGAGGCTTTTCAGGATCTAATCGCCCTTCTGGAAGGGTAGACTCTTTCAACCGTGCAAAGCTCGGAGCGTTGTATTCTTATCCTCTAGATATAACCTGCCTGCTTAACCCAGATCAAAGAACCTACTTAATCCGGAGGACAATTTTACCGCACGCCCTGTCATCCTCCATGTACTTGTGGGCACTTCCAACATCTTCAAGATCGAACACTTTGTCGAGAAAGTACTCGGGCTTGAAGATGCCATCCCGGACTTTCTTCACCACGTCTATCATGACTTGTCGTGAGGGCTCCTCGTCTTCATCCATAATAGTATACGTGGTGATCTTCCTCGTCAGGGGAATCGAATCGGGATGGAAGTCTTTGATGGACCATTCGAGGTTGAGTACGCCGATGATGACCAGTGTGCCATGGAGTGCAAGGGCCGGTAGTCCCACCTCGATCATGGTGGAGATACCCACGAGTTCGATTACTGTCTTGACCCCTTTCGGTGCCACTTTCAAAATCGCTCCGCCCCGAAGCTCAGATTCGAGGAAGACATGGTCAGCACCGGCCGCCTTCATTTTCGGGATTTTGCTCGGGTTCCGGGTACTCGCAATGACCGTGCAGCCTTGGTCTTTGGCGAGGAGAATTGCCCACATGCCCACTGCACTGGAGCCACCGTGGATGAAGACGGTGTCTCCGTGGTTTGTGTTCCCGGCCACAAAAAGACTGCCGTATGCCGTCCACATGCTCAATGGGATCGCCCCTAGAACCTCCCATGACAGGTCTGCGGCGGCCTCGCCCAGCTTCCAGCACCGGCGATCTGGGCAGATAACGTACTGGCCGTAGCTGCCGTCGTATGCTTTGCCGCCCCCGTAGACGAGGCCACCTACTTTCTCGCCTTTCTTGAAGCGCGTCTGACTGCCGGCTTCGACCACTTCGCCCACAAACTCTTCGCCCAGGAGTTTAGGCGATACTGGTTGATATTCGTCGGCAAATATACCAAATTCTCGCGGATCGAGGTATTCGTTGATGCGGGCGCGCAAGTCACTACGCTGCATGCCTGTGGCGTAGCAACGGACAAGCACCCATGTTTGGGACGGCAAGGAGGGCCTGGGGTAGTCCTTCACGTAGGTGAATGCTTCTTGAGGCTGTCCTCCCAACTTGGTGAGAATAGCCGCATGCATGGTGCCCGATGGTGTATTGGTCCAGCTCGGCATCTTGACGTTTTTCTCGAATAATTCTTCTCCACGTTGACATTTGGGAAACGGACCAGATGGGGATAATATGCAGGAGAGTCTTAAGGAGGATCCTGCATCAAGATGGCAACCCCAACCTTGTACCCCACCGAATCGTAGTTTTAAGTGGTTCACAGGCCTCGGACCTCGTACGACATGAGGTTTACGACTAGGATTCAAGTAGCCGACAACGCTGAATGCTATTTAGAGTTCGACTTAGGCGGGTAACCTCTATTTCTTGATCAGCCTCAAGGTGCTCTCTTGCCGCAAAGAATTGAGTACTCTCGGCCCTCAGCGACCAATCCCATCCTTCAACCTCATTTGTTATTCTCGCCCATTGACATTTCAGCTTATACCTCCTGCTAATCAAATATTCGAGGTCTCAAAGGCAAACGGATACTGGTGGCTGGCGGCGCCACAGGCATTGGGAGAGCCACAGCCCTTCGACTCGCCGAAGAAGGTGCCACCGTCGTGGTCGGCGATTTCAACGAGGATGGCGCAAAGGACACGGTCCAACAGATTCAAGCCCGAACCCAGGCCAAGGCCAAATCGATCTTCTTCGACTACTCAAACCCGAGCTCGATCAAGGAACTGGTTCATAGTGCGGTTGATTTCCTGGGAGGCCTGGATGGTCTTGTGAACGTGGGTGTCTTGGGCGCCAAAGCACAGGAACTGGACAAGGATATTTCCGAGATGGACCCTGAAGCTTGGTCATGGATTCTCAACGGCAACCTGGTTGGCTATGCGGTCGCTGTGCAGGCCGCGCTGCCTCATCTGATGGCCTCCGGGAATGGAAGCAGCATTGTTAACACAACCTCGGGCTCCATCTGGGGCGCCATGCCATTTATGCCAGCATACCAAGCTGCAAAGGCTGGAGTCCTCTCGCTCACAACGTACGTGGCTCAGTACTATGCTCCAAAGGGTGTACGCTCCAACCGTATCAGCCCCGGTCCAATCCCGAGCGATGCCGTAAAGACGAGGACCCCTCAGGAATGGTTGGATGGCGTCAAGGAGACAGTGCCATTGAGGCGATGGGGCGAACCTGACGAAATCGCGGCCTTGTACGTCAATGGACAGACCTGGAGCTGCTGTGGAGGGAAATATCTAAGAGACTGAGGGTGCCGTATAGCTGCTGACTTCGGTACGAGACAAGTCAATGCTGTGAATTTCGAGATCTCCTGGCTATGCTTGTGAGAGTAGAGTCCTAAATGTCTGATAACCCGCCCCCGAGATCAAACCCTGAGGAAAGAGGTATTGTAATGGATACATATTGAATACCAACGAATCGGCCAGGTCTACTTTCCCTACAGACGAAGGCTCTGAGCATGTTCATTCGAGGCCATACCACCTAGAAACCCAAGGACCTGGTATCTCCGGTACGAGTCTCCTCGAGGGTATCTTTGCCTCGTTCCCGTACGATTCGTAGTCTTCTGGTACTTTATAAGAATGAAACTCTCCCTTTGTAGTCTTACAGTGATGCATAATTCGCAAGTACAATCACCATCACTTATTCACCATGCCTTCGAAAAGACACGAAACGGCAATGAAGTTCCTCAGTTCTTGGGACCCCTTCACCGCCGACTCTCTCCTTGCCATCCGCACGTCCGACTGCACGCAGGGCTATACACCCGCTCCCGGCGGCCTCAAACCATGGACAAATCAGCAGGTGCGCGAGTTTTACGAGCCGCTCCAAGATGTGTTGCAACACACCCGCTTCGAGGTGCACGAGATGGTGGAAGATGCCGGCGCAAACAAAATCGCAATCCGGCTGAGTCTTACAACGACGTTCAAGCAAGCAGAGGTCGAGCCGTATGTTGGCACATATGTTTTCTTCCTGGATTTCAACGACACTCAGGACAAGGTCTCGCGGCTACTCGAGTTTTGTGACACGGCCAATACGCCGAACTTGATCAAGAAGATCAACCAGGCAAAGAAGGTTCTAGGGAGGCCCGGGATACCGATGCCCAGTGGTAATTCTTAGTATAGCTACAAAATGCCTAGCCTCTCACTTCCTTCCTAGCTTCTATCCATATCCGCTGATACATGGCATTCAACGTTTAGAATTGATTGATCTTAACGCCGAGAAAACATGCTTCTGTCTTTTACGAAGCGATAGTTTTAAGACTCGATGCCGTTTTGGCACAATTCAGTTATTCCCTGCGTTGAGATGTCCAACACTACTTACATTCATAATCTATTCTCGACAGATAAGTCTCCATCAGTGGTCCAAAGGCTGATTCCGGCTCTAGTATTGGGTATCCACCGCTGATTGACCAGCCCTTTCAATGAGCTCCTCGTGTCCTTTCGACCGTACACTGATTTTCACTGGGAACGGAGCGTGCCGGTGTTCGAACCAGTTAGTGCCCAAAGTATCAATCGGTTGGCCCTAAGCCTGCGGTTAGCATTGTAACATGCCGGGTTTTCCAAGTCTCCCCTTACCGGTATTTCAGAAAAGTTGAAACAGTATAGGAGTCGAGCTGCGGCAATCCAAAGGTTGGTGTCTCCAATGTGATACCCTGCGCAGGCGCGTCGCCCTATAAATCAGTCAGAAGGCTGTCCGCGTGGTCGTGGATGAGATTTTTCCTTGTCATACCGGGCCCAAACCCGTAATGGCCTCTGAGAGGATCAGAGAGGTCTTTCCCCATGTTGAGGTACCGGTCCGGCCAGAATCGATGGGGGTCTTTGTGTTCATCCGGGCTGAGGTGAAGGTTCCAGGTGTTGAAGGTGAAGAGAGTGCCCGCTGGAAATCTGTACCCTTCATATTCATCATCCTGGATTAGTAGGATTGGCGGTCCAAGTTCCGAGACAGGCCGCCATCGAAGGGCTTCTTTGATTGTTGCCGTGATATATGGTAGCTCGTTCTTGTCACTGAAGGATGGTAATCGCTCAGCATTGCTACCGCAGACGTGGTCCAGCTGTTTCTGGGCCTCAGCCACCCATCGGGGATCTGTAGCAGCTGCGGCGATAATCATACTCAAAATCATGCGCGTAGTATCACTTCCTGCTTCGACCATGGACCCCAAAGTTACCAGTCTCATGTTGTGGCTCAGCTTCTTAGAGGCTGGGTCTCTCAGAAACTTTGTGGCGAAACATTCTCGAGCCACGCCGGACGCCATTCGCCGCTCGAGGTTTGTGACTTCATTCTGATAGCAGCTAGACACTATGGTTAGTTGCTTCCTTCCAGAGTCAAGCAAGCACATACTCTAGCGTTTTCTTCCGCATCGCTAAACCTGCACGACGCCACCATTGAAGGAAGGTTGGAAGCTTTGCAAGCCATGGAAAGCCATCCACAATCCAGGCCCCTGGTTGTAGTGCTTCTGCAAAGTCCGCTGCACTTTCGAAAAGAGCAGTAATGTTCGGGTCTTCCAATTGCATCCGCTTTCCAAAGATGACACTCATGATGACGGCATTGGAAAATCTTTGATTTGCGGCATACCACTTCTCGGGGACGTGAAGATAGTCGTAAAGAAGGACTTGAGACTCCAACTCCTGAAAGGGGGCGTAGGTCGGCAGGTTCTGTCTATTGAGAATCCCGTGCATGATTTTTCGAGTTTGCCTCCAGGCGTCGCCGTAAGGTTGAAGCACAATGCGACAATCGTCCGACATGAGCGTAGATGCCATAGGGAACGGTGGCCGTGACGAGTAAATGGCGGACCTTCGCTCCAGCAGATCATTAACAACTCTGGACGAGTTTAGGAAGACCCAAGTGTGAGCTCCAAGCTTGCAAGTATACCTATGTGCCTGGTAAGATACTTCCTTCCCTCACGGATCGTGAGTGAACTAAGCTAGATACATACATCTCGCCGTACTTGTTGGCCAACTCCATGGCCCACGGACCCTGATGCCATTTGGGGACCTGGAGAGAATTCCCCAAGAATGGTATGCCTGGAACTCTTGGCGGTAGCCGATATTTTTTGTTGAAGATATATTTGTCATACCATATTCGAGCTGCAATCACCAGGGTACTGATGACGGTAATAAGTTGTAATTGCCAGCTGATCATCGTTAAGAAGAACCTCAATTTCGCATATATCGACTGAGGGAGAGGTGCTGACAAAAATGGAGAATAAAATAATACACGAACAGAATATCATGCATGGCAAGCGCACATAAGTACAGCCCTATACCGCTCTTCTTAAAATTACGTACGATTCGTAATACTTCACTTTGAGTGGGCTCGCTCTTGAGGGGCCCCGGTGTTGGATATCACGTTCATGGTGCGTCCCTAGCTACCCCACTGCTACTCCAAGTGGGGTACAGTCCCCCTGAATCAGGAGCGACTCAGGCATGGTCACTGCCGTGGCCCAGCCTGATCACACCTTCAATCGGGCGGCCCTGACGGCCGAGGAGCCCCGAAGAGTTACAAACATTTCAGTTATCTTTATTGACTTTTGCTTCACCATAGGGGCCACCAACAGTCCGGTCTTCTTAGCAAGTGAAAAGCATCCGATACGGATATGTACGAGAATCCCTTCAAAGCGATCAATATTTGGAGGGCTCTTGATGGTCAACATAGCCGACTAAGTAGCAGACTTTTGAAACGATCATAGATGTCGACTTCAACGTAGAGAGGTAAAAAAGTCTGCCGACCGAGTGATTGTGTCGGGAGAAGGCTTGATTGATATCGCCTTCCATTCTTCAAGCTCTGTTAGATTCCCTCGGACGTGGGAGTGAATGACGTTGTAGGCATCCGCACCGAGAGGAAGCCTCAGTGGAAGGCCTTTTTCACCGCGCTGTTGAACGGCGTCGAAGACGACTTTGGCATAATCCTCCGGCTTTCCCCAGCCTTTACTCGCATCCTTGCTGGATGTATATTCCTCAAACTTGTTGTATGGACATCCCGGGTCAAGGTAAGCCGGATGGCGTTGTCCCATCTCTCGCTTGGACACAAAATCGCTTCGGAGGCTTCCAAGCTGGATGATAAGGAACTTGATGTTCCAGTCCGGGTGCATTTCTTTGGAAAGCGAGTCTGTGTATCCCTCTAAAGCAAATTTACTGTCATTCGAATATGGTCAGCAATCACGTATTTTCAACTTTGAAGAGTAAGATGTTAAGTTTACCTGGCATGGTAGTATGCCGTTCCTGGAAAACATACTCTTCCGCCCATAGAGCTGATCTGAACGTACAAACCACCTCTTCTTGTTTTGACTGACCGAAATAATGGCAGGGCAGCCTGGGTGACATTAACCAACCCCCAGAAATTCGTCTCCATTTGTGCTCGAGCATCAATATCGCGAATGCTCTCGGTGTCGCCAAGGAGCCCATACCCTGCATTATTGACGACAACATCCAACTGCCCGAACTTTTTTATTGTTTCTGCCATGCATTTGTCGACCTGTGGTCGGGAAGTGACATCAAGTGAGAGTTTCAAAACTCGGGAATCGTCGGGTAAGTAGTCTATCATCTCGAGCTTTCGAGCCGTCGCCACGATAACATTGCCTGATTCGTAGACCTGCTTTGCCAGTGCCGCACCAAGACCCGATGAGCAGCCGGTGACTGTATCTAATGTTAGATGCAACTATATTGCTGGGCTCGATTTTGTAAGTACTAAACCAGACTTCTTGATCCTGGACCATTTTTGCCGGTATAATATCCGCTAGATACCGATAAAAGGGAAACCAGAGTTGTATCGAGATATCCGTTGTCGGTGAGGTGAAGATTAACACGCTGTCAAACCATTTGAAAGATATAAATCACGCTTTAGCGAAGCATGCGGCAATGAAAATAGATATGTAGCATACCCAAAGCTATGGGATGACTGGCTGGTTCAATGGACGCTAGTTCTTCCGGTGTAGATACGAATTTGTAGATACGACTCGTTACGACTCTCAAGGTCGACCTGAATGTTGGATCTAAAGCCACGTAGTATCGTTTCCTAATTTTCTTCCCCCAATACTCTCATGTTTTGCTTCAAGATATGTTTGGAACTGATCGCCCTCTACATTACAATGGGCAATTCCAAATTCCCGACCACTACGAACACTATGCCTTTAGAGATAGGAACTCTTCCGACTTAGCAGATATCTGACAGATCTCTACCTATCAGGACCCTGGTCTTCATATTTATTCTGGTAACCAGACATTTTCTCTGTCCTGGTATAAAAGGCATCATCTTTGACTGACGACTATACAGGCCGTGACCTACACCACGGGAAAGCTTTTATATAATGTATATTTTCATCCCCTTCGAAACTATCCTGGCCCCAAATTGTGGGCGGCTTCACGCGTGCCGTTCATTTATCACTCCACTGCTGGTAGACTACACAGAGAGGTTTTGAAGTTGCACAAGAAATACGGACAAGTTTGTTCGAATTGGCCCCAAGGAGCTTTCCTATACTTCCAAGAACGCCTGGAAGGAAATGTACAGCTTCATTCTCTTGATTTGTAGGTCTCATCTGATGTGCTTAGCTACGGACTGCGTGCGAATGAAATGCCAAAGGACATGAGAGGCTCTGGTCTTCTCCCCACTTTTGCCGAGGCACCAGCTATCAATACTGCTCCAAGAAAAGATCACGCTCGAATGCGTCGCATCGTCGCCCACGCCTTTTCTCAAAAGGCACTAGTGGAGCAGGAAGAACGTCTACAATACTACGTTGATGTTTTGATCTCGAAACTCAGTGAAGAATGTACCAAGGGCCCGCAAGATATTGTCCGCTGGCTCAATTTTACTACCTTTGACATTATGGGTGAATTGACGTATAGTAGATCATTTGGATGTTTGGAAGGAGGAAAGTACCATGAGTGGGTCACTATGATCTTCAAAGGCATCAAGATGCACCCCTGGATGCAAGCACTTCTCTACTACAAGTTGACCAGCCTGAGAGGGTGGTTGATACCCCATGAGATGGCAGCAGCAAAGCAGCAGACAGATCAAAGTGCTATCAAGACCGTGGACGAGCGACTGGCGAGGAAAGACACAATCGATCGAAAAGACTTTATGAGTTACATCCTTCGCCACAATGACGAGCGTGGCATGACCGATGCTGAGATAAAGCAAACAGCTATGATCCTTATGGTGGCGGGGAGTGAAACCACGGCCACGTTTCTCTCTGGTCTTCTATACCTCATCCTTAGGCATCGCGGAGTGTACAGAAGGCTTGTTCAAGAGATCCGGGATGCCTTTCCGACATATCAATCCATAGGAATGGTCAACACCAACTCTCTCCGGTACCTTTCGGCCGTGGTGGAGGAATCATTCCGTTGTTACCCACCTGCCCCAAACACACATCCACGGATTGTGCCAGACAAGGGCGAAGTCCTCGAGAATCAGTGGGTACCAGGAGATACAACTGTCGGGGTCAGCCAATGGGCCACGAACCATGACCCAGAGAATTTCTATCGACCAGATGACTTTTTACCGGAACGATATCTCTCAGACTCTGATCCCGCTCGGGATCCAGATGATGTCCCGGCCCATTTATTTGAAGATGACAACAAAGAAGTCGTGCAGCCTTTCTCAGTAGGCCCAAGAAATTGTGTGGGTAAAAAGTAAGTGGGTCTTCTACTCTTATTACCTAGACGGATTGCGCTCACTGTGTCGTTCTGATTTAGCCTTGCCTATGGAGAGCTCCGAATTATCCTGTCCAAGCTCCTCTGGTCATTCGACCTGAAACTGGACTCTCGAAGCGACAGCAGCAAGTGGATTGAAGATCAGGACACCTTTATGCTGTGGGAGAAGCCGCCCCTCTGGATCGATTTAACTCTGCGTGAACAAAAGGGCGCGTTAACACAACCCGCTCGCATTGCTTAGCCGCAGGCCCCCGAAAATTGTGATGAGGATGTCGAAAATGTCCGGCTTTTCCACACGATACATGGAAGATTCTACTCTACTCCACAGGCGCGCTTCGCTTAGCAGACAAATGAAGAGGCAAATGATCAAATCCAAATTGTCACTGGACTTAGCGCCGAGTCACCACGCTAGCTTGCTCGGTAAGTTTAAAACCTTGGGGCTAGAGGGCTCGTTCGAGAGTGGCATGGGTATCGTTTGCGATTGGCGGCGAGCGCGCACTGTCATCGCTGTTCCTCAGCCGAAGCATCGCAGCATTCACTGTGTTGACTGGAGCTAGAAGTGAACCAAGTACCTCGTACGAGGATATCGGTGGGAGAGTGACTGCTCGAGTCCTGCTCGTCTATGGAGGGTTCCAGGAAGACTGGGGTCCCCGAATGCGGGGTGCACCACTGCATTGGCGAGTCGAGCCACTGCATGAACTACGCATCATTCCACCCTGTATCTCTTGACCGAACCAACAGACTCCCTTACCAATCTGCCTCCGTATGACGTATGTGCCAAGTGGTAGCACATTGCTAGTTATAGTCCTAGCACCAAAGGCATGAGCCAACGGGGCACCGATTCTCATAGCTAAGAAACTCGCGCACATAGGGTCTCGGAGACAGCAAGACTCCCAAACGATGGCGTTGAAGGGCCTGCAGGCTGCATACTAAGTTAGGGGGTGGAGAGCCTTGGGAGGCTAAACCTAAAACTCGACCTGGGCCTATCCCGGGCCTTCGCTTACTGTTCCCCCCAAGCCTAAGTAGCAAGCCTCGGTTCTGGGCTCGGCTCCTCGATTGTCCTACGAGTCGTACCTTTACGACGCACTTTCAAGGTTGAATGCTGCTTCCCCTGGACAGCGATGGAGAATTATTGTCTAGCCAATGTCACCGCCATCGTGGAGACGCAGTCGGGCCTCGTTCTCGACCCTAACCACGCCCTGGCTGTGCACACTTTATGCACGGTTGTCCAGAATAAATGATTCCCGGGTAATCAGAACAGGACTGAGCCCTTCGGTGTTACCGTCCTCCATAAGTCTTGCCGACCGCCTAGACGCGGATGGATCCGGTACCGCAGAATGCCACGACTCGTAGGCGTCCAATGCGTTCTGACCCCAAGCCTCGAAAGGGCTAGACAGAGGCTCGATACAGTTCCTATTCAGAGACAGGGGGGCATGCAACCAGAGGGCGGTAAAACTATGTGCGAGTGGCGAGTACTAGCGAAAGTGGCATCTGTGGTGAGCATTGGCGCGCCTCCCCCGCTCCGGCTCACGAGGTGTGGTGGAGGTCCCCCGGACCCCGCCTGAGGCCTTGTGATCACAGTTGAGGGTGCGCTTCCAGGAGAGTTCTATCGCTGCATATTTCCTGCCCATCGTGCTTTCACAGCTAGCTCACCTTCTAACCAGCAAACACCATCTCTATCGCTTCCAGTATTACTTTCCCTCAATGTCATGCCTCGCAAACCAAGGAGCGAAAATCCCAAGGAGGGTAAGGGCAACTGGAAAACCAAGTTCACCCCACAGCAGCTGGATCGCAAGCGGCTGGTCGACCGTGTTGGCCAGAGAAGGAATCGAGAGCTTGTGAAGCGCAAAGTTACCGTCCTCGAAGAGCGACTGCGACAGGCGGTCCGGGGAGACCACAATGTCTTATTCCAGAATCTTGTCGAAGAAAACTCGAACCTGAGATCAACTTTGGACAAATTTGAGACCAAGATGGAGACTATCCTCCTGTTCACCCAGGAATGTTTGGGCATGGCCAACACGGCCTCAACCTCAGCAAATAACAGACGGACTTGTTCAAGTCCACATGATGCGCCATCAGAGCCAGCTGCTGAAGTGGAACAAGTGGCCACCCCTCCGTCCTCTGACGAAGACACCAATGATAGAGCGTACGACCGCATTGCATACGACAACTCTCTTCCCTTTCTCAGCTCTACCATGTTCCAAGGCACCTCCCTTCATCATCGGGAAAATATCCCCGTGCCTGCTCTCGAAGTGTCACCCGAGCAGATTGTTGAGCAAGTCTCCAATTGGAAACTTCTCAACCAGCACGGCCTAGGTTTCGACTTCCTAATTCGCAGCTGTGCCTTAGATAAGGAGCCGGTATTTTTGACCACGGGTATGTTCTAACTTGTTCTGCGCGCTCAGGCACTTTGAGCAGTGTATTGACAATTGGCATTCCCAGCTTCTGTGCGTCAAATCATTCAGTCCAAAACCTTCTACGAGGACATTCTTGACCGGCTCACGCCGCGGATTAAGCCGGCTTCGCCACCAATCGAGACAAGCGAAGAGAGTCCTCCGCCGCAACTCTCAGAGATGGAATGTCAAAGACGTGCAGTAGCGCTTTGTGCCTGCGAAATTGTCAGCAGATGGAGATTGCTTTTTAGGACTCGGATCGAATGCGTTTCACAATTCTGGGCCTTGTACAGATTCTACATGGTAAGCACCCCGCCCTCGACCGCTCTCCGTATATCAGACACGATGAGGAGATGGATAGTTTCATGGGCCGCGCTGAATATTTCCTGTTCTAGTTTCTCGTCTTTCCGTGCTACGAAAACCTGATCAAAATGCCGCCTTGGCTATGGCCGACCAAAGCCCAGCTTTCTCAAGAGCATCCAGGTTTCATTGATTGCCTAATCTGGTCAGTATCCTGAAACTTTCTGTCAATTCCTTCCATCTAACCGTGGAGCTATCCTTCTAACTTATTGACCCCAACAGGCCAAGCCTGCGAGAAAAGCTCATCAATTCGTGGCAGAACTACAACGTCAAAGGCCTTTCCATCCAACTTGTTCGACATTTCCAGATTCAGAATATTGACAAACAAATCATCGACATTCCTCTGTCCGTGAGCTCTAACCCACCGGGGTTTGTTCTCGATCCCAACTTTGAAGTCGTCATGTACGACCTGAAAAACTGGACTATCGGTGTCGGGTTCCTCTCTCAGTATCCAGACCTTCAACTGAGTCCAACTGCCAATACCAACGACAATCTTAACTGCTTACCGATCGAAGCCCCAATCATCACACCAAGAATCTTTGAAATCCCCTCGTTACCGGCTGCGTTTGGAACTCCCAAACCCCGGCGACAGGCTATGGGACAAGGGTCCGGTCAATCACCGCCAAAGGACGATCCTCATGGCCAGAGTCAGGATGCTAACTCCCCGGGGCTACAGGCCTCCGTACCAGCCACCGAGCGGACCCAGAACAAAGCAGGAGAAAAGGATATCGATACGCCGAGCGGGCCCTACTCCCAAGAAGACTTTGCCGCATTGGACCATGATGGAATATTCGACCCGTATTTCGATCCATCCAATCTCATGCAGGAATTTTTCGAGTTTACTTCTGCCGCTACTCCCGGAAAGCATCGATATGTATGATTTACCATGCTGGAAGCCTCCTTGCTAGCTCCAAAGATCCCCTGTCCCCTTGAACTGCGAGAGTCTTGAGGAAAGAAAAATGGATGGTCGCCGGCTCGTGGCTCGGTAATGCTTGTCGACTCACGTCGAACTATCTCTACGTAGGAATCTAGCATGTAGAAAGAACAAGAATCACTTGGAAGGCTTTGCAGGTTTTACCCTCGCACAGCAGTGGATGACACTAGATTCCGCAATGTCAATAATGTAAGACGAGAAAGATCCTAGGGGAACAACCTGGATTTACTTGAAAGAAAGAGATGGAGATCCGTGCCTTATAGGACGCTAGATTTCAGGTCTGATAGAGGACAGGTAGGTTCAGTCCTCCCAAAGAACGAGCCGTACATGTCGGGCACTAATCTATCAATGTCCTACCTCGTGATATAGCCTCCATCCACCACGATCGTCGCACCGGTGATGAAAGAACTTCTTCCACCGCTCAAGAAAAGGACTGCGTCGGCGATTTCTTCGGGCCATCCCACACGAGCAATTGCCGTCAGATTTGTCGCCAGGTTGTCCAATTCGTCTCGGATCCCAGGCAGGCCCCGTGTCAATGGAGTATCGACATAACCCGGGCAAACAGCATTAACGCGAATTCCTCGCGCAGCGTAGTCCTCGGACGCGCCGCGAGTCAGCCCCAGCACCCCTGCCTTGGAGCTATTGTAGGCCAGGGCCCCAGGCTGACCGGTGAGGCCGCTCACCGAGGAGATATTGACGATGCTTCCACGGTGCTTTCTTCGCTTGTCGAGGGATAATTCTCGGAGAGGCTGGCCCAACATGATCTTGGTCGCAGCCCGGAGGAAGAAGAAGACCCCTCGCAGGTTCACATCGTGTGACCGGTCAAAGTCCACAGTCGACATCTCGGCGGCTCCTCCAGAGCAAAACCGGATGATTCCAGCACAGTTTACCAAGTAGTCGAGCCTGCCGAACTCGCCGTAGGCAGCTTCAACGACACGCTCCACGCCACTTTCATCGGTTGTGTCAAGCACATAGGTCAGAACCTTGCAGTCCGGGGGAGCCAAATCTTGGACAATCTCCTTCTTGACCGTCTCCAGTGCGGCTCCGTCAATGTCAATCAGCGCCACGCCTTTTGCGCCTTCCTTGACGAACCCCAACGCGATGGCTTTCCCAATACCGCTGGCAGCGCCCGTCTGAGTTTTATGTATGATCAGTGTCGGTCCACAATGGTGTGAGCTAAGAAGGCATCTTACTACAATCGCGAAACCAGACACATCCATGTTGTGAGCATAAGCCTACTTTTCTTTAGTTGAGGCGTCTTAGGATGGATATGGTGGGCTTCAACGGCTAAAGTAGTTGTCACCGTACCACGCCTCTCGACTCGTATTTTTCCGATCGAGTACGGAACCAAGACCTCCGCAAGATTGCTACGATATTCTGCACTAGTAAATTTGCTATAATCAACAAAACGCGGGTTAGCTAGTTTTGTATCCTCAGCCGTGGAAGTAGTTGAGAAGTAGAATGGGACCTGTCCCACTATTGAACCGCCTATACTATTCGTTTCTGTACATGAGGACCCCTTGCCATACGGCGGTGCTATGGACTTCATCTATAACCCCATCCCGAGGTAGTATACAAGTATTGCGGCCAGTACCAGCAGGATCAAGAGACTAGTAGATGAAAATCCCCTATTGTTGGGAGTCTCCGAGTGCGCTTTTCGTCTTATTTGCGTGTTCGTCTAATGGAGAGAGAGAGCATCAGCATCAGGCTCAGACACGGTCCCAGAATGCTGCAATCTTACCGTAACCTTCAATTCCCCCTTGTAAAAACTTGCTGATGAGATTACGTGCTTCGGCACTATGTCCTACATCCTCAAATGCTTGTGTGGCATCTGTGCCACCGACTTCTAGTATAATGTCTTCTCCGCCGCCGTCCGGAGGTCAAGCGTCAGCAAAAAGGCGAAGGAGAGTCTGCCGTTGAGAGAGGTACTTACGGGTGCTCTTTGAGAAACTCACTCACGTCGTAGACCTTGCTATGGAGCCCAACCCAGAGGTCTCCAGGCTGAGTATGAGAGGATAATTGCTCTGAAGTGAGCACTCTGGCAGCCACCAAGTGTGTTCCAATTGAAGAAGATAGAGTGAAAATTCAAGACGCCCAAAGGAAAGGTAAATCAACCTCGACGAAATCAAAGTATCCCCTTTGTTGGGATGGACGGCGAGCTACTCAGCTCATAAACAAAACTCCTCATTCGTTGCTTCGTGTAGCATGCGATGTGGTTCCTGTCGGCGAGAACCAATAACTTGACTTTGAACTACGATTCGGAGTTTGCGACTTTGATGAGAGACCAAGGGACCCCGACCCCCCAACTGGGCTGGTCAAAAATGACGTAAGAATTAAATCGACATCATTGTCGTCGTCCCGCACCCATTGGACGTGTAATGATCGGTAGAGCTTTCAATAGACAGCACATGGAATCTCTTTGCACACATGATTGCCATCGAGCTCTGTGAGGTAACGTGCACAGGACTTTGCCATCGGTGCCTGTTCTGTGCTGGAAAACTACTTACTAAACAAGTCTTCCACAGTCGCAATCGGTTTCTCCGACTCGTATGAGGTTCGGAACCACCTTTGTGGAGTCGAAATCATGGAGAAAGCTACGGTGGATCCTTCTAGGTATATCAATGACAAGGACTGCTTCAATCCAGCGATTGCTGCAATCTACCAGATACACGAAGTTTAACAAACATGTCCAAGTCAACCTATGTTTCCCTCTTCGCAGCGCATCAGACAACCTCCGATGTCGATGCCCAGGTCGAGTTCTACAAGGACTGGGGCATGGTCATCGACAGAGGCTTTGACGCGTTAGAAGGTATTCGCTGGCGAGAGCCTGGCTGCGCTGGTCGACTCAACTAACGCCATACAGATATCCCAGAGCAATACTATAAGGCGCGCGGAGTTTCCAAGGCTGACCTCGTCAAGACCGTCTGCATGAGGATGCCAACCGACCCTTTTATGCACCTGATTTTGTACCAGTGGAAAACCTTGAATCGGGGTCCCGGGTGGCCGGCACCCTTTAATCAGATCGGAAGCCGAGGCCTGTCCATGCTGGTTGAAGATGTCAATGCCGAAGTCCAACGCGTCAAAAAGGACTTTCCCGATATCAAGTTTCTATACGATAAACTGACCATCAACCGTCGATGGGGAAAAACAACCACAGCTCTGTTTGTGGATCGGGAAGACATCCAGGTCGAGCTCATTGAAATCGAGAAAGGGTCACAGTACGATCTCGGCAGAGTCCAGCTTCCCGCTTACGAGGACACACAGTGGCTGCACTTCATGTTGAACTGCTCCAATTACGACAAGAGCATGGAGTTCTACCAGTCATTCGGCATGGCGCACGACTCTGCTGTTGATTTCCGCCCAGGCGTGGGGTTTCACCCCTTTGGAAAAGCTCACTATGCGAAGCAATGGAAAGAGGCATACGATCTGGCCCAAGACGATTTGACGGGCGTGGGATTCTTGAGATCCGATCGCGACCCAAGTGGCATGCACTTGGAATTGATGGATTGGAGGCCCGGTGCGTATTACGTCGTGTTTGAAACCCCGAGAAGCTGACCCAAGGACCAGGTTCACTCCTCACCCCGAGTGACAGGCCCGTCTGGCATCAGAAAGGGATTTGCCGGTACTGTTTCAGAGTGAAGGATCATGCAGAATCTTTGAAGGAGCAGCAGCTGAGAGGTACCCGCATCTACGTGGCAGATCAGCGAGGTAAGCCATCTTTCCAGACCTACGTAAACCGACGACTGTGCTCACATGCTCCCCCAATAGGATGCCTGGGCTGGGGAGACACCATCTGGTTTGATTGTGGTGATGTTGATGGCAATGTGTTGACCAAGGAACAATGGTTCCCCCAGCGCGCTTGGGGCGAGAAAAACTGAGGGTGACCCTGGAATAGCGATTCAGATAGTGGCAGCAACTCCGAAACGACCCAACGGACACCGGTCAGGCTTGCGGTGTCTCTAAGTGGTGGTTCCACTGTACTAAAGTAACATGTCTAGAGGATGTCGGCCAGGTTCTTAAGCTGCTGTCGCCCACCAAATGGCCGAGAAACCGCGCCTAAGCATCATCACCAGTAGAAATTTACCCCCTGGTAGTTGCAGCGAATACTATAAAAGTGCCGCGGACCTCGGCATATGGCGTGTAGGTCAATATATATCTTGTCTAAGATAGTCAACGTTAGGTCTGAGATTTAAACCGTAAACGTCGACAAGATGCTTGACCGATTTCGCTCTCTGTTTAGCACCATGTCTTTGCTACCTACAACGCGGAGCTCGAGTTCCGGCTCCAGCGACCACGGTCTCGACGACGCCGCCCTGAGCAGCTATCTCGGTCGTGTTCACGAGGTCCCGGGTCTGAGAGTACCGGTAAAGACGACCAAAATCGGCTACGGACAGAGCAATCCCACGTATTTTGTCGACGATGCCGTGTACGTGAACCCTCCTTGTTGCCGTCTGACGATGCTCATAGTCCCATCTCCACAGTGGTACACGTTTCGTGTTACGGAAGAAGCCCGCCGGGCCGCTCATCAGTCCCGTGGCGCATCAAGTTGACCGTGAGTTCAAGGTGTTGCAGGGCCTGGGAATGGTCCACGGGTTTCCCGTGCCAAAGGTGTATCTTCTCTGCATGGATCCGGCCGTCATTGGGACCGAGTTCTACGTAAGTCCCAGCATCAATGTTTCTGGTCAAACTGACAGGGAATTTTATCTTTCGATGCACAGATCATGGAGTTTATCTCGGGTAGAATCATCAAGGATCTCGACCTAGGAGAGCTACCCCTGGCAGAAAGACGACAAGCGTAGGTGAATCCGTCAGGACACAGGTTCTTCTACTGGAAATCCCACTAACCCGGCGGGTTTTCAGCTGGTTCTCTCTGATCGAAACGCTCGGGTGGCTCCATTCGTTGGATCCGGACTCTCTCGGGCTTCAGAATTATGGAAAGAAGGCAGACTTTTACAAACGGCAATGTAACACGTTCTCGCGCATTGAAGCCCAGCAGGCGGCCGTCAAAGACAAGACAACGGGTGAGGTGCTAGGACGCGCACACGCAGGCTTCGACGAGGTGATATCCTACGTCCGGGACCATTTGCCCGGGAATCGGGTCGCCATTGTGCACGGCGACTTCAAATTCGACAACGTAGTAAGTCAGAGTCAGGAGACATCTAAAGGGGAAAACCCGGCCTGGATTTAACTCGGTGCCTCAAAACACAGATCCTTCATCCGACCCAGCCACGCGTCATCGGCATTCTCGACTGGGAGCTTTCCACCATCGGCCACCCGCTGATGGACCTTGCCTTCACGCTCAGTCCGTTCTGGAACGAACACTACAAGATCGGCCGGCCACGCTCCCAGTACCACGAGTCTCCGTACACGGACGCCAACCGCGAGGCTTCCGGCATGCCAACGGCCGATGAACTGCTGGATCGATACAGTACGATGGTCGGCTTCGACCCTCGCACCGAGGGCAATGGACAGGATTGGGAAGTGGCCAAAATCTTCCAGCACGTTCGAGGGGCTACTATCAGCCACGGCATCAAGGCCCGGACCTTCCGGGGACAGGCGAGCAGTGAATCAAGCCATATCTACTTTGATCACACGCCCAAAAGCCTCGAAACGGCGTTGGCCGCCGTGCGGGCGTTGAAAGCTGGACAAGGTGTAAAGGCCAAGTTGTGAGAAGCTAGCTAGTTAGCTAGCTATAGACCAGGAAGCGTGGGCCTAAGCGAGCTTACATAGGAGGTTCATTGTATTCAAACAGCAAGAATCTATCAATTGGAAAGGCCGCACTCATAGTTGGATTCGCAGACCGTTTTCTACAACTCAATGTGCCACAACTCGGTTCCAAATGCCTTGAAAGCCTCCCACGTCTCAGCTTCGTTTCCACGGCGACGTCACAGTTTCGAACTGCCATGGATCGCGCCGCCATCGGTAGAGATGACGGCTCCGTTGATATGAACGCTGGCCCTACTGGCGAGGAAAACAACCAGACCGGCCATGTCCTCTGGCTCGCCGAGGCGGTTGTTGGGCGCCCTTGCGGCCTGGGCGGCACGACCGCCGGTGGCTTCGATGAGACCTGCCGCCAGCTTAGTAGGGTAGAACCCAGGGCAGATTGCGTTGGAAACCACGCCCTGGGGGCCCAGCTCGACGGCGAGGATTTTGGCCAGGTGGATCGCTGCCGCCTTGGAGACCGAGTAGGCGTGGGTCGCGTTCTCCCCCAGGCTGCCCACGCCGATGCCCGCGGCGCTGGCGTTGATGATGACCCGGCTGGGATTCGCGGTGGTGGCGTTGCGCGTGAGCAAGGGATGCAGCATCTGGACCGTGTAGTAGATGCTCTTGACGTTGAGGTTCAGCACCTTGGTGAACGCGTCGGGGGGGTGTTTCCCGAACGGCGCGCCCCAGGTCGCCCCGGCGTTGGCGAAGAGGATGTCGACGTGGTCGGTGTGCTTGCTGATCTCGGTCGCCAGTCGCTCGAGTTCGGAAATCGAAGCAGAGTCGGCCGGAATCGAGATGGCTTGGGCGCCGGGCCTTTTCGACGGCAATGCGTTTAACGCGTCCACCGCCTCTTGACAGGCTTGGGCTTTGCGTGATGTGATGAAGACCTTGGAACATCCCGCCTGTAGCAAGCTGGCAGTGCGTCAGTCGCGTCTCGTCTTTCACTGCAACATAAGTATGTTGAACAACGTACCCAGACGCGGCATAGAGTCCCAGTCCTCTGGAGCCACCCGTCACTACGGCAACCTTGCCATCGAGCGAAAAGATGTTGCCGAAATCCTCAAGGTGGACCTCGTTCTGAGCTGTAGTCATGGTGTTGGTTGGTGTCTTGGTCCGGATCTTTTGTCAATCTGGCCGTCCGGAGAGATGGTAAAGTCTTCAGTATCAAGAAAATTATGAACGAAACGACAGCCTCGGTCTAGCCGGTTGCGAGGGCAATGCTGCAAAGCCTCGATGGTGTTGATTACATTGCCGAATCATGTCGAGGCCGAGGGGCTGATCTCGGATGACGGTGGTTACGATTCGTATTGGCCCTCGTCCCAGGCCTGCTTTGCTTTACTTGGTCGTAAATGAAGAATATCTCAAGCCCCAAGGAAATCTCTCACAGGTGTCTTAGGGCCTAGGAAGGATGTATATCGTGGAAGACTTTGCTCCTAGAGAGGGCAGGCTACGATCCGCAATGTAACTAGGTAGGTACATGGAGTATTCTGGCGCCGTCAACCCCTGTCATCAGGGGAGGTCATACTGTCTAAATAGAAATGGAGATCCAGTTATTCAACGGACCAGTCGTGATCCGATGAGCGTATATATGGGCTGAGGCCTTGCACATCCTTGCTCGCAGTGGCCTTGACACTGCCATCCCCCAGGAACGCGAAGCGGTTCTTATAACGATAGGTGATGTTGTAGTCTTCCATGCGCGGATCTTTGATCGTCTTGAGGAAATGGATGGTCTATACACCAACAAACATGATTAGTTTCACTCCCAGTTGGATGTCTTCACCGCTGGAGGCACTCACCGATCCAGGCCACAGGTATATGCGGCTTTTGATTTTGCCATTCTTGAACCAGCTGCGACACTCTTCTTGCCACACGGTGGTCTTGTGGTACTCGTCCAAGTGCGCGTAGATCTCATCCACGGCTTCCTGTTTGACCTCGATGGACCGGAGACCCTCGTGCTGGATCTTCTTGATGAGTTTGACCGCGTGTTCGATGGTGTTTTCGATGCTGGGCAAGAGGGTCCTGTTGGACCATGTTGCTCCGGGGCCCACGATGGTATAGTAGTTGGGGAACCGGGGTGCAGACACCCCCATGTACAGATTGGGTCCGTCCGCCCAGTCCTCGTCGATCGACTTGCCCTCCCCGTTGATCACCGGGAATGCGGGCTTGAACACGGGAGAGAAGCCGGTGGCGCAGATCAGGACATCCATTTTGCGCTCTTTGCCGTCTGGCTGTTTCATTCGGATCCCCTCGGGCGTCACCTGGTCAATGTCCCCGATGATTGCTTCGACGTTGGGTGCGACGAGGGCCTCGAGGAACCCAGTCCCCGGCGTCAACCGACGGCAGCCGGGAGAGAATTTGGGAATGATGAACTTTTTGAGTTCCTCGTGCTGTGTCTCGATCTTTGCGCCCATCAATTCTGTCAGGACCTTGCGGAAGAAGTTGTTCAGCTCGGACCCCTGTTGGTAAGCCCCAAACAACGTGTTGAATTCCGACTCGGTCCTCTTCCGGAAGTCCAAGTGATATGCTGTGTCTTCGCGGAACCTCTTCCTGTCTTCTTCAGTGAAGTTGTACTGTACCGTGGCTTCGTTTGAAAGGTCCGAGGCCATAGGCCCGGCGCCAAAGGGTCCCGAGATCCAGGTCGGACTGCGCATATACACCTGGACTTGCTTGCAAATCTTCTGCAGCTCCGGCACGATCTGGACGCTGCTAGAGCCGGTTCCGATGATGCCCACTACCTTGTCCTTGAGGATGGAATCATGATTCCAGGTGGCCGAGTGCATCAGGGTACCTTTGAACGTGTCGAGACCTTGGACGTCGGGCCACTTCCAGTTGTTCAAGATACCGGTCCCGTTGACGAAGCAGTGCGCCCAATCCAGGGTCCGCTGTTTCGTGTCCTGATTTTCGAGGGTAAATTTCCACACTGCCTCTGTAGCGTCCTATCTAGCTTCCACCACTTTCGTTCTCAGGTGCACGTATTCGCGGCACCCGTACCGGTCAGCAAACCCTTCGAAATACTTCTGGATTTCGCCTCCCGACGCGTAGTACTGAGACCATTCTGGATTGGGGTCGAACGTGAAGGTGTATATGTGTGCTGGGATATCGCAGGCAACTCTCGGGTAGGTGTTCTCAAACCAAGTCCCTCCGATATTGGGGTTCTTCTCGTAGATACTCAGCTCGTAGGATCCCGGCACAAGCATCTTCTGCAGCTTGTACGCAAGACAGAGCCCAGACGCTCCCGCACCTGCAGCAACTATCCTGAGCTTCCGGGGCTTCGAATGGTACTGCTGCAGAATTCGGTAGTCCCCCGCCGGTGTTGGTTCTGGGAACTCGAATTCGTCCCCAGAGCCATTCAACACCCCGTTGAGGGCCTTGCTCTCTTCGCCCATTTTCGGTCGGCTGAATGTCTGTATTCTCGACGAGTCTGCGAAGTCTCCCGTTGCTTTGTGTGACCGACCCTCAGTGGAAGGTCAATCGATTCCATTCTACAACTCACGCCACGGCTGGAGTCATGTGCTAGTGCATGTTTCTCCGTGCTATAGTAGATTTTGGTGATACGAATCGAATGGGCTGCACAAACACGTACTACGATTCGTTATTTCCGCCTATTGCACCTGCAGCAAACACCCTTCCCCACGGACCCGCTTGGACTGGGGCTCTTCATCCGTACCTCGTAAGCCGAGGGACTCGACTCGGGGTAAGACTCTGGGTTAGAATGCGTCCCGCCACACTCGTATTTCGCAACGACCCGCGGCCGGCAGGGCTCAGTGATCTCGAGAGTGGCATTTCCCTTGACCATCAACGCAAACCACGTCTTCAGCACCAAACACTTCGCAAGGCAATAAGATCCGGCACGATGCCTTCTCAAAGATTCAACACGGCACGCGCCTTTACGTCGAGCTACGAGAACTTCGACCTTGACACCATGTTGGGTGTGAGGTCGCCCGAGTGCAAGCATTCGTTCATCACGGCCGGGGGCGAATATCCCATCATGAGCAACTCCCAATTTGCCGCCTTCTATGAACCGATCCGGCCGTTGCTCGAGCGAAGTACGTTTCACATCGAGCGGGCGATCGAAGACGACAAGGCCAACGAAATGGCGCTGTGGTGCAGCATCGAAATTCACTTCAAGAACAAGGCGGTCCAGCCCTACCGGGGCCACTATGTTTTCCTGTTGGAGTTCAGCGCCGACGAGAAGACGGTGACCATGGTTCGCGAAGTCGTCGACCGCGTTGGCGCCGGCGAATACATGGACAAGGTCAAGCAGGCCAGGGAGTTGACGAGGGGCACTGGCGACGAGATGGCCAGTAAAACCGAGAGCAGCAATCTGTGAGGGAGCAAGGATCTAGATTTTGTGGCATTGGGCATCCATTCATAGGGACTTGGTACTCTTGTAGCCTGATTCAAAGTGTTTCTTTCATTCCCAGAGCTTCTACTATAAGTGGCTCTTCAGCTCTGAGCTCGCCTGTGCTTCTTGCTTGACCAGCTCCTTCAGGGTTCGCCGGAGGATCTTCCCGCTGGCGGTTTTCGGGATGGCATCGATGAACCTGACGCCGCCGCGCAGTTTATAGTGGCTAGCCACGCGGTCATCGACCCATTTTCGGATTCTCCCGTCATCACCAGGTTCCACCGCCCATACGCACCACATACGCCCTGGGCGCCTCGGTGGCCTGCTCCGGCAATGATACACCGACGACGGCTGCGTCGTCAACAATATCGTTATCGATCAAGAGACCCTCGAGCTGGGCCGGGGCGACTTGGAATCCTTTGTACTTGATCAACTCTTTGGCCCGGTCCGTAATGGTGAGGTTACCCTCGGCGTCCATAAACCCAACATCGCCGGTTCGGAACCAGCCATCTCGCAGGCATTCGGCCGTCGCCGCAGGATTGTTGTGGTATCCATGGAAGATATTGGGGCCCTGCACGTACAGCTCGCCCACTTCGCCCCGAGGTAGCTCTTTGGTCTTTCGGTTCGGCATTTCCTCGTCAAATGGCTCGTGGAACTTGGCTCGCATATTAGGCACCAAGAGGCCCGTGGTCCCTACGCGCGAATGCCAGTCCTGCCACCTCATGGCGAAGAGCGTGGGCGACGTCTCGGTAAGTCCGTAGCCTTGTTTGACACGCAACCCCCTCTTGTTGAACACGGTCTCGACCAACTCTCTCGTCAGAGGGGCTGCGCCCGAGGAGCAGATCCGCAGAGAACTCAAGTCGTACTTGTCTGCGGCTGGGTGTTTGCACAGCAGCAGCAAGATGGGCGGGACCAGGTAGCCGACGGTAATTCGATGTTTCTGCACGGCCTGGCGCCACCGTTCAATGTCGAACGAGCCCATCAGAACACACTCGATGCCTGTGTACAGAGGGTTGATCATCATGCAGGTAAGGCCGTAGATGTGGAAGAACGGCAGACATGCAAGCGCCTTGTCGCCCGTCCTGGGCGCGTCTGGAATCCCAGGGATGCGGATAGATCCATCGCAGGTGACTGTTTCCAGAGGGCGCATCTGCTGGATGTTGGCCGTGACGTTGAAATGGGTGAGCCTCACTCCCTTGGGCGCCGATGTCGTACCGGAAGAGTATGCGAGGAATGCAAGATCCTCCTTGGGATTGATCTGGGGTGGAGCAACTCGCACAGAATTCGTCCCAGCGTCACGAATCGATGTCCAGTGCCGAACCTTCTGTATGCCCACGGATGAAGACTTGGATATGCCGACCAGGATGATTCGAGACTCGGGGATCCCGACTCGCGCACACGCCTTGCGTGCCGTTGGGAGAGACGACTGGTGTGCAATGAGGTACCTCGCCCCACAGTCTCGCAGCTGGAATTCCAGCTCACCGACCGTGTATCCTGGATTTGCCGAGGACAGTACAGCTCCTGTCCATAGAGCTCCAAACACGACCGCCGGCACATCGATACTGTTTGGTGTAAAGAGGGCAATCACATCGCCCTTTTGGACACCATGCCGAGTGGCAAGTCCTTGTCCGAATGCGAGCGCCTAGTGACGGACATCTGCATAGGTATATCGCAGCGCGGATTCATCGGCGTCTTGAAAAATCACTGCTCGGCCGGTATCAGTCACTCTCTGCCTTAGCTTATCAAGCCACAGTGCTTCGTACCTTTATCTTCGGCGAAAGGCAGATCATCTCGAACGAATAAGAAGGAAAATATATCGGCCTCCCGCAGCTGGACGTCGGGATAATTGGAGCTAATCGGCATCTCTTCTGTGATTGACAAAGACCGAGAGATCTAGTGATGATATCCAGCCAGAAAGAGGACCACGATGAAGCTGCTGGGTGGGAGACGGGGCGAGGCTCATGAATCTCTCAGCACTGGACCACATCATGAAGAAGCGAAAAGGAGCATACCGAGGTGCCCCGGTTGTGCCCCCGGCTCATGGTGACTGTGGTGAGGACTTTGGGCGTCCGAGATTGATACGACTCGGAAATGAATCCAAATGATATTAACTAAGCACCGGACTGACCAGGATCTGGTTCTGGTGATGTGGAGACGGCGGGCCCAACCCACTGCGGCTACTTTGTACCTCTACACTTCCTGCAGTCTGTGGAACCCTCTTTCTTAGTTTACTCTTCAGAGATAGCCACCACGATGAATGGAGCTGCACGTTGTACTTAAACCACGCCATTGAGGCGCTTGATTTGCTTGTATGATCAAGATACGACAGGAGCTCTAGATTTGAGTGACAGAGGTAACCCGTCGTCAAAGCATCGGTCTACCATTCGACGTCTGGCGCAGCTTGCGAATCATATCCATGGCAAAGTCGGCGTAGGGCCGTTGCTGGTGGATGTAAACGAATGCGGTCTTGCCGCTGGCCTGACGTTGAAAATACCTGGCCTTGACGCCTTGCATGATGACGGCACTCCTCATGGCCGCAAATGCCAGGCCCCATGTCAGGTCCTGCGTGGTGGCTTCGTAGCCAGTGTCCTCGGCGTACCACTTGACAGCCCTTTCAAACTTGGGTAGCCCGCTTGTCACCCCCGGGGCGAAATCGTCCCTGCCCCCGTTTGCTGCCATATTCATCGCTCGCATGACGGGGTCGGTCCATGGAAGGGTCAAGAGCACCAGGTCGGCGAGCGGGTGGCCGATGGTGGCCATCTCCCAGTCCAGGATGCCAATGACCCTGGGCTCGGTCTTGTGGAAGACCAGGTTGTCGACCTTGTAGTCGCCGTGGATCAGTGCAACGCGGTCGGCGGGTTTCGTGGACCCGTCCTGGAAAAAGGCCGTCATTTCGGCCCAGTGGGGGATGAGGCCGACAGCTTCGTCCGTGTCAACGTCGACGATGGCTGCCTGGGCGTTGGAAACGCCGGTGAAAGTCTTGATCTGACGATCATAGAACCCTCCCTGGCGCCCGAAGTCGCCGAGCCCTAATGCGTTGAAATCTAGGCGGTGCAGCTTTGCCATGGTTCGGACAACCTCGCGCCATCTGCAAGTAGATCTGTTAGTGAGGTGCTCACTGTCCATTCCGCGTGGAGGAGATAAAGGAAATCAATGCGTACAATTGTGTTCTCTCCTCTGGACTGACTCCAGTCAGATGAGGCTCCGTGAGGAATCGTCCGTCGAGGAACTCCATGATGTAAAACGACGTGCCGATGACCGTGTCATCTTCGCACAGCACGTACGCCTTTGGGACAGGGACGTCGGTGCACTCGAGTGCTCGGAGGACGCGGAATTCGCGGGCGACCTGGTGCGCCGTCTTGGATACAAGGCTCCCTGGCGGTTTCTTCCTCAAGACGCAAGTGAATCCGTCGGCCCCGGTGACTTTGTACGTCGGATTCGACTGGCCGAAGCCAAACTAAGAATGAAATCAGCAGCAAACTTTCTCTGCACCGGTGCACTGCTTTACCTGTTTGACGTCGACCGGTGATTGTAGAGCGGGAAAGTGTGCAGCGAGCCACCGCTCCAGGCTGTCGATGTTGATCGGCTGGCGCACATCCTCTGCCATTCTGTCTGTCTATTAGAGCCACATCGCCTCGATGGTCCCGAACTATCGCGGGCTGTCTGTCTTTTATGTCGGAACTTGGAGGGATATTTGGTCTACAGATAGTTCACGGCTCTCAGCTCGACCGAGACTCATCAGCCGCATAGTGCCGAGGCATGCCCACTTGGTCAAGTCCGCAGGTTACTCTAAGTTACTCAGTACGACTCGGATTGTGGCAACAGCTCCATGACAAATTTATTACTAAGTTTACATCCAGCCAATCCACAGTGTACTCGGTGTGCGTGGTTGCACAAGAACTTGTTCGCAAAGGTAGACGGCCGAGTCCACAAAGTGAAGTAAAGCCCATCAGGTCTTCACAGGCCTTTAGAGTCGAGCAAACGCTGGCTACAGGACCATGAGATGCAGACATTACGGATTCTTGCCTATATGAGAATCGTGGTGATCCACCTACTTACTTCGAGCCTTGTGAGTGATGTTCGCCGGGACCAAGAGAGCTGGTTGCGTTCTACTTAGATGCAGCTCCACGCGTTGTCGACTGGAATGATGGCGCCATTGACCTCGCTGCCAGCGTCTGAGACCAGATACGCACACAAACTGGCGATGTGGACTGGACTGGCGGCATTGTCCATGTAGCCTTCTTGGTGAAGCTTGATGACGGGCCTGAAAGCATGAGCAGCGCTCGCTCAGGGTCATGATTCTAGGGAGCAGAGGCCGGTACGTACTCGATCAGCTTGGTTGCCTCTTGATCGATCTGAGTGCGATCAATCGACTGCGTGATATTGGTGGTGAACCCTAAGTTAGACGACATCCTGTGAGCCTGGCCGTCCGGGATGAAGCAAATAGACGTGTACGTACCGCCTGGACAGATGGCATTGCAGCGAATCTTCTGGTAGCGGAAGCGGAAAGCAACGTTTTTGGTCAAGCCAATCTGCACATCAATCAGTCCAGGGATCGATCGCACCCGTCCATCACCCGACGAATCCGGGCACCATCCTCCTACTTACAATCCCGTGTTTACTTGCAGTATATGCGACGCCAGCCACCGAGCCGCTGATGCCCGCCTTGCTCGAGATATTGACGATCGTGCCACCAGTGCCCTGCGCCAGACACGCATTGACGACGTGTTTGCTCAGCATCGTGGGCGCGGTGAGGTTCACGGCAATGATCTTGTTCCACTGGTCCTCGTCCAGAGTGTCGACGCTGTTGCTCGTGTCCATGACACCCGCAATGTTGAGCAGAGCATCCACACGACCGCCGAAAGCCTGTTGGCATTCACGCACAACTCGCTCCGGAGCTCCCTTTTGACGAAGGTCGATCTGCAGAAAGTCGAAGGCTGGAGACGATGCCAGCTCCGTAGGGCCCTTTGAAATGTCCACCCCGTACACCGACGCGCCCAGGTCCAGGAATAGCTTTGCCGTAGCAAGGCCCATGCCAGACGCTGCGCCGGTGATGATGGCTACCTATCAGATATGCATGGTTACCTATGAAGCCGGCAGTGAGATTCTCTCACTTACCTTGCCCTCGAGGCTAAATAGCTTTGCACTTGCCATGATAGACGTATGGGCTCTCTCTCTGTCCCAGGTCGATCACCAAAGACAAAGACGCAACCGCTGGTCAGGTCGCTACCAATGAAGAGGGATCACCGTCCCGCGCTTTGCATAATGTACAAGATTCCAATCACGAGTCGTATCCGACTGGGAAAGCTGACTCCGAGGACTCGACTGTCGTCCTGCGGTGTGTACGATCGTCCCATATCAACACCAGCTGCAAGATCACCTCCGTAGCATAGACCAGTCGTACACGACGATGCATTCCATTCCCAAACCAGATCCAGCCTCCGCAGATCCCCGCTTTCGGTTCACGGCGCTGGAGCTCGCGGTGGAGAGCTGTCGTGGGCGAAAACCAGAGCATCGCACATGCCGGCCTCATTTGACTACGAACGAGTACAAGCTTTCTGATTATCAATATTGATCACCGCAGAGTTCTTTTGCAGGACAATCGGGCCAGCAGGACAATCAAACGTCGAATAACATCTGTCGGCAAAACACATCATGGATGGCTTACCCAAGGCGTATTTTCTCGCGGAGAAGATCACCCAGAAATTTGGGCAGCACCTCCTTGACCAGTCCGGCATTCTCGCCACTCCCGAATCGCAATCGCTCTGCGTCTTGGATAATCTTTGTGGAATAGGGATAGTGTCTACCTCTCTGCGGAGCGCACTGTCCCCCCAGACGAGAGATGGCTTGCACCTGACATGCCTTGACATCTCGGGGCCATCGGTCAAGTATGTGAAGCAGAAAGGAGACAAAGAAGGATGGAAGAACTTGCAGGTCAAGGTTGGGGATGCACAGGTGACTAGATTGCACTGGGGATAGACTTCCGGGGACCCTTGGCTGAGACAGGCTCTGTATCTAGGACACGCAGCTCCCGTCGTTGGAGTATCACTACGTCTTCGCCAACATCGGTCCAACGTTTGTCAAGGACCCTGCCGCGATGATGAGGGAATGCTACCGCATGCTGAGAGCCCGAGGAGTCGTCGCGGTGTCCGTGTGGAAAGAGGCCGGCTGGTGGGAGGACATGAAAGAAGCCATGGCAAGCTTGGGCGACTGTGCCCCCCCCTTCCCTTCCCAGGAGCAGCTGGTCCAGGTGCACACCCAGGATCCCGGGTGGAAAGATCCCGGAACCATCACTCAAACCTTGCAGGGCTTTGGATTTTCCGACGTCCACGTCACCGAGAAGGCAGAGCAGAGTGTTCTCCAGCATGTCGACGAGTACATGCTCATGCATGGGATGGTGTTGGGCTTGATCATGCGCTTCTGGACCGAGAGTCAGAGACAAGAGTTGCAGGAACGCGCATCGGCCGCCATCGAGAAATACATGCGACAGAAGTACGGTGCTGGACCCGTCACTTGGACCTGGGTGGCTTTTGTTGCCACGGGTAAGAAATGATGAGCATATTGGAGCCCGAAATTGCAAAGCTTTGGCTCGGTACAAACGTTTTCAGGACACAATGGTTTTGACTTTTAAACACGGTCTAAGCTGGAGAGAGAGCACAGTCTGCCAATATATTGTTCTATTTATGTTTTACAGAATTGGCGGCGTCTGAATACTTGCATTGCCGCGTGTCTATATAAGCTCCATCTCAGCTCCTTTCCCACAAGATGAGCCTATCGATGGTCAACATTCCTATCACAATTTGGATTGACCCGATGACCTGTTCAGCTGTAGGTGGTCCTCGTCGTTCATGCCATGCTGTGCGAGTAGCTCTCTGGCCACAGCATTCTGAGCAATGCGCATCACCCCGCCCGCCACCCAGATCTCTGGCAATGGCGTGTCCTGGCACACGCCAGCGGCTCCGAACGACTGGATAGCCCAGTCTGCGACTCTCGAGACCATGGCAGGAGTTTGAATCTTTACCTCTGATATCTCTTTAAGAGCCCCCTTGGCATTGACTGTGTCGATCTTGATGGCGGCATTCAACACGGCCAGACGTGCGGCGTCAATCTCGACCCGACTGCGTGCAATCCGTTCAAGCATAATGCCATGTTCAGACAAAAGCTTCTGGAATGGCTTTTTCTTGGGATCGCAAATCCGCGCCACAAAGTACTCCAAAGCACGTTCGGCCTAGGTCAACGTCGCAATCAGTAAGTTAGTCTACCCTGTGACAGCCAAGACAAACATACATTTCCCACGGCGCGCATGGCATGGTGAATGCGCCCAGGCCCAAGTCTGCCTTGCATGACTTCAAATCCCCTTCCCTCACCCAGAACGACGCTGCTGACCGGAAGCTGTACATTTTCGAATTTTGATATGTCCGTGTCCGTGGGGTGCATGGTCGAACCCAAATACCGAGAGTGTTCTCTTTATCGTAATCCCCGGGCTATTCGCGGGCACGAGGAGGATGCTCTGTTGGCGATATGGATTCGGGTTGCTTGGGTCCGACTTGCCCATGAGGATATAAAGAGACGATCGAGGATCCGGAGCACCACTGCTCCACCATTTCTATCCATATCTTTTAGCAGCGTCCACTGAAAATCCAGGAGCAAGGCGATAGTTCACCACTCACCTCTCCGTTTAGCACATAAGAATCTCCATCCCGACGAATAGAGAACCGGATATTCGTGGCATCACTGGACGCCACGCCCGGTTCTGTCATGACGAACGCGGATCGAATTTGACCTTCCAAGAGCGGAGCCAGCCACCGTTGCTTCTGCTCAGGGGTTCCATACTTTGCCAGGACCTCCATGTTGCCTGTGTCTGGAGCAGCACAATTGGTCGCTTCGCTGGCGACGGTACTCTTGCCCAGATATTCCGCCATGAGCCCAAATTCAAGGCAGCTGAATCCGGCGCCTTCGGTGAAATGAGCTTTGGGCAAGAACATGTTCCACAAGCCTAGTTTGCGTGCTTCGAGCTTGAGTTGCTCGATGATGGGGGGAACTGTGCTGAAGCGTTGCTCCAGGTTCGTGCCGAGCTGCCGCTCGTGGACCTTGTCGGCCGGAATGCATCGCTCCTCGACGAACCTCTCCAACTGTTCAGGTCAGACTCGATACACAAGAATCCATCAATGGGGCCTGACTAACCACATCCAAAGTTTTCAAGGCACGTTCGCTCACGAACGGCCGGGCGATGACCGGGATCTTTTGTGACGCTGGGATGTGCTCATTTCCGAGCACTGACTATGAAGAAGACATTTTGTCCTGTTTCTGCCCGGGGGATAGTACGTAGATCGATACCAGGCTTCTGAATGATGACAAGAAGTAAATCTCAAGATCGAGAATATGCAAATAGGTCGCCGCTCAAAGCAGCTAGATCAAATTACGATTCGTATTTCGAGCAGCCACTCTCCAGCCTCGTTCAGACCCGGCCAGCGTCGGTACGCTGATGAAACCTATGAAGACCGAGCCTCGGCTGGATAGCTAAGAGTAACTTTCTCTCTCGAGGAACCCCGGAATAGGGAGGCAATACGACTTGACACGTCCATCTATTGAGCAGGACGCTTAGATGTTCACCGGCAAATCTACCATCTCGTCATGGTGATGGCTCATAGTTCGTAACTCAAGAGCAGACTCAAGTTTTTCCATACATGCGATTCGAGGGATCGTAGTGTCCACTGCCATTTGGTCTGCAAAACCATGGCGAATGGTGGACATGGCTAGATTCTCTGAAGAGGGTCCCACGTTCACACGACTAGGAGGACAAGATTAGTATACACAGACCACTCAGACTTTGCGCAGCGACCAAATGCTGCGGTGCATCCGGTCGCGACTCAAAGAGCGGTCGCTCTGTGCTGGTATTTGGTCTCTGGTCTCTGTGATCAACAGCCAAACGGGAGTATATCCCTCATTCCTCAACAAACCACCTTGATACTGGACTCGGCACAGTAGCTACAAGCCCCGACTGACAATGGCCCCCTCAGGACACAGTCCGACGGATTTAGGTTAGCGGCAAGAGTCTCGTACTTGTCCAGGCCCGGACTTGGGCGTTTACTGGTGGAAGCATACGAGGCCAGACCAGTTGAACCTTGGTACGACTCGTGAAGCGTTGTTTACCTGTGCCGAGGGTTCTGGTGCCGGACAAAGATTTCTCTTCAACCTTGCTGGCAAGCGATGGCGTCGAACCCAGGACGATATGATGGCTCGATAAAGGTACGCACACAAGCGGGCGAAGCGCCAGGCAAAGTGCACAAGCCTAGACTACTACGGATCCAGTAGACGAAACCAGAACATTGACAACGGCATGCGTAGATACCTCTTACGAGGCCTTGTCTGCCATTCACATGGCAGATCAATGCCCGTAACTAATCTGCAGATGCCCGTATACAGCTAGATATCCAACCCTGCCGCTTTCCAAGTCCTTGGTTGGCTCCACGCCCGCCTACACCTTCTCCTTGACCCATCGATCAATGAGATCGACGGCATGGTTCAACGACTCGGGTCCATCTTCGAAAAAGTGCGGTGCGCCTTTGATGAGGTGGATTTGCTTGTCTTTGGAGCCCACAAGATCAAAGATCTGTCGGGCGTCCGACGGGTGAACCCCGACATCAGCGGTGCCTTGAAGCACCAGGGTCGGGATCGTGAACGCAGGTCCCGTGCGCTCAAACCTGCTTGGTGAGTCTTCCATACTCCACATGGATAGCCACGTGCGAAGAGTGCACGACCGAGCAACCATGCTGATCCCTCGGTTGGATGCTGGCGGATCTGGCCCAGCATAGCAGGACGGGCAGGGACGGTCCGAGGGATCAATACTAGGGTCCATGAACCTCAGATCGGCCATGGTTCGATAAACGGGAAAGACACGGTCGGGAATTCCGGCTTCGTTGAGGCGCTTGAGCTCCTGCTTGGCCCAAACCGTGATGCGTTGAGAGCGTGCTAGTTGGGCGGCCCGATAGCGTTTGACGAACTCCGGTGAATAAGGCGGGCCATTCTTGGGGTTGTACATGTCCAGCGAAGAGTCTGTCTTGACCGGGTCCAGCTCATCGATCACCGAGGGATCAATCCAGTTGGCCATGACGTCTGCACGACCAGGATGGGCATTCAGGAAGACGAAAGCGTCGGCTCCAATGAGGGAAGGGTTTTTCTCCGCCTGTGCCTGGAATGCGGCCATGAGCGAGCCTCCCCCCGAATTCCCAATAAACACAATCTTGACAGGGCCTATCTCTCGACGAATCCATTGCGTACCCATGGCCAGATCTTCGTACACATCCTCAAGTATGAAGCGGTCCTCAGCACCTGCGTATCGTGTATTCCATCCAAGCAGTCCATAGCCGCGCTCGGCCAGAGGGCCGGCTAGGTAATGCTCTGAAAAATCGGCAATGTAATGGCTGAGCATGAAAACCACCGACGGCTGGTGTCCAGTGGCGGCCCAGTACAGGCCCTGGCAAGGATGCTGGCCGGTTGGAAATCCTTTTTGCCGTGGTCGAGTCGAGCCCGATGAAGCGAGGGACAGTATCGTTGCGGATCGATGGCTGAACAGCCGGACGGTCTGTCTTGAACGTGAACATGATGGCGATTTTCCTAAGCCGAGTAAGAAGCGAAGTCTCCAGGGAAACGAGAAAACAAAGTCATTTGACTCGCAGGTTATTCCTTGCGCGCACACAAGGCTGCTCGCGGATAAAGACACCAAGTAACAGTCTCAGTTGTCAGGCCGAGCAGTAATACGAGCGCCGTCGAGCCACTGGCGGCTGTGACAAAGTCGCCCGTCCGTCCGTCCGAGGGCGAAAAGGTTACGATTCGTATCCACGACGGGACGTGTTCGCGCCGTTTGAGCTTATGGATCCAGCATAGCACAGGCTGATAGCGGTAGTATCTGACAATGGTACTTTAACGAACCGGGCACCAAAGTAAGCCAGCGGTCTTGTATGGCTGCTGTCTTTTCGCCCGCAGGCGAGTCGCAGTGGCAATCGTTTGCGCGGGGCGCGTGCAAGAATCACGTGTCACAGGCTGTCACGTGTTTGTCCACAGCAGTGGCTGAAATATCTGGAGTTGTGGCTGTACGTTCGATGTTACACAGACATCCAACTGCCCGTGATCAGGTAGCTGTGCACCTAGTGAACAGACCATTTAATGCTCGATCCCCAAGGTACGGAGTATATGCGCTCGGTCAGAAGATAGCCACGGCATTTGGTGGCGAGCCCACCAGCCCGGGAACATTCAAGGGTGTACTGGTGAGCAAAAACTCGTACCGTCCGACCTTTTGGCAATGCTCTCCCAACGCTTTAAGGTCCCAAAGCTCTCCAATGTGTAGCCCCATGAAACTCAGAAAATACTGGTGTAGAACTGGATGAGGTAGGGACGCGCGTCAACAGCTGTCAAAGGAAAGACGAATAATTCCAATGAAACGAACGAATGTGCTTGACTCACCTAAGTCGCGCGTCCCACCTTCGCGATTGTTTTCGGAGGCTACCAGGGGAGGCAGGACCTCAAAAGCTATCATATCTCCAGCTACGGCGGAGAAATGGTGGTTCCACATCCATCTGGCAGCCTCAACAGTGCCCTCGACTCCGATTGCCCGCCCTGTGGTGAGCAGCTTCTGCTGCTCTTCTCCGTTGACGGCACTGAGGTCCTCAGTGTAGCCAGATCTTATGAGGAGAATATCACCGGTCCGGAGGCGTGTTCCTTGATGCTTGGCGATGGCCACAAGATCCTGGATGCTGATGGTGTGGGATTCGAAGCAGTTGTATTTTCTGCCCGTCGCACTGGCCCATGCCCGATAATCCAGTAGCACTCCTCGGCCGACGAGACAACCGCGATCGTGCCAGTGCTCGAGTGTCGGCATCGAGCTACGGTGGTCTGAATGCTGCAGCAGAGCTTGCTGGGAAGGTGCTGCGCCATTATAGGCAAGCCCTGTAGCTTGGTGACCGAAGTGGACAAGGCTGTCCCATTGACTGGATCCCTGTGTATTGAATGAAACCTCATCCTCGAAGGCATGGACGTTGAAAGGTGTATCCTTGAACGCATGGACATTGTGCGCGAGACCTATGCGTCCAAACGGTGGAATCTTGAAGGCCCCTAACGGCCAATTCAGTGAGATGGACACCCCGTCGCGAGCTAGCTTGCAAGCCTCCCGCACTACATCTTCTGTGAGTAGATTGAGGCAGCCTACTCGGTCTTTTGTCCCATTCTGGTCGAAGAGTCCCCAGACGCAGCCCTGAGGTAGGTCTCCTACCGGAGACAAAGAGTCAAAATCGGGTATCGCGGTGACGTCCACCATGTCTCAATGTTTCGCCGTGTGGACGACTTTTCTGAATATGCTTCACTGAATCGAATGCCTGGCTTGGGGTGATATGGTGTCGAGCCAGAGATCTGTTCTGCCTACCTGTGGATGTGGCTAAGGGTTCGTCTCCTCAGATCCCCGGGGCGCAGGGCTACCCACTAAGAGGAAGAAAATCTATACGATTCGAAAACGTCCGAGGTATCCAGAAACCGCATCCTCATTTTACTTAGTAGTACACATGGCGATAATGCCAATTAACGGTGATATTCAATCAGTGGTTCTAAATCAAAAGTGTAGAGAGCATTGGACAGTCTTTGACAACGGCATTTCCCATAGGTCGCTGTAGGTCTGTAAGTAATAACGGGCTGAGTCAAGTTTCCCTCAAACGCAAACTGCAAGCATCTTCGCGAGGGCATTACCCATCCTCCGCACACGAGGACCTAGAACAAGCACTGTCAAGAATCTAAGGATTTCGACTCGAGAAACTGGCCTGCAGGTCTTGGCTGAATTAAAGATGGCAGCAAAGATTCGTGTTGTTCACTGTGGTTCAGGCCCAACGGGTCGGGTGACTCTGAAAGCTCTGTTGAACCATCCAAACCTGCAGTTAGTTGGTCAGCTGGTATTCAGCCCTGAAAAGGATGGCAAGGACACGGGAGAAATCTGTCAGCTTGGGCGAGACGTCGGGGTGGCTGCTACGCGCGACATCGATGCCTTGATAGCGACCAAGCCTGACGTGCTTACTTTTGTCGGCAATGGGAACGAAAAAGACGCGACTGTTCGCACTATTGCTCGTTTTCTCGAAGCCGGGATTAACGTGAGCACACCCTGTCTGTTCTGGATGGTGGAACCCACCACCGCTCGCCAGAAGAACCCGGGGGCAAACACGACCGAGGACGAGTCGATCCGCATTATCGAAGAAGCTTGTGCGAAAGGGCGCAGCACTTGCTTCCTCACCGGAAGCGACCCTGGATTCTTCAGTCCCTTTCTAACTGTCGCCCTACTGAAGGGAGCGGATGAGATTAACCAGATCCGTATGCAGGAACTGGGGAACTATGCCTACCACGACGTCCCCTGGCTGTCCGATGTCTTTGGCTTTGGTCATCCCAGAGACTTCAAGAGCGTCATGTCCCAGGGGACGTTCGTCAAACATGCGTGGGGAGGAACTATCAACGCCGTTGCCAAGGCCTTGAAGATTGACATGGACGAGATACGGTTCTTCTTCGAGAATGCTACGCACGACCAGACGCACGAGACCCTGTGGGGTATTGTTGGGGCAGGAACTGTTGCAGCTGTCCGTGTTGGGCTCGAAGGCATCTATCGAGGAAAGCCCTTTATCATCCTTGAGCACATCACCAGGACATGCATGGAAGCGGCGCCACATTGGCCTCAAGCACATGGCGGTGATATGGACAAGAAGAAGCTTCGCCACGAGTACACCGTCCTCATCAAAGGGGACCCGGACTTCGACTGCCGCATTGCGATGAGCGAATCCAGGGCTGGGGACGATGCCGGTCTCTATAACACCGGAGCCCTGGTCGTGAACGCCATCTCAGCTTTGATCAACGCCCAGCCAGGGGTGCTCAACGACATCGGTCTCCCCCTGGAGGTGACACGCAACATCAAGGTGTAGCACACGCCGAGGTCTACAGATATCATCCTCTGCCCTTGAACAGAATCATAACCTCGAAACTGATGGATAGCTATGTGGAGAGATCTTCTGGATCCCAAAAATGTTGTTTCTGTTCATCGCTTGGGAGTCCTTTCATCATCAGATCGTCTAAATGTTCTATCATCAATTTCATTTCCGCAGCTGACCAACTTTACTCTGAGCAGCGGTCAGCATGACAAACCCGAAGCTGAAAGCCAATACGATATGAGCAGGTCCGAGCAATGTCCGGACAGGGATCTCGGTTCATCCATTCTCCCGCACAAATCCACCATACTTATGCACTACTGACGTCCGCGGCAGCAAGAAATTACCGAACTATGCATGCGGGGTCCCGGGCACTGGGGATTCCGGGGTCACGGGCCTCCCAGCACCTTTACGATCGTATGTGTACGCACAACCCAACCCAACCCGTGCCCACTTGTTCGAATCGTAGCTGAAATAAGTATGTCAGGGCGGCCCCTGCCAAGACACTAGATACCGGGCGAGACGCAGGCTTATAACCTGCTCATCTCACCCCATCATCGCTTGACTCCTCAAGCGATCGAGTCGATATCATATAGGACTGTCAATTCCATCAATTCCCATTTGAGTCACGCTTGCCCTTCCGTTCCTTGGCATTCCTTGATAGCTCCCCTCCTATAGTCCATCACTGACGAACTGATAAATGGGGCGCCACAACCAATGAATGCTTAAGCTAGACAAGTTCACCGACAGGAAGGTTTGAACCCCCCTCGATATCACTCAGTTTAACATCAACAATCACTGGCTGGAGCATTACGTTTACCATCTAGGGCACCTAGAAATTTAGGCCGGACAACCCTCTTGCCTTACCTATGATCGAACACTAGTAAGGCCCCTCAATTCTATCGGTTCGACTGCAAGCCGAGTATTTTACCACTCGGTTACGTCCTTGATAGGTCAACCACGATTTGGTGTCAATTTTGAAGCAGTTTTTGGAAGAATAAATGATAAACCTTATTTTTTGGCTTTTTTTTATTTTGTGAACCATCGGGTTGCAGCTTGGCGTTGTGCGGCGACGTCAAGACCATTCCTACCGCGTCGCCATCGGATCCAGTCTGTGGACCATGTGGCCCCTCCCCCCTCCCACGAAGGGGGCGCGCCCTTCCTACTCGACATCGACATGGTCCGTGGATTGGATCCGATGAGTGAACTACCCTAACGGATCAAATATTTTCCGAATCACCGTCGTCGGATTAACTATTTTTCCGGCTTCACCCTCATCGGATCCAATCCGTGAACGACAAGCCTCGACGTCGACATGATTCATGGATTGGATCCGATGGTGGCGGCTTTTCATCGGATCCTATCTGTGAACAACTTAAACAAACTTGATTACTCGCGCTCGAGATGCATCGTAACCGAGCGTGAACGACAAGCCTCGATGTCGAGATGATCCTGTTATGGCACAACCTGAAATCCCCTCGAACGGTCTCGGCAGGCCCACTGTGGCTGTCGGATAGCCTCGTGTGCCTGCCCAGAGCCCTCGTGTGTCTGCTCACAGCCTTGCGTGCCTACGTGGTAACCTTGCGGCATGACTGTACCGTTGGCTATAAGTATCTGGGATAGGTCTGCATTGCTTTCACGCTCTTTGTCTCTCGTCTTGTACTTTATAGTGCATTGGATAGTAATATTATTGTCGAACCTCCACTCTCGTTCCCTCGTACGCCCCCACCCTAACACATCACGAATTATAGCATTACGTCACTACACCTTCTCGTACTACCTTTAGTGACTAGGCCTTTAAGTAGAATACATACAACTCTTAACGAGCTATATGATGATAGTTTCTAAAGAATGGTTGCAATGACTACATAGCGTATCAGGGTGCGTCTTCGCATATCTAGCGCCCAGACAGCCTATCCCATATTACTTTATGGTTCGGCTTTTTAGGCATTTTCTGTAACGATTTGGTACTTGTCCCAGATCTTCTCACTGACATCTTCTAGATGAACAAAGCGCTCGAGATGTTTCGGCCATGTTGAAGTAGCCGGGTGCTCTTTCCCGTTAAGCCGGCGTGGCGTAATCCAGAGGAATTCAAGCCGCACATCAAATTTAGATTGTTCCATTATCCACTGGCGGTATTCCTTTAAGAATGTCGCATGAGAATCCGAGTGAGAGTCAGCGACCGTGATCTGAATAGGGTATAGGGATAGTATCGGCCTCTCCCCCTTAGCATACTTCTTCTTCTTCTTGGTATCGATCCGAACAATGATTCCGTCTATAGCCTTGTTATCATAATTTAGGGGGCGATAAAGGACCCATTCATTCGTAATGTCCGTATCGATGCTGCTCGAATTCACAAAGAGTTTCAACCGCATACCGTCTTTACTCCTCTCACAGATAAATAAACCGTCGCGTTGAATGACTGCGAGGACAGCGTACTCTATTATAAATCTAATCATAGATCGACTGTTGACAAAGTTACGCAGTGAACCCAGGAAGTTAGTGTTGAGGAAATTACGGCTCTCCACAAGAAGCTGATCTGCCACAGCCTCCCGAACTAGACCACACGTGTATCCTCCGGTCTCTTCATCGTTGTGATAGAAGTACCGATGGTCGATTAGGTCGAGATGCCCAGACGATCCAGATGGGACAGTCTCATTCAGGAAGCAAGCCGTTACGTAGTCACAATACCTGAAGGGTCAGCAATGTCCTGAAAGTGTAATTAGTAGAACATACCATTTCCAGGTATCATTATCTTCCTTAGTGATCCTTCGGACATCCTGCACAAAACCCACAGATTGGTTACGAATGTCGCGTAATTCAGATCTTTTCAAATTGATTTTTCCTGTCACCACGCAATTGTCTAAGAGCAATGGGATGCGGCCGGTAATATCTTCAAACTTCTCTGGATCGCAATCTTCCATCTCGAGGTCTTTATGTCGTTCCCACCACTGGTGCATTTCGGTCTAATTAAGTTAGCCTTCTTGTGGATAAATTTTGAGATAAATTTGAAAGTGACTTACGTCATCCAGACCGCCATCGACTCGTAGCACACGGTGCGAGCTCTGTTTCTGAAACGCTTTAAGGTACTCTGTATAATTTGCAGAGGAGCTGAAGATAGCTTTGTGACGTAAAGTGAAACTTTTTACCCAGTTATGTAGATTTCGTATCTCTGGTTCATGAGGGTCAGTAGTCTTGAAAGCGTTCATCTGGTCGATGACAAATATAACATTCTCTTGGGAGGAGATGAAGGCCTTAATCTGGTCCGTCGTATTTAGTGGTGGAATCTCCTTCTGAATAATGACATCGTCTGCCCAGGCGAACAGCATTGCAGTTTTGATGTATACAATAGGATCGACGAGCAATGATCGGCAATCCGGAATATAGACGACCCGTTCATCTTGGGCAGTCAAATAGCAGACGAGAGCGGCTAGCAGATGAGACTTGCCATACCCCTGAGTACCATAAAGCCAAACGCTCATGTAACGATCATAGCATCGGACTTCGTCAAGGGTTTTGACAAGCTGTTTAAACTTCGTTCTTCCCACGTATCGCCAATGTCCTTTCGACCCTTTGAATCGATTTGGTATGGAAAGCAGAAACGGGAATGGAAGTACTCGATCAAATGCGGGATCGGAAAGTCGGTCGACGACTTTAAGAGGTTCGACGGAATTGGAAAGTTGGTCGGCGGAGCACTTAATGTCTGTAATGGCGTCCTTGACGTGCTTTCTTCGTTCGCGAGCTGCGATGGCGAGATTCGACATTGATTCTTCGATACGATATCTTTTCGGCGAAATGGGCGGCTCCTCAGGTGCGTCTGCTATACCTGCAATTTTATTAGCTATTTATCGTAAGCTAGACCGAAGATGTTATCACCTTTCCTCTTTTGGCCAGCTGTCTGGTCCGATTGATCGTCTTAACACTGTTAGCTAGTGTCTGAGTTATATCCACAGTCTAATCTTACTCTGTTTCTTAACTTTTTTTGCAAGGGATGCAAGAGCACCATAGACTCCGAGGGGCAGATGAATTTCTCTGAAAAAATCTAGATCTTCAGCATACTCCATGAAGGCGGAGCCACTAATTTTTGCCGCTTTGAATGTCAAAACGTCGTTGTTATCGCGGAAAATTTTCGGTTGTATATTCTTGATCCATTCGAGCAATTGCTCATTGTCCCAACTTTCCATCTCTTGAGTTGTAGGAATTCTCTTCGGGTCTTGCCCAGCTTTCTGATTAGAAGCGTTCATTATGATCGACGTGAAGTAGGGTTAAACGAGGGAGATGGTATGAGATGACGACTCGCAGGTAGGTTGTGGAGAGTTCAAACTCGCCCAAGATAAGCGCACACGAACTGCGGTGGGATAGGGGGTCGCGAAGTTAGAGGTAGGGTCTTCGATCTGGTTATGAGGGTAGAGGGAGCAACAGTGTAGTATACACGGTAGAGAACTTGTCGGTGGCAACGGGGATGATGGATTGATTGATGGGGAGAAGATGGAAGGCTAAGAGTGCAAGCTGCCCCAGGTGTCACTGCTTGCGGCGACACGCCAAGCCAGCGTTGCCTATTCTGGCTAACAACGGCTACTCAGGGAATACATCGGGAGAGTGATAACCCATAACGACTCGCGTATCACAGCGATATTGCTAAACGCTATAATAAACTGTGGACTCTAGAGAAGAGATATGTTGTTATTTTATCTAAACAAGAGAGCAAGACTGAATAAGTAGAAAGGGTGCAAGTTGCGACATTGCCAAACCAAATTCCTCACGTGGCAATACTAAGCCATATGTCACGTGATTGAAAACAAACACCGGTCCCACCCGGCCGCATACGATACGATACGATACGATATGATATTCATACACCTTGTGCGGGCTACCTCAGTACACTAGGGGCCGCGGGCAGGATGTTCCACGGGGGTGAAAACGTAGCTTTTGTATTTTGGGGACAAGCCCCTAAACCCCCGGCCTCGCTGCGCTCGAGAGATCACGTGATTAAACCGGGCACACTGGCCTTGGGAACTCTTGGCGGCGCACACATGCGGCGGTACGACGATTCACGTGATTGCAACCCTCGGGGTCCGGAAAATCTATAATCCGACACCCAATCACGTGCTCTAGTTGGCTCCATCGGATCCAGTCCACGGCCCATCCAGGAGGGGTGGAATGCCGCCGTAGCCCGGAAAATCTATAATCCGAGAGCCAATCACGTGCTCTAATTGGCCAACCCCATCGGATCCAATCCACGGCCCACTCAGGAATGGGTAGAATGCCGCTTTTGTCTGCCAGACCACCATGATCGGATCCAGTCTATGGACCGTGTGTAGACGATGTTGATCACGGTGTCCTATGCCGTACGATTCATGGCTCATGAAGTAGACGACGGTATACCCAATTAGGAAAGCCGACAACCATATCCGCGATACATCGATACATGGGGCTTAGATATCGACGATGAGATCGGCATCTGCTATAACAACTGATTCGTTCTCCATATGTAGTCTAAGTCCCGGTCTTGGGACGTGGCAGTATTTGCCCTCTTGAAGTGATCCAAGTCAAAAGGCCCCTCAAACAACAACCCGTCTAAGGTCTTCACCCGTGATACCGCTACATACGACAGGCCCAGGCAGTGCTCTGTTTGACTTAAATCCAGAACTACTCTCGGTAGGGTTAGGCCCTAGCTTTTATGAACCGTTATCGCATAGGATAACCGGACGGGAAGCTGAGTACGGGAGCATGGTATCCCTTGGAACTCAAACTGACGATTAACAGGAAAGATCGGGACGACTCCTGGGTCACATTGGGGGAAATTGGGGCCGGTGTAACCGTCAAACTTGACGAGTAAGAATGGGATCCACGAAAGATCCTGGCCTTCCTGCCAGGCCATATCTTGAATGCAACCAATCGATCCATTCACCAGTCCTAATTCGGTCCAGAGATTTTGTCAAACTTCTCGTGCAACTTGAAATGAAGGAGCGCTCTGTTCTCTATCTACCTATCGAGGTGTTGAGGCTCCTTTTGTAGACACACGAATGTGTCGCACTTGTGGTACAACTCGAGATGAAGGAGCGCTCTGTTCCCTATCTACCTATCGAGGTGTTGAGGCTCCTTTTATAGACACACGAATGCTACACTGTTGCACAGAGCAACCATCTGTAACGTCGTTGCCCATGGAGACCTCTCATCATCCAACAGAATGCTACACTGTTGCACAGAGTAACCATCTGTAACGTCGTCGCCCATGGAGACCTCTCGTCGTCCAACACTATTCCACACTCTACCTTGTGCACTCGCAACGATTGATGATCTTTCTCTCTACACCCCTCGTAACAGATCGATACCCTTCGTCGATATCGTTGTTACAATTGGACTTATTAAGCGCCTCGCATTTACCGAGTCTCCACTTGCCGGATTTTTATCGTCTGTACTCACGATTAAGTCAAGACACGACGCCTTCTTTCATACCTTGAATGGCAAGGTACCCAATTGTAACAACAGTACTAATGAAGGGTGTGAAGAGAGGGATCATAAATCGTTGCGAGCGTACAAGGTAGGGTGTGGAATGGCAATGTACTGAAACCTGTCTGTCTATCTAAGGGTTCGAAGGCTCTTCTTATACCTTCGATCCGCCCATCTTCCTGCCTCCTTTCTAACGCCCAGCCCCCTTCCTGCCACCTTCGTAGTGGCTGGGAATTCGTGGCGTGATGGGTGTTACACCAATCCGACTCCATTTGACACTGGGATCAGTGACGTATGGGCATATAATCTCGCTCTACCCTACGTCGTTCCGGGATCTTGCCCAGTCGAAATACCTTTGCCAATCCTGCCGAGACTAACGGTTGCGCAAGCTACAGGTGCCCCTAAGATGAATATTACCCAGAATTCAAGGGAGCTTGAATTTATGTGGGATCCTACGGAAGCCCCCTTCGTCGCTGAAGCTAACAAACAATTGCTAATTGGATGGGTGAACCAGCTAAATCCCCCGATATACACATCTCTGAATATCACCGACACTGGCAAAGGGACGTCTTGGGTACCGCAAGACATAAATGGAGTGGCTTTCGCAGCGATAACAGTACAGCAACATGACAACATCTATGACCTAGTCCTTGCTACAATGGCCGGACCTGTGCTTATAGCGGCATCCTAAGGGGCGAGGAAATGAAAATGACGCTACAAATCTACGAGGCTTCCATTGACAGAGCATCGGGGGTACAATATTTGGCCAGGCCCTGGTTCTGAATCACCACGTGCAATCTAAGCACAGGAGTTGGAAAGGAGGCCCCTCGCGGGCCGCTTTAAAACAGTTTTGTTCTGCTTGTTTTATAACTCTCGTGCCTACTCTTTAGTAATATTTCTGAACACTTTATCCGACTCACCTGGCAAATAATCATATCATAACAACCGAAATGTTGTCTCTGGAGACTCTTGTCTTCCAAGAGTATGCCAGGGAAGCTTCCAAAGACGGGCCACGCTCGCAGCATCACTGGTTTCTTTTGACCTGACCCAAGCAAGACCGAGCTTGGTTGGGCATTTTTTACACACACCTTGCAAATTTTTTTTTGAAGCTGCGTTAGCTGCATCGCCAGCTCGCGGAAAGCATCTCTTTTCGGCCTTCATTTGGAGTGCGTTTCCGGATTTACTGTGGGAGGTGTAGAGGACGTGTCGACAAAAAGTCAAGAGCAGTTTGCTAGATTCTTATATTGGCCCGCTGCCGAGAATTGCAGTGTGAGGGCAAACAGGCTCGCTCGGCGTGAAGGCGCTGTCGAGTCACCGTTTGCACGGTCATGTTTCCAGCGAGCGTGATGCTCAGTCGACATCGTGATCGGTCCCAGATACGGCTACCGCCGGGCATCGCTGGGTTGGAGGACTTCCACTCTACTCGACTAATGAAAATACGTGGATTATTTATATTTCAGGTTGGTTCTGTGTTATCCACCAGGCCTTGATATACCAGTCCTGATAGTAGAACCGAGTACTGTCTACACAGCTTACTCGCCAACCTCACGGTCGCTATCCCAATGAGCCAGAGCTCTTATAATTCCCCAGTTCCAGGTCAACCGTCTCAGGCGCTTGCCGAAGAAATAAAATGGTACGACGCCAAGTAGTACCGCCCCGGTGATCCCGGCCATTGCTCCAAACGCATTGCCGTAGCCGGACTTCTCGATCCATGAATTGGTATAGAAGCTCAAAAGGAATCCAAAAGCAGCTGGGGAGGCATTATCAGCATACTTAATTCCATAGAAAAGCCAGGCACTCACATTTGAAGGCGTACATGGCAACCGTCACCTCACCTGCAATAGGACGGTAACAGTCGATCATGTAGACTAGAGCAATGTTTGCGGCTTGCACAATGGTAAAGGTCACTGTGTGCATCAGTCACGCCATTTTCAAATATGGTTGGGGAAAGGCAGCATGAGCCTACACATTCCGACACCAATTGTCGGGCAGATCCAGTGGAGTCGCTGCTCAATTCCAACCCCGTAGAGCACGAGCGATAGTGGGCCGGTAATCACGGACAGTGCCATGGCCGGCAAACGCATCTCCGGTTCTCGAAGACCTGAATTTCGAGCTGTGAGGGAGTTGGCAACCAAATCTGATAGCTTACCGCCGAAGAATACGGCAAGTAAAGCCCCGACGATGATTGAGACGCAGCACAGTCCGGCCTGCCAGGTTTGCATGTTATAAGTGACTGAGTAGGCCGTGGCGAGGTTGGAAGAAACGGCCACGAAGAAACCGATGCAAACGGACATGACCAAAGTTGCCCACAAGACGGCCGGCAGAATAAGTAAAACGATGGGTCGGATTCCGAGCGTGATAAACGATTCTTGGGTATAGGGCTCCGCTGGAACGAGTCGCAAACTTTGGAGATAGGTGAGTTTCCTGCCAGCAGCTGGCCTCTCTCCGGTCTCGCTCGCATGTTCGATGGCCACGACGGACAGTTCTGATGGCTCCTTGGCAACAGTGGACGGCGCTTCATCAAACGCTCCCGCGCTTCTAAGATATGTCGTCTCGGGAAATGTAAATAGCATCAACAGCCAGACAAAGCCGACAAGACTGCCAGCGACCCAATATATGACACGCCACGACAGGTCCTTGGTAATCAGACCGTCAACGACGGTTCCGAGGCCAGCTCCAAGGTTGAGCATGCAGGTGTAGATGCTGAACGGGTCAGTACGCACACATGGTCAGGATGGTTGGGGGAAAAAGGAAAGACTCACACCACCATGGCGCCACGCTCGTGGAGAAAAAAAATATCTGAGATCGTCAGAGGACCGAGGACTTCAGGGGGTCCTGCAGCGAAGCCCATCAAGATCCTTGCAGCCAGCGCACTCCCGTAACTTTTGGCAGCTCCGGCCCAAGCAATCGTTGCGATGAACAAGGCAAAACACGCCAGATAGACAACTCTTCGCCCATATTTGATAGCCATCGGCACCCAGAATATATTGCTCAGGCCCATTGTCAGAGCCGTAGTCGTGAAGAAGTAAGCAGTTCGTGCAATATTGTGGAGCAGATCTGGACCCGGTGGGCCGAAGAAAGTGACGGCCTGGTCGACAATAGCGATGGCTGGACCGGCAGAGACGAATGTGCAAAGGAAAATCGCCATGGAGGATATCCCCGCCATGTAATACTTGTAAGCCTGGTTCCTGGAACGCCGTCAGTTGAGCCATATAACCGCGAGATTGGCGTTTCCCTCTATCCTTGCACCTTCGTTTATGCTGCAGGAGAGAATTACCAGTTCAAAGGATCATTAGGGTCATCCGTAGGCCTTGGGATGCGGATGATCTCATTTGTGCCCGTCGCCTGAAGACGCAAGGTCCCTAATGTTTTAGTTGGTGGAGATTCAAGCTTGACCTCGATCTCCATATTTGTGGTTTGGCAATTTTGCAGATGAGAAGTCTACACGGAATGATTATAACTCAGGTCTCAAGGTAAAATGCAATATCACTTTCTATGCTGCACTGGTTTGGTTGGGTGGAATATATAGAGGACAATACTTCAACAAGGTTCACACGCCTGGACTGTTCTTAATTCCCCACAGAGATAGGGGCTAGTTACACACTGAAGCAGTTTGTTTCGGATGCCTTGAGCAACTGCCGGTGGGAAGTGACAGCCTTTCATGTAAGTTAGGTCCCACGGCATGATTTATCCTCGAGAGAAAATTGCTCTGGCCACGACAACCCTGTGCCGATTAAGCCCAAGTTTTCGCCAATGACCGAGCTTGGAGTGTCGCAGCGCTTTTTTGGGTGGTGGGGGGGGAGCGGGGAGTGGCACGGATTTTCAGCTCAGCTGCACCGTACTAAATTTGATTGAGATACGGAATAGCTACATCTGCTTCGACAGTATATCGACATCTACCAACAGTTTTCGCCCCCGCGGAGCGGCGGCGAATCTGTCCTCAATCTCCATATCGTCCTCCGACATGGACTTGTTCAATGTCAGCCGTAGCGATCTAAATACCTCGCTCACGGCTATGCATATCTCTATCATGGCCAGGTTCTGCCCGATACAATTGCGGTTTCCAAGTGAGAATGGCGTCAAGGCATCATTCAGGTTCTTCGTGTCTTCATTTAGCCAGCGGTCTGGTATGAACTCGTCCGGGCGTGGGAAGAGGACTGGGTCCCGGTGGTGAACATAGTTCTGCATTCCTACGACCGTACCTTTAGGCAGATTAAAACCGGCGATCATCTGGTCGGTATCGAGGATACGTGGAAGAGTGGAGACGATTGTTGGAAAGAGCCGCAGGGTTTCTTTAATGACTGCCTTTAGGTAGGGCAAGTCTTTGATTGTAAAGTAGTCGCCGCCGTTCGCCAAAAGCTCTTTCCGAAGTTCGTCTTGATAGCACTGTCCTTCGGGCCTCGACAATGCGTAAATAAGAAAGGCGAGCGTGTTCGATGTGGTGCCGCTTCCTGCAAAGGTGATACCCATAATCTCTTCTTCAACTTCTGATGTGGTGAGCTGCCTCCCTTGGTATTGGTCTGTGGCATCAAGAAGTGGAATCGCGAAAAGATTCTGGCCCTGTGCTTTTGCTTCGTCTCGAGACCGCCGCTGGAATTCCACGAGAAGCTCGCGATTCATATTCTCCCACACTTCGAACCCACGGTAGGCGGCTCCAATGGCGCCGGGGAGTCGCTTGCCAATTCCACAGGAATCGAGGAAAGGAAAGTTGGCATTCAGAGGAAGCCTGGCGGCACTGTTTTCCATCCCTCTTAGAAACGCCAGACCGGCTTTCATGGTGTCGTCCTCAAACTCGAACCCAAACGTAAACTTGCAGATGACTTCGACACTAAAGAGTCCCAAGAGCTCGAAGATAGCAGCTGTTGGAGTTCCATATCGCCCATTGATTTGGGACGCCTCTGAAATTCGCCGGACCAGCGCCCTGCTTCTCTCGACGACGAAATCCTGGTTCTCCAGCAACTTCTGCTGGGAAAAGACCAGGTTGAGGATCTTCCTCCGAGCAGAGTGCTCGGCTTTATTTCTGATTCACCGATTAGCCCGATGGCGACTGACTTGGAAAGACGCCATTCTTGCCTCATACTGAAGATATTATCATGATTTCTGAATCTACCATTGCTGTAGAATCGATCGTCCTTGGCGGTGGCCCTTGTTGAGTAAATCTGGCGATATACACCTGGGTCGGCAAACGATACTTCATTGGGTCCGACCCTCAAGACCGGACCGTACTGTCTGTGCAGTGCCATCAGGGTCTAGAAATAGTCTCAGTAAGTGAGATTTGTCATTGAACGTTGATCCTATTCACCTGCGCTCTATTTCCACGCATGATTGAGACTGTCAGCGGCTGATTCGAGATCTTCCATGTAAACGGCCCGGGCACGCCGGCAAGGGGGTGAAAGACCACATCGTAGAATGCCTGCCAGGGTGAGCCAGATGACACAGGCACATAGTCCATGGCATCTTACCTTCCCAAGCAGATAGGTGATGACAGCGAACACGATGACCAAAATCCCAATCATCTTCCATTTAGGCACCCCAACCTCAACAGTCACCATGTTCAATTCCATGCCTTGGACTACAATCAATACGTGGTTTGATAAGTTCTTAGACTCACTTCACGAAGTTGAACTTAGCCTTCCACCATGGATTCTTCAAATAAAATACTAGGGAAATGCCTCAGGCATAATGAATGCATTTGCACAGCTGAGACGATTCACGTCCCGTATTCTTCGTTTATCTACTCGACATTCTGTGCACATACCCTCTTGTGCCGCTCGATACGAGCGACTAGCGTATATCTTCCCAAATTTCCCCACAATATCGTAAAACTGCCCTGCCACCCCCGCTAAATGTGAAACCAATCGGAAATAGGAGCCCAATTGTCCCACATGTAAGGTTTCTCACACGTGGGAAGCTCAGGATCCTCAATAACTCGGCATGATTTTACGGCTTGTGTCGCAGACCATTGGGATTAGCTTCGAGAGTACAAGACTACGAGGCCTCAGTATGGCCTCCATGATGATCCAGACTGTTCAAACTCAAGAGAATATCATCCTCGCTACGTCAAAATGGCAATGTCAATCGCTGGAATCGAGGTCCTTCAATGTTCCCCAACGAGTCCAAGTGCTCCCGATTCGAATTACAGCGGGCTTTTTCCATCCACATCAGTCGTGAACAAAGGGTTTCGAAAGTCCGCCGATCGCGCCGCCTTTCAGGCAGACACAATTTTCGACAGAGACATCGAAATCCCGCTCCGTGACGGTGTGAAGTTACGAGCAGATATCTTTCGCCCTCGTCAGGATGAGAAAGTCCCGGCGATTATTGCTTGGAGTCCTTACGGGAAAACAGGAACAGGTGGGTGAGCCGCGAGACTTCCAGGCTTTCACGGTCTCACACGTGGCCAGGGTTTTTCTCGTTGGACTTGACTCCCGGTCGTGCCGGGGTGCCCAAGTCTAGAACGTCAGGGTTCGAGAAATTCGAAGCCCCGGATCCCGCTGAATGGACGGCAAAAGGGTATGCCATTTGCAATGTGGATGCACGAGGTGTGTTCGATTCCGAAGGCGATATCAGGTGAGGCGACTGCGCTCGACGGAGAGCGTCACCCTGGCTAACCGCAGTTTCCCTCATCCATAGATGGTTTGGCACCTCAGAGGGCAAGGATGGCTACGATACCGTTGAACACATAGCATTGCTGCCATGGTGTAATGGAAATGTCGGCATGGTTGGAAACTCCTGGCTGGGGATTTCTCAATGGTTTACAGCCGCCGAAAACCCTCCTCACCTGAAGTGTATCGCTCCACTCGAAGGCGCCAGCGATATCTACCGAGAGATTGCTGTGCGTGGTGGGGTCCCTGCACTTCCATTCCAGGGCCTCGTGCAGACAAAATTATACGGTATTGTCCTCCGAGACCCTAGTTCCAGACTATTATTGTACTTATCTAACACTTTCCATCAGGTCGTCAACAGCAGGAGGATGGAGTAACCATGACCTTGAAATACCCTACCTGGAACGGGTTCTGGGAAGACAAGCGAGTGAAAATGGAGAAGATAAATGTCCCAGCCTACATTCTTGCCAGTTACTCGACAGGACTACATACCGAGGGTTCGTTTCGAGGGTACGAAGAAACGAAGGGACCGAGGTGGTGAGCTATACCAACTGTCTTTATGCGAGACTGTCTAACGTTGCAGGCTTCGCGTTCATTCGACCCAGGAGTGGTACGACCTGTACAGCAAGGAATGTAACGACGATCTCCAGCTGTTTTTCGATAGATACTTGAAGGACATTCGGAACAAGTGGGAGGACACCCCCAGGGTCCGAGTATCGATCTTGCGTTTCAACAAGGTAAGCCATAAAACCAAGTGTACCGGGCAACACTCATTATTGTGACAGCCAGCCATAGAGAATCATAAGTTTCCAGAATGGCCCATACCCAACACTCAATATCAGACATTATGGCTCCGACCCTCAGGAGAGCTCGTGGAACCAAACATAGCGGACTCATCCGTGGGAATCTGTACGTATCAATCCGACGTACCGGCAATGCAGAAAGGAAGTGACCCTGAGGAGATCCAGTTTAAATGCAAGTTTAAGCAGCCGTGTTATGTTGTTGGATATCCCAAAGCAAAGCTCTACGTCTCTTGTCCCAATCACGATGACTTGGATATCTTTGTACAGCTTCGAAAGATGGACATTTCGGGGAATCTGTTGGAGAATCTCAACATCCACCCAACAGCGCTGGGCATCCCGGCAGACAAAGTCCCCAACGTCAATGTTCTGAAGTATCTGGGTCCTACCGGTATCATCAGAGCCAGCCATCGACAATTAGACCCTAAGCTTAGCAAAGCACATCACCCCGTGCTCAGCCATAAAACCCTCCAAAAAGTCGGGCCCGGCGAAGTTGTTGAGTTGCAAATTGCAATCTGGCCGTGCGGAATCGCCTTTGACGCCGGCGAAAGCCTGATATTGAAAATCAGTGGACATGATATGAGACTCGCAGAGTTTCCACCTCTCTATGGCAGCTTTAAAAGTGGGAACAAGGGCAGTCACAGGATCTACTGCGGCGAGGGAGGATACCAAAGCGAGCTGGTCATTCCTACTGTGAATCTTTGAAAACTACAGTTTGGATACAACGGCTCTACAATTCCTTCCTCGAACTTCTCAGGACCTTGCTTGACATCCTTTACCAGACGGAAAAAAGGGTTGCACCCTGATTTATGACACCGCAGATCGTCAGCACGTCAATAGAAATCTCGGAAGGGACGACAATATATCAGTAGAATAGAAATATGCGAATACTGTACTCCCATGGGGAGCACCGGGCCATGGTGTGGTTGTTTTTGTTGTCGTCATGCTCACCAGTCCCACAAATTTCGAGGAATCCACTTCTGAAACAAGTATCAGAAGATCGGCATGGCCTCTGTCAAAAGGTGAGGCCGAATCCCTTTTCTACATGAGATCATCAGGCAGTCCTGATGCACATGTGAAGAGGCATCTCTGCAGCTAGAGCAAACGGCTGACGACTCCGGAAGTGTTCACATAACAGTGTGGTCACATGACCGCCTGACCCGCGTTTTCCGGGATTGCCTCGGGAGAGCGAGTCGGGAGAGGGAGTTTCGAATAACAGCGAGTGGGTCTGGGGCTGTCTAAGCACAATTGAGCCTAGCGGTGCGAGCATCGTCCGGTGGATGGCGAGGTACCTCAAATCCTTAGTAAAATGGGGGGTTTTCAGGTACCTTTCCATCCACTTTTGCTTTCCTCGCATAATTGGCCCCTCTTGGTACTTCTTTTCTAACGTCGTTGATCCCTTTGGGCAGAACCCTTTGCACTCGCCTTTACAGGTCTTTTTGCACCCAATTTTGACGTTGTTGCGTGGTCAGAGCGTCTCTGTTGTCTATGAAGTAGAGATGCTCAGCGCACCCAAAGAGGGCTCGCCAGATGTCGCCAATGAAGGAAGTGGATGTAACACCCATCACGCCACGAATTCCCAGCCACTGCGAAGGTGGCAGGAAGGGGGCTGGGCGTTAGAAAGGAGGCAGGAAGATGAACGGATCGAAGGTATAAGAAGAGCCTTCGAACCCTTAGATAGACAGACAGGTTTCAGTACATTACCATTCCACACCCTACCTTGTGCACTCGCAACGATTGATGATCCTTCTCTCTACACCCCTCGTAACAGATCGATACCCTTCGTTGATATCTTTGTTACACCCAACTCCCTACTTTGGCAATGCCGGCAAACCTTAGCAGTATTGACCTCTCATCCAGCACCACTACTTGATGACCTTGATCTCAGGATGGGACCCGTCAAATTTAATGGAGCTGTGATGGATAACACCTCCATCTTTCGAGCCGATCCGTCTCCAGAAGTCGACGCTGCTTGGGATCTTCTCTCGGCGGAAGGCTTTGAGATCATCACCGTCTCGTCAGACGCAATCTCCCTGTCAGGTCACGATCCAAGGCTGGGCGTCAAGGCACCAGCATCTTGGTTCGTTCCGGACAGCGGTAGGCCTAGAAGTGTGCACCATCAATCTTCGACCGACGAGAACGGCGCTCAATACATCGCACAAATTGACGTCTTTCACCAGATCCACTGCCTCGATCAACTTCGCCGACAGATAAATTACGACTATTACTACGGGGACAAATGGGGCGACAACCCGCCTCCACAGCACATGTCCCATGTCAAACATTGCATTCACATCTTACTGCAGAACCTTATGTGCCATGCTGATGTTGATATTGTGCCGCATAACTGGGTCCATTATCCCGATTTACATCAAAAAGGTCGACCGTATGCAGAACCACTGGCGGATTTCAGCATTGTCAAGCAGTGCAGGGATTTTGAAGAACTCTTGAGTTGGGCGAAACAGAATGTTGTACCAGATCTGGCTCACAAGTGAGCGGATCTACGAGTGGCACCAAAGGATGCTATCATCTTGGACGGCACCGGTGGTTACTTTTAACAAGCTCAAAGGTATGTCGAGGGACCTCACACAAGACAAACTAGATAACTTCTCATTTCTTAAGCAAATTGAAAAAAGCGGGCAAGCAGAATCATTCTATGGATTGTAAGTTGCCGTTCACATAGCGTTGTGACGTCCGCGGAATCCTACCATAGTTTGTAATTTGACTTCAACCAAAATTTTGCACTCCTTTCACCGTAGGATCATCATCTAGTGGATCGTACACTCTTCTACTCCTATCAAGATGCTTTACATGATTTTCTTTTCCCCATTCCCTGATTGCGTCAAAGTTCCGACAAGTGTGCAGAACCCTGGCTACTTCCATTGTTTTCTGGTTTTCCTCCGACCAAACGAACGGTAGCGGTGTCAGATCGCTTGCACACATTAGTGATTGCCGTATGGTGTCTATGCAATGGTCTATGTGCTCGATGCCCATAAGTGGTGCGTCTGGAAGGTATATCTCGGTAGACCACACCCGAAGACGGACCATATTCTATACGCCATTAGACGATGTCAACGACGACAGGAGAAGAATAACCAGTCAGAAACCAGACTCACAAGGCAATGGAGCTGATGAAAAAACATCAAGACCGACAGCGTAGTAGCCCGGATCATCCGGGATAGGCACCGTCCTGTTTGCCAATTCATGGGCCTCCGCCATCGAAATTCGACTGATTCCAACTGCATCCTCAAAGTCAGCTTCTACATCTAGTATGTACAAGTCACTCCAAGCCTGGTCACTTTCGGGAGATGGGGGGCCCTGATACTCGCTCAGCTCCGCCCCAAACCCGGACGTATAGACAATATCGTGGTATTGCACAGCATTTTGAGCTGGAGCTGCATGAATTTGATCAGTACGCGTACACGAAGACCTCAAGTTTGGAACACGTACAGTACACAGGATGTTGAGGCCAAGCTTTGTGTGCTTGAACCACCGAAGAGTACCTGCGAATCAGCCACATGAAGTGCAGATTCGACAACACCAACAGGATTGTGATTGCCCATGTTGCGACTCTTGTTACTCTCGACACCGTTAGGTGGGAACACGGATATTTTGATGACCTGTGCCACGTAAAGGAAGACTTCTTTTCGTCATGTCGAACGTCCTCGATGTCGTCTTGAGGGACGATTTCGAAACCTGTGGAAGGCTTTGTGAAGAAGGTGAAACTCATCTTCTGTGCCTGGTGTATTGCGAATGAGTTTATGTTGTCCTAATTGCAAATTGTCCCAGACCAGGCATACAACGACGAAAAAAGTCCGGTACGCCTTTTTGTTCCGAACAGCCGCCCTCGAGAAAGTCCTCATGCCTCGTAAGCCAAGAGATCAACGTACGCATCCTGTAAGATACATGTAACGCAGAAATGCGCGTGTCACTGTTCGCAAGTCAGTATCATCCTTACAGAATCAAATTTTCCTGGCTGAGGTGATAAAAGCCGACTGTGACGCTAGCATGCTGGAAGTGTTCCACCCGTCCTGCATGGCCCTTGGGCCGGGGAAGGGGGAGTGTAGTGGGGGCCTCGCCTCTTCCCAGCGGATAAGCGGGTAAACACCCCATTGGTCGCAACGATGAACCATGAAGCATGGAAGCTTATGTTGCTGACTGCAAGTTAATGCCTTTTCTGCTTCGACGGTGCAACAAGGGTCTTGCTTCGGCCCAATCTAGCTTATCTAAGAGGCTCTCAACCCAACATCTTGACGAGGTGATACGCTAGTTGTAAAATTTGCCACAAGAGTTCCAGGGATTGGCGATAAGAAATGATGTGATGGACTTGGTCAAGCTACGTATGGAGAACCTTCGGCAGCCGCATTATGCGATCGTGGTCTCCACTCGCGACAACTTTGGCTACGTCGCAACGTTCGTAAAAAGAACACTCCCCTGCATGCTTCATGCTTTCACGACTTCCTGTCCGGTCGTAGCGCGGAGGGGGGCCGGTTCTCAATGAGCGTGAAGACGCCGTCCCAGAGTATCCTGCACGAGTTCCGAGACATGCCAGTTATGAATCCCGCTCTCGAGGCGAAGTGCTTAGCTGGTACAAGAGTGATCCTTCCTTGGGACCAGCCAGGTACGTCTCTACATGAAGTGAAAGGCCCAATTGCCTTTGGGAAGTTTCGAAGAATATCGATTTTCATATTGAACGGCGAAAAAAGAACGTACATGCCATACAACACGTCAAAAAGCAGAAACAATGTTCAGAACCTCCCTAAATCCGAATCGTTCCCTAGATGAAGAGGATTTCAAGGAAGGCGAGAAGATCGAAACTATTGGCAAGAATCGACGACGACGGACGTGGATAGCGATCGTCCTTTTGTTCGTCGTAGTGGATGTCTTCTTCCTCTATTCAGTGGTTTCCAACAAAGAAAATTTCAACGGTGGGCAACCCCAAGGAGATAGAAAAACAAAGCCTTGTGGATCGACCGTCGAAGAAGCGAAAGCGGCCGGATGCTCCTTCGACCATCTAGCCCATCTATGGCTACCTAAGTCATGCTCACGACAATGGAGCTCAGAATATATGACTTACGAGCAGGGTCAGCCCTTCAAGTCCTATCTGGACGGGGACGGCCTGCAACCAGTGGAGCTCTCCGAGCAACCGTATCACACGGGAATCTTTTCGACGACAAAGGAGCACTTGATTCATTGTGCTTATGCGCTGATGCGAACGAGTGAATGGATGAAACAGGGGGGTCAATGGGAGAGGAAAGTCCTGTCTCCAGCTCACTTCCAGCATTGCATCAAAATGCTCTTGAATGCATCGATGCTGAGCCCTCAAATCGAGGCTCTTGAGAGTTTCACGTATCTGGGATTTTCTGACAGATGTTACGACAATGTCGTTGGATGAAGCCGGTCGGTGTTCGTTCCGCATCTGGATGAGAAGGATTTGGCTCATAGTGAAAAGGCATAGCGCTATTGGGTGCTGCCTTATTCTGTTCTTCTACGCCAGCACTTCTTACTTGGGAAGAACTTAAGGCTGGGCATCAAAATCACCAAAATTTCATCAATATCCCCACTTGACAAGATACTTGTCTAATAGAACCTCCCCCGTCTGCCTGTACATTGCTTGTAACTCCCGGGCCTTCAACGCAGGATGATTGAACAGATACGGTGGACAAATTGCCTGCACGAACCAGTACAATGCTGCAATCTCTTCAGCATCGGCGATCTGGGCTGGACCGAGAGCGCCAGCCTTTTCGAGCTCCTCCGCAAACATCTGTGATAATCTCCAGTCAATACCAACACCAGCACCAAATTTTGACGACTTCTCGTCGGAGGCGCCACCTAGGACGGTTTCTGGTAGAGGCTCTGGAAAACCGTGGAGTAGGGCTTTGTGCATTATAAGATTTTGTGTGTTTGTCGTGTAGGGACCAGGCAGGAAGTTGTACAGGTCGTAAAATGAGTGGAAGAATTCATGGATCGGCGTGGCAATATAGGACATGTCGCCTCCGAGAAGCCCACTGAGTTTGAATGTGTCGGGATCAATGAGAATGTTGTCGAGCGCTATATCTTCCAATTAGAGATATTCACCTATGCCTGTCTTATCTTTCAAATGGTGGAAACCTACTGATAGCCCCATGAACGATGCCTTTCTGGCCCATGCTCAATTTTTCAAAGGCCTTCTCGATACCGTCGGCCACAAACGAATCCAAACGTCCTCTGAGGGCGTTGTGCCTCCATCCGGCAATGATCTCACTGGAGTCTGAGAGTTTCAGCCGCTCGGTGGCTTCGTGTTTGTACATTGCTGCCATAGACGTAAAGGGTCCGCCCAGAATGCAGCTCGACTCTCCGCTGACGATTTCGCCGTACCTGTTGTGGCGGAGTCCACCAAACGAGTCCACCGTATCGGGAAGCTGGTAATTTTGAAGTGCATGTATCATATTGGCAAGTTGAGACAAAACGAGTCTTTGCTGTTCAAGTGAGCAGGAAGAAAAGATCTTTCCCAAGTTGATGCCTGGCAACCACTCCAACAAAATCCACGCATGTCCACTACCTGAGGAATTCGACCCATAAATTCTCGGTACGATTGCTCCTGTCGCTGTGCCGAGTGCGTCTCTTAGCAGTGACAGTGTAGCGACCTCGTTTTTCACCCGCAGGAAATGATCTTTGTTGCTATCAGGATGCGGCATGCGCATTGCGAGACGCTTGGTGCCAAATGGAATACGGACGGTGCCGGGACTAGAGGAAGTCGGGGTCTCCAATGAAGTTTGTTTCTCAAGCTGGATGTTGAAGGTGATAGTGTATGGAGTGCATGCTTCAAGATCTATCGTGCTAGTGTACGGACGGTTAGAGCGTTTGGAAAGCCCGGAAAAACGGTGTACTCATCTGGAGGCCGTAGTTCTTCCCGAGGACATTTCGTATGAACAAGATCTTGTCTTCAGTATTGTCACCCATTGTCTCTCGAGATGTCCGTGGGCTGGTGGCCTGGATTGACAAGGTGTATTTAGTTCTGTCGGTGATGAGCTCGCGAGGCTGTTTGAGAGATATCGAGAACAACGCGCAGAACTAGTGCCTTTTGAGTAGGACTTCTTTCAACAAAGCACCGACGCCTAACACCACCGATGCTTGTGGCCGCCTTGTTCATGAACACAGTCTACCCCGCAGGTGAGGAGGATGCTGCTCTTTCGAAGGAGCTCGTAGTCCAGCCCAAGATCAGACCCACCAAGAAGAATGTCGGTTGTCATCGATTTACTTCCGGTCCGTATGACCAAGCACTGGCAGCTATTGCTTTTCCAGAGCTTTTGACAGGGTGCAAAAGACAGAGGTTTGTCGTGCGCCTGCAGCTCGATAAGGGTGGAACAAGCGGCAGCCAACGCGATTCTTTTGGCGGTTGGGCATTGCTCCTCACCTGCATGATCTTGCTCGAGATACCTCACTTGCTGTAATCATGAGCCCCTGGAGTCAGTCTACGAACTCGGCAATACACGTCTGCATACGCGGGCTGGGTTGTGTGGGACCCAGGCAACCATGGTGGCGGAGTGACGCCTCGTCTGCAACGTTCAGGCTGGACGTGTCACTTAACCCCTCTTTCCGTATTTATTTGGTCTAGATTTCTGCCCCCAGAGACGGTGTAACTTAACTCTAATGTTGCGGAAGAAAAGCTTCTTCGCGGTATGCAACCCTCTTTAGACCGAATAACAACGCTTGATCGAGGGCGTAAGTGAAAGATTGTTCGAGGAGTTGATTGTTCTGACTTAAAGCCCCCACCAGCCGCGGGCAAAATCTGCTTTTTGCTGCTGCTATTGTCTGAAAACTTGAACTTCGCTCAGACAAATGATTACAGATCGATGATTAATGAAGACCTGTGCGGCTTTGTCCCCAAATGTAGCTAAGATTTCTGCAGCCGTCAATATGTGAAGTCCTCAATTGATGAAAAACCAAGTTGCCCATGAAGAGGTTATGTTCAGCCCAAGTAGAGGCATGGCGGAGGGAGAAGTGCTCAGCGAGTTAGGAAATCTGACGTCCGAGGACATTATGTCGCTGCTCCCACGTTCGTACCTGTCTATTGTACTGATCAAAACCCTTGACGTTGATGGTATTCTAGCTAGCTGGTCGAGGCTTCGTGCATGTCGTCAACTCTACGATGTACGACCAGCACTCAATAAGCACAGCATCTTCCACGCTCAACTCAAGCCGATCACTTCACTGTGCCATTCATGTCGATTGCTTCAGCGCCATTTGTGCTGTCAGCCCCATCATGGCGGGTGTTTGTCCTCGTCGCAACCTAATCTGGAACGCTGGCAATTCAACAGCACGTACTCTTCCATGTACACCTTCGTGTTTCCAGAAAATGACCTCGTTTACTGCCTTTGCTCCATACCGAAGTTGGTCGAAATCCGAACTGCAGTCGAAGTCACTGAGCCGAAACCTTGGTTTCCCCCCGCGCGCGCTGCCCGATCGACGTTCACTTGTGCTGTACTTGTCTGGCAGAACAGGCAGAATGCGCCATATTTCGCCTTGCTGTGCGTCGCCATCTTTGAAAAGGGACGTAGGAATGAGGTACGCCGTGTATTGCTGAAGATTCTTGACTCCAAATAGAGTCTTAAACGCTTGCAAAATGTCCGTTCCATTTGAAATCCAAGAATGGATTTGTAGCGCGGCTGGCAGTGAGTGAGAGATGACTATGCTCGAGTTGATCGTGTATTCGGAAAGAGGGTGGTGAAGTGCGCTGCCACCATGCTGTGGCTCAGGGACGTCGTAAATACCAGTATAGCGCATACCTAAAGATTTTTGAACTTGCCTGTCGGCGGCAATGACCACTGTAGGAACGACAATGTCCTCGATGAGCTGAAGTAGGTTGCGGTCCCCATTCGCGAGCACAATACACCCAAGGCCGTATTCGGGGATGACGACCAAACTGGAAAAGTAGTTCGCGTGAATGCTTCTTTTGACCATGATTTCGATAGCCCGAGTTGTGTACGGAAGAAGAGTATCAACCTTGATGATCTGCCACGGACTACCATACGAGTTATGTGTGCCTCTAGAGAAAGCGGCAGGATGAAACCAATTCACTGATGAAGATATGGAGCCGGAGGTGCCGAGGACGTATCGCAGAAATTTAGCCAAGTCGGTTGTTGTAGAGCAAGCGCCACTGCTGCTGGTGCATCCCGTAAGCAGTGTCCAGTGTACACAGGACAGGACTTACGGAGTCGAGACCTCCAAAATTTTAACTTTATCAGAGCCAGATACGCAAGCAAGGCCGGCTGTCGAACCCACTGAGCTCGTGAATACAGTGTTTCCCATATTCAGTCTGGAGAAAATTTGAGATTGAACGTAGTCAACATATGACATTGCAGTAGCATTTTGAAGAGCCAGCCCCAACAGCTCAAAGCCCACTTCTGACTCTAGAGGTCTTGTGTTGGGAGCATACACGGGTTGCTCAATTCGAATACAGTCTAACAGGTCTGGATTCCGGGTGGTGAGTTGTTGCGCTGGCATTGTCAAGCCGCTCAATCACTAGACTCACCAGTGATAGTACAAGCTGTAGCAGAAGACCCGCAAGAGCTACATCGACCTCTCCCATTAGATAATATAGGTGGCAGTCCCAATCTCCAAGGTTCACGCAGATCATCGGAGAGATCAGGATAGAGGACTGCCTGGTTGTAAGACGACAGATATTGGTCGGTCAAGTTGCAATATACTGACCTTCTCTGGGAAGTCCACTCATCTGGCTTGCCAGTGATCTCAAAGTGATACGATCCCAATCTACGGAACTCGTCGAAGTGTGTTCAAGTTGTGGTATGAATCGTGTGATGCTGACGTCCAAGGACGGGATGTGACCCTCGAGATTTGCATGCAATGTCGCCAGGACCGTAAACAGCTGTGTCAATTCGCCGATAGGATGTAAGTTGCCGTCCTCACTATGGGGCTGTACATTCTTGCACTGCGGTTTCTCATAACCGACAGCAGTCTGATGATAAGAAAAGATGGTGTGATCAAGGGTCGTGACATGTACCGAGACTGAGCGGAGGTGAGGGCTCTCCGAGCGGAAGATGTCGTCCAGCTCGTGATTAACTGTTTCCCAGGCATTCCTGAATTCGACACGGTCTGCTTCTAGGTGTGGGACTAGAAAAGCAGGACCTGGAGCACCGCAGTGTGCGTGGAATGCTGCCTTAGATAAACGCGAGAGACCGAATACGAGGATCAAGAATCTCGCGACGTGCGGCGAATGCATCCTTGTTGCTAAAGCTAGATACTTGAGATGGCAACATAAGAGTCGCTGACGAGGACTTGACCCGAGGGTGTCGAGTAAAGTGTCGGTCCCCTGGCGCCAATCATTTAGATGGCTGTCAACGCCGAGTTTTAAGGAACGCAGCCATTAATTTGGTGACCGCTATTTTGAGCACGTTAGCCCCTCGTCGGATTCACCTGGCCTCCTTCTGCACTCTGGAACTAATTTAGCGCATAGGAGACCTCATGGCGCAGAAAAGCATAGTGCTTTGGGGCGGGATGCTTTCAACAGAACCTGCATTTAGCCCAATATCTTATCCTGACGATGGGGAAATTCTTACCGACCTCACGCGTCGAAAAACCTCGTCCCGCCCAGAAAGACCATCGCACTCCTCCATTATGGTAGCGCCGAGTCCTGCTTACCAGTTTCAAGGAGAATAGAGAAGTGAATGCCATTGACTTTGACGAGGATCTCTCAGAGCTGGAAGAGGACAAGGAACAAGAGAGAGACGATATCGAACCGTTCCAGAGCGAGGATAGGGACGAACCGGACTGCGAGTGCGATGATGAAGACTCAGAGTGCCACTGCAAGTTTCCGAACGATGATATGGACGAAAATGACGAGTCGGAGAGATCGTACGACGGTTCTGATGCCGATGTAACACCCGAATATCACGCAACGAATCCCCAGCCACCGCAGAAGTGGCAGGAAAGGGGCTGGGCGCCGAAAATGGGTAAAGAGGAGAACGGATCGAAAGGTATAAGAAGAGCCTTCGAATCCGTAGATAGACAGACAGGTTTCAGTACATTGCCATTCCATACCCTACCTTGTGTACTCGCAGCGATTTGTGATCCCTCTCCCTATACCCCTCGTAACGAATCCTTACCCTTCGTTGGTATCGTTGTTATATATTGTGAATGTTTGTACTGGTTTAAGATACACGACTTTAGTGCAGAGGAATCGGAAACGCAAAGGTGGTTAGAGGCAGTCGTATTAATTTCAGAAACATTCCTTAGACTTCTAGACTTGATTATAATCCTACGAGACTGGCTTCGAACTCTGCGACGATGTCATGATGGATATCCTTCTTTTTCACCCAACTGTTTTCACTGTCTGGGTACCCGAGCCATTTGACCAGATACTTGATACACCTACCGAACCGTCATTTCTCGATCAGCCTCTCAACCTCGAACTGGCCGTCGTCGGAATCCACAGCAGAGAGGCGTCCATGATTTGGTTCTTCATCAGCGACAGATGAGTGACCCTTTCTAGCTTTCTCGCATATGGCGCCTTGGATAGTGTCCTGCACACTCATATCCCTCCGATTGAGGGTAGCTTCTGTGGCAATACTGCCATTTGTATCTCCTGGGTCTGCGGGATCGCCTATATCGTGGTTAAAAATGTATAAACGTGGACGTCAGTATTCAGTACGTATTGGTAGTCTGTGCCGTCGCGGAAATTGTTGTTGAGAGCACTTTGTCGACGTTAGTAAGGTCGACGACCTCAACATCATCCAGATCTGCTCCTGTCGCCCCGGTGAGGATCGCGGCATCGATCAACTCTTCACCGCACACTGATGACAGTGCCGTCTCGGAATAACGAGGGCCTTCATCACCTGTAAAGCTGCTGTCCGGACTTTGAAGTGGAGTAGAACAGCTAGAAGACGATTTAGTGCTGTTTGGTCCATGTTCTTGCATTTTCTCCATCGTGCTGTTGACAAAGACATATTCGCATTTGACTATGTCTTCATCTGTGTCAGCTTCCGTGTTGAGGCCACGGGGCCTTCTCTTTCTCTGTACGGGCATTTCGTCTTCGCTTTCATCTCTCTTTCTCTTCGGCCTTACCGTCTCTCTAATGAAAGGGATGCCATGAGAGTCTTGGAGGTGAAACTGTAACTGCTTGACTGAATCAAATAGTGTCGGACGGTAAGGGTGCGGGTGTGGACATTTCGCCGGTTTCTCTGCGTTGAGGCAAGAGATGTGCTTGTGGATGTGGCCCAGCCATTTGCCACGATTGAGGAACTGCTTCAAACGTACAGATGCTGGTAACCTTTTATCTGTCAGGCAAAAGGGACAGTACCCAGCTGTGGCAAGAACTCACCCATGCATGAGAGGGTCACAGAACATCGGAAAGGTTTGTAGCTGGGATAAATGGCCGTCGCAATGGTCCTCCCAAGCTCTCTCTCCAAAAACCCACTCATTGCACAGAAAACACAGTTCGGCAAAGCCGCAGACACACTCGCAGCTTCTCTTATAACATGTGTAGATATGCTTCCAGTCATAAGAGGCTTGTCGATTCCCCTCGAGTTTGTTCCCGTGCGGATTCGAGCAACAGCACTTGCCAAGTTCCAACCCAGGCCGATACTCGACCTCGGATTCCTGTAGATACAGCGCGATCATCGCGTGCAGGGCGCGGAGACCCGTTGGACTTCGTAGAGTGTCAATTTGGAAAAGATCCCGACTAAGACTGTCTCTCTCTGGCATCATGAAACGGACTCGACTGAAGATCGCCCGATGATAGCCGGGTGGGTCGTTCGGTTTGTTCGGTTGTCGTTTTTGCCAATCACGCAGCTCTTTATCTGTCAACTTACGCCTTTGATCGTACAGTTTCCGTCGACGCTTCACAGAACCAGGATCTGTCTTTCCCTCCAAAGTTGTGATCTCTTCACTCAGTGCAACGTATTCAGTCTTGTTTTCCAAGGTAAATTGCTTCTCCGCAGGGAGGCACTAAGATAGATTGGGATTGCGAGGCACTGTGAGGCCCCGAAATAGGTCCGCCACAATGGTTCGCCATTTGCCGCCCAGGTAGGTATCTTGTCCATCTGCGCCGTTGGTAGGCGTGTAGTGTCGACGGTGAGTGTTTGGATCCATGTGGCCAGCATGGACCATGCGCGTCGCTTCAGAGTAGAACTTGTCTGATTAGCGATCCTGTTAGTAAATTGGAAAAGTAATGGAAAGGTTGGGAACGTACCAATCCAGTACAGGCCTTCGGCTCTGAAGTCATGGCCAGTGGGAGGTTTGGGGTAACCAGCACGAAGCCCCCCAGGCTCGATGTATCTTGCTAAATGCGCCTGCAGTTTCGATCCTCTCTTCGAAGTCCTTGGTAAATTGGGCCTTGAAAAAAGGAGTATCCAGCAATTCGTCCTTCCAATGTAATTGCAACATCTCGTCTTCGGGTGGCGAAATACGAAAGAGCTGCTTTATCGTATCATAGTCCCTGAACGCTCCGTGAACTACGAGACGAGCAAGGAACGGAAGCATTGGGTTCAAGCAGAGAATCATAGGTACTCCGCCTTCGTACAAGGCATGTTGCGGCCTGCATACAAGAAATTAGCACGCCTCATCCGAAATCAGCCTGGTAATCGGCGCCCAAACTACCTCTTGTGAGGCGTCTTTGCCATGTTTTTGGCATCACGAGTGAGTTGAACGGCGAACTCGGGATTCCCATATTCGTTGATAAATGCACCAAACGTGATATCCTGATTGGCGAGGATTCGCGGACGACGTTGTTTTATTTACCTACAGGTGCGAATACTTACACGATAGTAGAGGCCGCGGCCGCTCCCCGGTCGGCAGGTGGACTCAATGTATTCGCCAATGCGTGAAGAGGAAAACGTGTTGGCTAAATGCAACAACCAATCGTCCAATCTTGTTGCAGGCGACTTATATTCGAACCAGTCCGTCATCCAAAGCTGTCTGGCAAAGTGGAGCAAGTGATTTTAGGTGGCAAATCTTCGGGGTCTTTTGGACCCGGTTCAATCCAATCTCTTTAGTTAGAGGCCCATTGATAAACTACACATATGTTAACCGCTGTGTTCAAGTATCAAGGTCGGGACGGAGTATACATTTGTGATGGCTCTGGTAATGCCGCGAGGTATTTCAGGACTTTTAGGATTGGCTCGGCGCCACGAAGCCGTAAAAACATTCCAGTACTTACGCACGGTCTTCGAGCAGGGCTTCTCAATGCCTTCTGCGCCGTCAATTCCGTACGCCATTTGCCTCACGAACTTTTGCAGTGAGTATAGGTCGTATGGAGATGTGCCAGGGTTCTCTCGCACGAATCTATTGGGCCTCGTCAGCAAGATGTCCTACTCGTGGACCTGAGTCACACACTCATGCCATAAATCTAACTGTTTTTTATAGTTTGTCTTCGTTCCTGGCTCAAGGTCCTTGAAACTCGGTTCACCATTCACAATACCAGTATCTCGTTCAGCGCCCTTCTCTTTGGCTTTGCGAAGAGTTTCGGTGGAGGTTTGTTTCTTCTCCATTGTGTAGAACCAGAATGAGCCGTTGGAACAGGATTATAGTAAATGTGGACTTGACAAAGGGGAGAATCTGTGGGCTTGATTGGAATGGAAATGAAAAGGAGGGGTAGAGCGATGAAGAGATTGGAGGAAGGCACGGGGATAAAGGGAAGACCGATTTATAGGAAACGCTGCAACGTGTATAGCGTGCGGATCATCGTCAAGAAAAAGTCTCGCCTAAGCGAAGGGGTGGGGGGAAAAGAGATTGCGTCCACCGTCATTGCAAGGAGACTGTCAGGGTGGGGACGTACGAGGGAACGAGAGTGGAGATCCGACAATGATATTACTATCCAATGCACTATAAAGTACAAGACGAGAGACAAAGAACACGAAAGCAGTGCGATGCTATCCCAGATACTTATGGCCAGCGGTACAGTCATACCGCAAGGCTATCACGCAGGCACACAAGGCTATCGATAGGCACACGAGGCTATTCGACAGCCACAGTGGGCCTGCCAAGACCGTTCGAGGGGCTTCCAGGTTGTGCCATGACAGTTTCTATGGTGGGATATACACACAACACCCCTGTCCAACACAAGGTCTCATTGAACGCCTGAATAGTAGCAAGTGCCCCTTTATTGGAAAAGGGGTTCACTGTTATATAGGAGATAGCCAACTAAACGTGTATATATTTCAGCAAGCTGGCAGAACAAGTTGTAGAAGAACAATAGCTCATAAATTCACTACCACGCAGGCATACAAGGCTATCGGCAGGCACACGAGGCTATTCGACAGCCGCAGTGGGCCTGCCAAGACCGTTTGAAGGGCTTCTATGACACACACACACACAAAGGAGGAGATATCTCTACAACACACACGCTTCGCCACGACAAAAATAATCAACACCAAAGCTCCCCTCCTATAGTCCATCATTGACGAACTGATAAATGGGGCGCCACAACCAATGAATGCTTGAGCTAGACAAGTTCACCGACAGGAAGGTTTGAACCCCCTCGATATCACTCAGTTTAACATCAACAATCACTGGCTGGAGCATTACGTTTACCCATCTAGGGCACCTAGAAATCTAGGCCGGACAACCCTCTTGCCTTACCTATGATAGAACACTAGTAAGGTCCCTCAATTCTATCGGTTCGACTGAAACTTAGTGTGCCCACGAAGTTTCGTCCTTGATAGGTCAACCACGATTTGGTGTCAATTTTGAAGCAGTTTTTGGCAGAATAAATGATATACCTTATTTTTTTGGCTATTTTATTTTATTTTGGAACCACCCGGTTACAGCTTGACGTTGTGAGGCGACGCCAAGACCGTAGTTCTAGCCGATCACGTAAGCATACGGCTTGGCAAAGTCACGCAACACATTATCACGTGGAAATTCTTACCGCCGCCATCGGATCCAGTCTGTGGACCATATGGCCCTCCCCCCCCCCTACACGAAGGGGGGCGCGCCCTTCGTACTCGACATCGACATGGTCCGTGGATTGGATCCGATGAGTGAACTACCCTAACGGATCAAATATTTTCCGAACAACCGTCATCGGATTAACTATTTTTCCGACATACCATTATCGGATCCAATCCGTGGACCAAGTGCCTCCTAGGTGTGAGGGTTCGGGGTCAAGGATACAATCAATGTATTCTAGCTAGCATCGAGTTCTAGATAGCACGATGAGAGTCAAGATGGGATGCTATGCAGGAAGTGCTGAAGAACCCCTAATTACTTAATCCTTGGCATGTGGTTCCGTGACATGATTCCACTGCGGCTGATTTTACGGAGGACTTGTCATATTTCGAAGGGGTCCAAGGGACCGTCAGACTATATACTTTCGAAGCGTGTACGAAGCGTACAACGCTTCCGAAGGTCTTTACAAGCCTTGGCGTCGCCACATATCACACGGCCCGTCCTGTCAGGACAATGCTGCCTGGCACTGAGTCGTCAGCGTGTTTCAGCACAAGCCACGGCGGCATTTTGGGACAGCTGACTGGCTGTGTACCACGGACGGGGTTTCAGACAAACAAAATAGGCAACCGCCGATTTGGACTTACGGGATATTGTACTACCATGGCCGCTCCAGCTATAATCCTCGTATCGACCACTGCAGTATCTCTTCGCTTATCACTATAGACGTCTTGAAATCACAGTAATGCTTGAATTTCGCTTCCCTCAATCTACGCCGGTCCTAAGAGAGCTTGCTCGGCTTTGGTCACCTCCTTCGCCTCTGCCTTCGGTCTCTTCTGAATACACCGAGGAAGTCAAACCTTTCGAATTTATAGACGGCAGCTTGAGCTTACTAGGCGATCTACAAAGAGCTCATGATACTTATCTTCGGCAAGAGCTTGAAAAAATGCGCGACTTCATCGCTAGCAAATTTGAGCTGAAACAATACGAGAATGGTAGCGGCGACCGTGCACAGGATCAAAAATTCACACAATTGATGAATGAGCTTCAGAACTTTAAGCAGGAAGTCGCATAGCGGTTTGAAGAGCTCCAAGAGCGGGAATGTGATCACTGCCTAAAACAAAAATCACATACCATGATAACTTTAACCACCGGGAAATTCCAGGATTCATCTGAGGAATACGCTACATCCCATCGCCATAACCTGGAAGGCCGTGAAGAGTTTATCGAGAGACTGGGTAGACTGGGTGAGCCTATGAGGACTATCAACGAACATGAGGAAAAACTACTCAAGGATCTTGGTCTGTCTGGCGACTCCCGGCCATGGTGGGACCGGACACTTGGGAAAGGTTCGAAGTTTAGGTTTGTCCACCTGTAACAACAGTACTGATAAAGGGTGTGGGGAGAGGGATCATAAATCGTTGCGAGCGTACAAGGTAGGGTGTGGAATGGCAATATACTGAAACCTGTCTGTCTATCTAAGGGTTCGAAGGCTCTTCTTATACCTTCGATCCGTTTATCTTCCTGCCTCCTTTCCAACGCCCAGCCCCCTTCCTGCCACCTTCGCAGTGGCTGGGAATTCGTGGCGTGATGGGTGTTACAGGACCCGCCGAAACAACGATCCGCGGTGCCCAACGCCAGGAGAACCGCTGAAGCCGCAATAAGATGTCTCGCACGATCGCTTGTCCACTCTGTTCTCGCGGTTTCGCTAGCACACGAAGCGCGGAATGACGTTGCTAAAGATTGCCACTACCTTTTTAGGGTAAATGTCGTGACCTAGTCATAGTGCGTCCACTAACTGGCATGCTTCCCGAATAGCCACCAGGTCACCGTAATATACACTTAATGTCGAGGGCGATCCAATGGTTCTGCTGATCGTATCGGGTGCTGTCGATGATAAATGTGCCACTCCGATACCAACTCTTCCCAGTGTTCCTATTTATCAAATCGTGATTCGAATCACCGGAATTAATATCCGGCCCGCCGATCACTAGCGGTGTACATCCACGGGCCACCAACAATCTTCTCTACACCACATGACTGTATTCCATAACTAAGAAGTAAATCGAATCCATGGTAAGGTACTAAGCAATACGCTCTTGATCTGCTCTCGAACAGAGCGAGATGCGGATAGAAGGAGTGAAAACTCGTGTGTAGATTGCAACTATGGAGGGGGGACACCCCTATATAGAATAACTTTCCATAGGGGAGTGCACCTCTTATTCCATACAGAAAACGGTCCATATGGAATATAGAATATGGATAGAAAGCCTAGGCGACGACTTGCCGAAGCAGGTAATACCGGACTATGATTCGAATCATATTTGCTAAATACGAGTCATTGGGTGGCCGTGATTCGAATCACGAAATGATTTGCTAAACAGAAACACTACTTTTCGAACCCGACTTACGGAGGGTGAATGGTGCCTGTGATAAGCATAGCAAGAAGGGAGGTCGCCATCGAGAGACCTCCGGTCCGGCACAGAACGATGAAGAATTCCGAGCCTATCGGTTGTTTTCTCATCAGAGTCATTATCATTCTGTTAGAGCCGATAGGTCGTAATGGACGGTTTTCTGCGATAAACCTGGGTGAGACGGACTCATGACGAATTAAGCACAATCCTTAATGGCTCCGCATCCGGTAGTGACGCCTTAAGCCAATGTAGAGACAACTTCCTACCCACACGGCGAGCGGAATATAATAGTGCCGGAAGTCACTACTGTCCATTCTTCCTCTCGCATTCCGACCGACATGGGAGGCCTCGAAACATAATTCGGTAAAAGTCTGGTTGCTAGTCTCCGCATATCAAAATACGTCTCGAACCAGGCCACTACACTCGACGAATTTCGCCATCGTGGATAATGTCTTCGGCTTCTTTGCGGAGCAAAAAAGCTCTGATCACAGGCGGAGGCTCTGGGAAGCCCTGGAAGAGATGTTCGACGTTTTCTTCAACGACTTCAATGCAGTGCCTGATATTGTAGTAGCAGGTGCCGGCATATATGAGGCATCGACCGCAGGCTTTTGGAACGACGCGGACCGCGGGTCGGGCTATAAGCTACTGGACATCAACCTGACTCACCCGATCAAGACAACAAGAATCGCGATTCGACACTTACGCCAGGCCGGCAAACCTGGTATGATCCTACATATATCCAGTATCACTGCACAGAAACCTTCGGCTGTCCTTCCTCTCTATTCTGTCTCAAAGGCAGCCATTAGCCAATTCGTGAGATGCATGGCTCCATTGGAAAGCTTATGCGGGATTCGGGTTGTTGCTGTCGCTCCTGGGTAAGTACATATTCCACCAGGGCTCAAATTTCTCTGCAGACCTGGCTGATTCCATTTTCATAGAGTCGTTGACACTCCATTATTTCGTGACAGTCCGGGCGCCTTGGCTCACATAGATATGGAGAAGGACTTTGTCCTACCGCGCAGTGAGATCGTAAGAGCGATGGTAGCATTGATCAGAGATGCCACATATCCTTCAGGGACTATCCTGGAGGTAGGTGACATCGGACTCTGGCGACCGGTCGAGATACTCAATGATAGTGGACCTCAAGGCCGGTCCACATTGCCTAGACAAAAAGCGAAAAAGGCTATACAGCTCGTTGAGGCTCATTTGAAAGAAGATGCCGAGGGTCGTGGTCGGCCTGGCCCTGCCAAACTGTAAAGGAGAGTTTTGAAGAAGTCTATAGAAGATGCAGTTTAGAGGCGTGTCACTTAGACCTTGTACCACAACTTGGCAATGTCCATGTAGCTTCTTGTGGGTGTCTGAGAACATTTCTCGGAATCCAGACCGATAGTTTCTGGAACATCGTCCAGACTGGATGCCAATCTCATGTCAGCACCGAGTTACCGCCAATTAGATTCAAATCGAATTTACATGGAAGCGGTAGGGCAGCTGCTAAGCGTTTACACCTCAGAATTGCCTAAGCTCATCCCTCTCACAATTTTGGATTGAGTATCTCATTCCGTGCAATTTGAATAGGCCATTCGACATCCACGCCTAATTCAGTGGCTGTATTCAACACGAATGCGGGATCCTTGAGGAACTGTCGCCCCACAAAAACTACATCAGCACATGCATTGTCCGAGTCTTCCTGTACCAGGTCCCGTGCTCGTTGAGCGGTCGTGATCAGACCTACCACTCCGAGTCGCATATTTTTCCCTGCCTCAGAAAGTGCTCTTCTGATCCTTGCTGCGATATCTGGATGTTTGAGACCGGCATTGAACACAGTCAGAGGCGCGTCCTTGACATTGCCGCCCGAGCTCACGTCCAGGAGGTCGACGCCGAGGTCTGGAAGGAGCTTTGCGAGACGTATCGTGCTTTCGACTTCCCAACTGCCGAACTTTTTTGCTTTGGACGATCCCTCCATCCAGTCCGTAGAGCTGATTCTCAGTATTAACGGCGTAGTCTCTGGGAGGACAGCCCGAACAGCTTTGACGACTTCGACAAGCAGCCGGATTCTGTTCTCAAAACTGCCGCCATACTCATCTGTCCGATGATTTGTGATGGGACTCAGAAACTGATGCAATATGTATCCATGCGCCCCGTGAATCTCAAGAACATCGACTCCAGCCCTAATGGCTCTTTTCGCAGACTCTGCCCAATTCGACACAAGCTCGCGTATTGCTTCTTTACTTATCTCGTTGGGTATGCAATACTCTTCGCCCTTGCCATCGAAGCTATTAGCCGCCCCGCCACTGGGGCCCACCACATTGTCCGGCCAACCTCCTTCAGAAGCTGCCGCCTTGATGCTAGATTGCCCTAAACGCGCAGCTACAAAAGGTGCTAAAGTCCCCGACTTTCTCCCTCCGTGCGATAGTTGAACTCCAACCAAACCGCATTGTGAATGCACCAGGTCTGTAAGTTTCCTCATACCTGCTTCTTGTGTATCGTTGTATAATCCTGGGCAGTTGACGCTAATCCGTCCGTTGGGTTGCACTCCCGTTGCTTCGACCATGACCAGCGCGGCGCCTTTGTAGGCATAATGTCCAAGAGTCGCGAGATACAAAGGCGTTATGACACCAACCTGCGGGCCACTGGGGGCGCAGGAATATTGGCACATCGGAGAAACACAGATTCGGTTGCGTAGCGTGACGCCTCGCAATTTTAGTGGGCGGAAAATGGTCGGCGTGTTGAACGTCAGCTGTTTGGCTCGTCCCGGACAATGCTTAGGTGTAAAGAAGGGAGCCCCCGGTGCTGGCTCGTTCTGTCGCTGCTGACTTGCCATGTTGAGCAAACAGACGGTCGCTTGCTGACCAGATAGTGCCCACAGTCAGCGGTGGATTGATCGAACAAGCAGTTTCACGACGACAAATTCTAGACAACTTACGGAAGGAAAGATACTCTTTCGCGAAGCTTACGACGGGCGCATTTGGATCTGTCGAAAGGCTGTTCTGCTCTTGCTTAGTAGAACTATTTTATAGTACTTCCGAGATCACTTCGAAGAGTTCTTTCGGAATTTTCTAGTTCAACCGTATGTAGTGGGGCGAATCTCTCATTCCTTACACTTCGGTGGTGCGGGTGGTAATTATATATGAAACTCCTTACCGTAGTCCGTTCGACCAGCCAGAGTTAATGATTCAGCTCGGAAGTCGAGCAAACTTAATTTTCATGGTAGCCGGCAAAAATGACGCGGTCCGAGTCGAGACTAGCCAATCGTAAAAGTTCGGAAGCCCCGGAATTTTGGGTCGGAAATAGTTTTCCTAACCGTCTATTCCGGCGAGAGCCATTCCTCGACAAAAACGGTTGCGGTCCCTGTCACGTGTGTTTGGTGAGCTGACTAGTCCTCGAGTCAAATTGCACGAAGTGCTCATGGAACATTACACTAGGGGCCGTGGACAGAATATTCCGCAGGGGGTGAAAAAAGCGTAGCTTTTTGGACAAGCCCCCAAACCCCCTGGCTCACTGTGACTATAGGTGGCCCACGTGACCCTTTTGAAGGTCTGCCAAGGTTTGTAATGACCAGGGGTCTTCGAAGCACGCTAGTAACCCTCAGATACTATATAGTCAGACGGTCCCTCGGACCTCTTCGAATGCCAACTAAGTCCTCCGTGAAATCACATGGCAACTTGCGCCCTTCCTTCTTTTCGTCTTGCTCTCTTAGATAGAACAACAACAACACATTCCTTCTCTAGACTCCACAGTCTATCACCGGAGTGACCCTCTAGCGCGGATTGGAATGGGGGACTGCTTTTTCCGGCCTCTCCAACACCACAGCAATGAATGGAACTACGGTTGCAGCCAAATGGCCGCTTTCCGAAACCCCGATATCAACCTTTTTAAAACAAGATCCTTCATTTAATACCCCCACCTTAACGGTGGCCGAATTCACACAGCTAATAATCCAGTCCTGGACATAGTACGGCGGCATGATCGGAACATCGGACCCAAATCTTTCGCAGTTTCGTGACAATGGAGGCAAGATGCTCACATGGAACGGCCTTGCAGGTCAACTGATCGCCTCGGGGGGAACACTGTTATATCGAGAAACTGTCGAAAAGGTTGTGGGAGGCTGTAACACCCATCACTCCACGAATTCCCAGCCATCGCAAAGGTGGCAGGAAAGGGGCTGGACGTCGAAAAGGAGGCAAGAAGATGAAAGGATCGAAGGTATAAGAAGAGCCTTCGAACCCTTAGATAGATAGACAGGTTTCAGTACAATGCCATTCCACACCCTACCCTGTGTACTCGCAGCGATTTGTGATCCCTCTCTCTATACCCCTCGTAACAGATCCTTACTCTTCGTTGGTATCGTTGTTATAGAGGCCGTAATCTGACCGACGAGCTCTATCGTCTCTTCCCGGCACCTGGAGTTGGCCACTGCGTCGGAGGCTACGGCACCGTACCAACAGACGCCTTCGCCGCCCTTGTTGTGTGGGTAGAGGAGAACCGGCCTCCAGCAACGCTCCTTGCTTCCTTTGTCGATTCAAATGGTGACAAAATCACTCAAAACCTCTGTCCATACCCTCTAGCATCCAATTATGATGGCAAGAGCGATCCCAAAGTTGCCTCGAGTTATCAATATGCGGCATCGTATTGATGGGTTGCGGGTCGAAGCTGTAGTACTTCTTTTCGTTGAAAGAGTGCTCTGACTGAATTCGGTCAGACGGTAGCATCGAGCCTATCTGTATACCTATCTAACGAGTGTACGTCATCATTGCTGCCTGTCAGTGGTGATACAGTCTGGTGAGCGAGAGCTGCAAAATAACCCGGTTAATCCTGAACGATATGTCACCACCTGTTCAACAGCATTTGAGTCAGATACCGCCGAATACCTTCTTTAACCAGATCACTCGGAAATCTCGTGACGCTATCCGCGTCGAAATGAATCCCGGCAGAACCAGACACTCGTTCATCAGCCTCGAGACATGGGAAACGAGGCCGGAGAATATCTCTCGTTGTGTTCTCGTATCGACTTTGTACGCCAAATCGTCTTGATGTGTCTCTATACGCGTCGATCCGAGAATATCAGGACATCGATTGATCATCGAGTCGAGATACTCTGCGAGACTGACGTGCTTTTCGATCAAGATGATCGGCGACCAGTGCTGCACACTCGCGAGTGCCACTTGTGACCACTCGCCACTTGCCACTCGTGAGTGGCCATGGTCAGTAATCGCGAGTGGCACTTGCGAGTGGCTTAGTAAGCCAATAAATAGTGGTGTAGACATATAGTAGCTTCTCTTCTCTACTTCCGATAGTTCGGTTGGTAGGAGAAGATAGGACCACCGCAGCTACGTCAAATAGCATATGATCTCTTATCAATACTTTGCACATCTTGTGAAAATTGAAAGGGCATTTAGCAGCGCCAAAAAGATGGTCGCACCTGAGAGAAACAGCCTTGGAGATGCGAGTTACTGCGTCATTGGCGGCTTAATGGCATCATATTACCGTCTAACACCATGGAGTATGAAGACGAGGACGAGGACAAGGACGATGCTAACAATTTACTCAATTTGGAAGGTGTGTGCAACGCGAATGGATATTGCGAGTGTGCAGCACTGTCGGCGACATCGTCATTAATCACCCTCTCGTGCGACTGCGCTACCGTCACCGTATCATCTTCTTTATGTGGGTAGATAGAAGGCTACAAGGTGAAGGGATCGAAGGTGGAAGGTGTCGTGAGAGGTTTATATCATCAAAGCTGTTATGGTTATATAATGTGATTGATGCCGAAAGAGGGCCCTTTATAGCCAGAGGAGGGGGGTTAGCCTTCGACTCCAAAAATTCTCACGGCGACTAGCACCACTAGTACGCAATATATTGCTTCAAAAACTATACGATCCTCTAGCTAATGCTTTCGAGAAACGCTTGCCTTAATTTAGGCGTTAATTCTCTTCGTCTCGATGCTACATCTAGTCTCGATATCCCTAAGGGCTATAATACATTCATAGCCGTAATCGCCAGTATCATCGCAAATGCAAACTCAACGCTGGTGCTCCCACGGCTCGCAGTACCCTCGACCCCCTCTGTATCACTATTGTTATCGCTGCCAGAAGAGGAGCCACCTTCCATTGTACCATTACCATCGCCGCCAGAAGAGGAGCCACTCTCCGTTACCTGCAAGCTCGCCTGCCACACCTGAAGCAGGCTCATATCCGGCTCGCAACGCATATCCTCGCCAGGCAGCGTCGCATTCTTGAAGTAAGCTTGGATATGCCTAGCCACACACTGCGAGGGATCCGTAAAGATACCATGGCCGTACCCGCTATGCGGCAGTACCACGCTCCCCTCAAAGGCCGCGCTCGCATTGTACGCGTTCACAAGCGGCGTCACCGGATCAAACTCGCCGTTGACGTACAGAATTGGAGTCTTGGTCTTGACGTGGAAGTCGCCCCAGTAGCGCTCCTTGGCGGGCATCCTCCACTGTGCAGAGATCCAAAGAGGGAAGTACGAAACGTCGCTGAAGCCCGGGCTGATAGTGGCTTGATACTCGACTTGGGCAAGATATTCCTCGCTGGAGTTGGCGATGAAGGTGGCGTCGCTTGCGCGAATACCAATCACGTCGTTATCGGCCGTACCGTAGGTCTCTGGTGTGGAGTCACTCGCAGGCGCAGTGATCGTCCCATTCAGGATACTGGCGAGCGTCTCTGCGAAACTGGGCCAGGTACGGGGGAAGTAGAGTGGTTGCACGAAGGTGCTTTTAATGCTCAGGTAGCTGAGATAGGCTTCAGCGCCCAAGGTGGCGTTCTGGGCGAGAGGTGCCAGTGCGAGGTTGATGGCATCGAGGAGATCTTGCGTTGTGTTGGGTTGCAATAGTGTGTAAAGGGCACAGTTGTCCGTGGCGTCGAAGCATGCCTGGAGAAAGCCAGCAAAGGTCTCGTCGATATCGTGCGCGAACTCTCCGTAATGGCCGGCTTGATAGTCATGCGGGTTCAGGTTTCCGTCAAGAACCATCCGCTCGACGCGTTCTGGAAACATGGCGGCAGCGTATGAACCAAGAGCGGTACCATACGACCAGCCATAGAAGCGTAGGAGACCATCTTCGTCCAGGGCATCAACGATCTTAATCATGTCTCGGGCCACGAATGCCGTGCCGATGAGGGTCCCAGTCTCGCTCGCTTCAGAGAGGCAGTAGTCTGCGAGTTGACCGGCAGCTTCCCAACCGCCATTGAGGAAAACTGCTGTGAGGTCGGTGCTGACCAAGGTGCCGACGTCGCGCTTCTGAGAAGTTACAGCCGCACCCGTTAGCGCTGTGAGATTACATTGGAAGGGAATGGTGTTGCCGGTTCCACGAGGATCCCAGGAGACGAGGTTCCATTGCGCGCCGATATTGTTTCGTGCCTCGTCAGCCCAAGCAGGCAAATTCTCCGCACCCGTGCCACCAGGACCTCCGAAATTGATCAGCACTGTTCCAAGCACTGGTTCTGCTGTGGCATTGACTCTGAACAAGTTGAGCTCGAGTGGCTCTGATTCGGGGTCGGTATAATCTAGGGGCACTGAGAGCTTTGCGCAATCGAAAGGTGTTCCTTCTACTCCGTTAATGGCGGTTATGTTCGCATTGAGCTCCGGACAAGGCTGAAAGTTGATGCCCTTCCCATCGCGTGCATGAGCCAGAGCGCTGGCGGCAGTGGAGAGACCGAACGCTATTAATGCAAGAGTGAGCGGCATCTCTGTGCGTGCCTCGAATAATATTGGAAATGAGTGTATTGGTATGGTAGGGCTTTCCAAGTATTCGAGACGTCCGGTTCCACAGCTTTATTCAAACTGCGGACCGTTCTCTCTCGGCAGATCATCATAAATTCATTTAAGTAAGGCGCAGGTAGTACCCCATTGTTAGCCGACAGAATACGCTATAGGCCAGAGCAGACAGGAACCTGCTATTCTGGAGCCGAAATAGAAACTTGTTGACATAAGCCAATCTCCCTCAAACGCTGGTGTCAACTTGTCCGTTACGTCAGTGGCTGTATGGTTGCATAACCAGCTACGATTAATCAATGAAACAACGGTACGTCTCTTGGCAGTTATATACGCTATTCCCTACTGGGGGCTATGTGCCGCTGGAGTTCATTTCTGCGAGCTCCCCCATTTTTTTTACTTTTGAAAACAAAGACTAAGCGGCTTCTCTGTCTTGGCACGAATCAGTCTCAATCGTGACCAAGTCTATCGTCGGGGAATCATTTTGTGTCGAACTAAGTGTAACTCGAGATATATTCCACACTCTTCCCTCTCCTCACGAGTGTGGGATAGAGCCCATCTATATATATCTATCTGCGAGGTGTACGCTGACGCTGTTGCCTGCTAATGGAGTTGCACGGCAGGAGGCGAATGTTACAGAATGAGTTAGTCGGTCATGAACAATAGGTCACTCAAGATGGGATATTACGCAGGAAGTGCTGAAGAGCCCCTGAATACGTAATCCTTGGCACGTGGTCCTGTGACAGACCCATCTTTTCAATGGGACCCTTCTGACACTGTCCATGGAGGCCAGATCTGCTCACCAGCTGGCCCAAGGGTGATAGGGTGGTCATTGTCCGTCGTCTCGGTCGCCGGGTGCATCTGTCCTTCACGAGGTTTCCTGGGGGGCTTGGCAAGGTAAGTCTGGCCCACTACGCGAACCGTGAGGTCCCTCTCGCGGACCCGATTTTCGAGCCTCACGATTTACGTCGGAGGTTGGGGGAAAGAGGACAAAGAGATTCTGAAGACCCTGGAGAACACTGGCGGGCCTAACCATACGTTGATAGAAGGCCCATTCAATGTCCTCCGAGCCTGTCACAAAGCCGTTATCCCCATCCTGACGGGCGTCAGAGGTACAAAGAGTGAGGGTTAAGTGAGGAAGTGCTAAATATGTGGCAATGAATGTCAATGTGTTTATCCAGTTAAGGAGGGTCTGAGTTCCCGGCTCAAGGTCGTCATCATTGAAAGAAGGAAAAATGATCCGAAGAGAGCGGATATGAGGTAAGGCATCGCGCGGAATTGGCTGAAGGAACACCAAGGCGGATCCGTGGTCAAAGTCACGTTGCTGATCGAGTTCCCATCGAGCTCCCAACGTGCGGACGGAAAACTGGTTAGAGCGCCAGAAGACCTGCAGAGCCTGTAGCCGAAAGTGCCGGCCGACTAGAAAGTAGTCTCCAGGCTATGGCCAGCACGTACATCCACGAGACGTAAAGGCCGCGTGGAGTGAAGGGCAGCAGTAAGTCTCTAACGTCGAGGTGCACTGACAGCAGCAAGATAGCCTCTCGACACCCTCTCCTTCAGTCCATTCAATCGTGCGAGGCGCGAGAAGGTTTGAGTGGCGTAGGATCTGTAGCTGCAGCTCCACAGGGAGACGACACCATGGAAAGTCGGTGTTCGGGACCGAAGACGCTCGCGAAACCCGCTGAACGATGGTTTCGGCGAGGCAGCGGAGGTAGTGGTCAGGTCGCTGGCCGAGACGGATGGCACAACTTGCGAGCGGAGTTAGCCTTGGGAGCGGCTGGAGAATCCGGTGGGCCACAGGGTGATCAAGTGTGTCGCAGACGAAACTCAGCCTCACTTGACCAGGCGTGAGGCCCGCGGCCAGGACAAGGACACAGCTCTCCCACTGTTGCTCGAGAGATTGGAGGGTAAGATGATGCGACGAGAGCGGAAGCCCGACTCCACACTTGCAGCCGTGATGGCAAAAAGCGCACGTCGAGAGCAATGGATTGTCCCACAGACGCTCCTGGAGAGGGCCACAGACACAGTCTATTCCGTCCGGCCCAGGGAACGGCGCTCGCCCTTGAAACCGTTTGGTACGATAGGAACAGCTGTGCCCGGCGATAACGTCCTGCGTGGATATTGTGGCTGAGGGACCGTCGGTCTGTGACCTCCATGAGTCGATGGCGTGATCGAGATTATCAGCACACGCTCGGGCGTATTCGACCTTTCGGGGGCCTTCGTGGTTCAGATCAACGGGGCAGAAACGAACAAGACCGGCGAGGACATAGATGCGGTGGCGCGTGGGATATGGAAGGTCGAGAAACGATGTGGACAGTCTGGGCGAGGCATGACAGTCTAATGACGCCATAAAATATCATTGAGGCGGGCTAGAAGTGGGAGTAAGGAAAGAAAGAGAGAATCGAAAAACAACCCTAATATAAAGACAGTCCTTTCTAGTTAAGCCCGAATGAGAATTACTCGAAAGGGAAAGTTAACCGACATCTTTGCTCGATGTGAATTGAAAGGGTAAGCGGCTAAATAAAGAAGTCTTAGCTGTTCATGCCTACATCGCTGGTAAATAAGGCACTCAGGCTGGGGGGGAAGTGTTGCGCATCGCGGTCGGGTTTGGGGCGTTCACGTGACTGCTTTCGACAGCCTCAAGTGCTGCTGCCAAACCGAGTGCAACTCGAGATGTATTGAATGCTCTATTCTCTATCTACTTGTTGAGGTACTGAGGCTTCTTTTATAGACATGTGAATACTACGTCGTTACGCAGAGCAACCATCAGTAACGTCGTCGTCTATAGAAACCTCTCACCAGTGTTTCAGCTGTGGGGCCTATACACAGTAGCCCTGTATTTAACAGGAGGAGAGTAGTAAGTGGTATAAGAAAGGCGAAGGTCATTGGAAAAGAGCAAAAAGAAATTTCTCTCAGGACCCTAGGCCTCCTCATTTCAGAACCTGCCTATACTCACGGTAAGTTTTATATCACAAGCCCCCTGTTGAACAATGTGTGGCGACATTCTCAGCTATGCAAGGATCTCATCTATGGAGCTGAGCGCGGAGACACCGAAAGGTGGCAAGAATCTTTTTTCTATATATATATGCGTGAGGCAGGACCTCAATTTGGTAGAAAATAGAGCACTCCTTTAGCTCAAGTTGTACAAGAAGTTTGACATCCCCATTTGTCATGGTATCCCATTCCGAAAGGCCTGGTGTTGAACTGTGAGACAATATGTGGCAACGATTTCAGCGTGGCAATGAATGTTCAGCTAGACAAGGGTTTCGTCTACGAGCTGAACACGGAGACACCGAAAGATGGCGACAATTTTTGACTATATAAACATGCGAGGCAGGATCTCAACTTGATAGAAAACAGAGCACTCCTTCAACTCAAGTTGTACCACAAGTTTGACACCTGGATAAAAGCAGCTGACAGAATTTTGAGTGCAATTCTACCTATCGAAGGATATTTAAAGCCTGAACCATAGGAGACACTATGAGAGTACTCGCCTCGCTATCCTACCAGTATGGCTGCAGGCGGCATTCTATGCTAACGTGCCCTATAGGGCTTTTCGGCTCATCACACCGCTACAGTGTATCAAGGTTCGGGACAAAATTATCTATCTCGGAGTTTCACCGTGATCATCAATTTCATACTTGATTCAAAAATCGATACATCTTTTCAAGGGGCAAAAAAGCTCTCAACTAATCATGGGGTGCGAATTGTCTCTGCCTATCTGGCCCTAGCCTTTCTTATTAAAAACCTTCATGAAGCTTCGCTCATGGACTGCTCTTGCTGCTCAACTTTTTCCAGGTCCTCAATACACTCAGCAAACCACCCATCAATACGCTCTGTGATCGTGGCAACTGCCTGCTTAAGCCTCTCAACGGCTAGGTCTCTCTCCGACTTCCCGACGCCTTCTTTCTCAGCAGGATTATTGCTTTTGTCTTGATCAGTATTGTCTGCCTTTTCCTCCAAAGTAAGCCCTTCGATACCTTTTCCTACTTTCCCAACTTCCTTCTCAGCTTTCTCCCAAATTTTCTCGTCAGGGATAGCAAACCTGGGCGCGCTGTAGTTAATAGAGGGGCCCATGGTTTTACCCGCCGCGACAGCGACGTCTTCTGAGTTTACTAAACGATCTGGCTCCTTTTGTTCGTCGAATCCAAACAGTTCGACCCTTAGTCGATGCATGAGCCGAATAACTGGGAATGATGTCTTTTCGAAGAGACGTGATCGTTCATCGCTCATCCATGTATTCCAGGTAACACTCACGATAAGGCTTTTTCTGGACGCTAATCCTACACCTTTTTTAGCCTCTGTGGGCCGGGATGCCCCAGCAGAAGCAATGTCCTCTAGTTCCTCCGCACCTTCAGTAGTCCGATTCAGCTCTCCAAAGAGCAGAACCCAGAAGACACTCTCGATGTCGTGCCATGGGTTGTGCCTAGGGTGTTTCGCCATCAAAATGTTGATTGCCATGTAGAGGTAAGTGCCAGTACGCCAGGGAGCTCCGGAATGAGGGTCTCCATATACGCAAGCCATGTCGAGGTCAATCAGCCGTCCGGGTGGAGGGGCGCCCTCCCCTTTCAGCATATCTGGCGACGTCACCATGATATTCGCGGGAGAAATATCTCGGTGGACAATGGGACGATCTCTGCAAAACATTTTCTGGATAGCAAGTACAGCAGAACGTAGAGCCTTTATACGCTCAAGTTCAGTGACATCTCGAGGACTGGGGTATTGATGTTGCGAAAGTCCATACGGCGTGGTATTCACAGAAACACCACAGTACTCTTCTAGGTACCATCGCTGTCTTCTCGTGTACGAAGGCTTATCGGCTGGCTCGATAGCGGTCTCGATCACTTCCGGCATGAACAAGCCCTTCTCAGCCTCTTTCTTCTGGGTCTGGTTTGCCATGACGGAGGATGCACTATGTGTTACCTCCATATACCGATAGTTCGGTCCCATTTTGAGATATTGTCTTGAATGTTTTGCCTCCGGTAGAACATCAAACTCGGTTGTTAAAGGTCCGTATTTCCACTCAAAAAGCTTTGGTAGTTCCTCGATATCGCTCAGTTCACTAAGGATATCGGCTTCACTCGTGCGCCCCTCGTAGACCCAGGCCATTTTCAGCGCTGCAAGATCGTCACCTTCTGAAGGTGAGTTCTCTATGTCCTTTTTAGCCTGTGACTTTCTTGATTTTTTCTTTTTCGGCTTCGGTCTCTGCATTTTAACAGGCCATACCGTAGTGCCGCGTGTCGTGACCATGTCGACGCCCACACGCACGAGTGGCGATGGTATCTTACATCCGGCAGGAGTGAAGCTGATGGCTCTTCGACCGATTGCAGAAGGTTCCTTTGCTAAGCCCTGGGCGTCGTCACTGGCCAGCATGAGCCAGTTGACGAAGCGCAGAAAACCTAATGTATTATGCTCGATATTAAGCCCACTTTCGTAACACAGCACCTGCCCTCTGTTTAGTTGATAGAGACGCAACGTCCTGCCGGCGACGTAGATGGAGTATATGAAGTGACGAAATGGGTCATCCCAGAACACTTGGTTGCATCTCAAAAGAGAGAGTTGTATTTGGGATTGTGCATATGTTTGATCGGCCGATTTCTTGAGTTCCCAGGTTGTCTTCATATCGCAAAACCTCACATTTTCCTTGTTGACATCGATGGCAATACTAGCTAGATCGGGTTTGAAAAGCTTCAGGCCTTCCGCGTACTCCTCATTACTAATCCCGGACTTGGGTACCTTTGTTCCGATATTAATGAAGACGTTCTGAGCCTGTCGTGTCTTTGCCGTCGATTGTGCTTGAAGGACCTCTTGAGCTTTCCGAAGCATGCGGAAAAATATATTTTGAGAAATTATTCCCGAGCTCTTTGAGACCATGTCCGACCACCATTTCTTCCATTCATTGGATGTCTTGAGGGCCTCTTCTGCCCTCTTAATTTGGGTTTCGGTGAACTTTGCGTTCTTGGACATCTTATTGTGAAGCTTCTCAAAAATGGAGACCTTTGTGTCCTCCACGTGTGTCATGCAGCCAAGATTAGAGATGAAAACGGGTAAGCGATGAGTTTGAGTATCGTCGTGGGGGACAGAATTTACTGCCTTCTGGGGGCGTCTCATTGAGGACACTGCTTCTGGTTGTTGTCTTCTTAGGCGTCTGGGACATAGGCACGACGCGTGATTCTTTCTCTGGCGAGGCCATATTCCCGTCGGGTGGCAGCCCTCCTCTTCGATGGAGGTTCTCTGGAGAGGGTTCAAGGGAAGATATTACACGCGTTCGGTGGCGTTTTGAATGAGGTATCGAAATCTCGATGCGAAGTTGGTCGGAGTTCTGTCTGGACGTCATATTTAGCATTTGACTCTTGCAATTCAAAAGCTCGAGACTTACCTATGGTCGCAGTTGGGGCGGTGGTGTGCCTTTTGTATGGTGCCAGACCAGTGAGACATGTTATCGGCAGTGGCGCGTTTGATTGAAGTCCAAAGTTGCCGTTGCCTAGGCAACAAATCCTGTAATGGATTTTTGTCACGGGACCAAATGCCAAAGATTACGTGTCAAGGGACTCCTGCGCTTGTTACTTTTTTGCAAAATTAGATTACCGAAATCTCAACAACGAGTGCTCTAGAAATTCTGTGACTCTTAATATAGCTACTTTGTAGCCTTTAAAATTAGATCGACCCAAAAGCTTCGATTTTTCTATGTTAATGTAAGGTAAAGAGAGTGGTGGGAAAAAGCTGCGTTTCATATGCTAAATGGTACGACGTACCACTTTTGAAAGGGTGGACCATTACGTCAGAATAGCACAAATTTTACCGCCATTCTGCAAGAGAGGTTTCCTTATTAGCTAAGTATCTCTTCACAAGATCTATCAAAATAAATAGGTCTTTTTACACAGCGTTTATGACGTTCTATGGGGGTGTAGCAGCTGATGTACAGAAGTAGCACCTCTCGATATCAACTTCTAGCCGGCCACATGGTCCACGGACTGGATCCGATGGCGGTGTGTCAAACTTCGCGAATTGAAAGAGTGCCCTGGCTCTCCTAATGAATGTAGGATAGAGCCCATCTATATATCTATCTAACGAGTGTGCGTCACAATAGCTGCATGTTAATGGTGATACAGCCTATTGAGCGAGGGTTGCAAAATATCCTAGTCTGTCATAAATGATTGGCTAGCATTTGTCAATACCGCTGTTCAACAATACGAAACTAGCTTATATGGAGTTTCATATGAACCCGGGTTCCATGCCCGTTTCAGTAACAGTATGAAGCCGCAGACGTCTCTATCCATCACTGGCACAGGACACCATGATCAACATCGTCTACATATGGTTCATGGACTGGATCCGATGGAGGATACCGTGATCAACATCGTCTACATGACTGGATCCGATCAGGGCGGTCTGGCAGGCAAAGGCGGTATTCTACCCATTCCTGGGTGGGCCGTGGATTGGATCCGATGGGGTCAACCACAGGATTACGTAATACTCAGATTATAGATTTTCCGGAGGCTTGGCTAATCACGTGACACGAGGCCCCGAGGGTTGGCCCGTGGACTGGATCCGATGGCGCCAGAGTCGTCGGATTATAGATTTTCCGGATCCCGAGGGGTCGCAATCACGTAAATTGTCATACGGCCGCATGTGTGCGCCGCCAAGAGTTGCCAAGGCCAATGTGGCCGGCTCAATCACGTGATCTCTCGAGCGCAGCGAGCCTGGGGGTTTAGGGGCTTGCCCCCAAAAGACAAAGCTACGCTTTTCACCCCCCGCGGAATATCCTGTCCGCGACCCCTAGTAGTCTTCCTCCTCCTAGTCTCTTTTCCAACTGACGAAGGCCGAACCTAGTATTGGTCAATCACGTGACGCGTTGCCTTGGCAACGTCACGTGAGGCTGTTTGGCTTGACAACTTGCGCCCTTCCTTTTCAGTCTTGCTCTCTTAGAACAACAACACATTCCTTCTCTAGACTCCACAGCCTATCACCTAGCCCCGAACATGGGCACGCGCAATCTTATCTGCATCTTCTACAAAGGTAGCTTTGTCGTTGCACAGTACTGTCAATGGGACGGCTACCCAGAAGGCAAAGGTCAAGGCATGAAGATATTGAACTTCCTCCTGAGCTCAGCCAATATCGAGCACCTCAAGAACGGCCTTCAACACATCATAACTCTAAACCACGATAGCCGGCAGCAACTCGAACATGGGGTGCGTCAGGACCAAGAGGCTTGGCAGACCAACATGTCCTTTTCCAAGGGGCCGTGCAAATGCGTGAAATGCGATATAGAGGGCTTCTACCCTTCCCTTTCGCGTGATACTGGCGCCAGCATTCTCAAGATCATTACTGAAGCCACGGCAGAGAAGCCTGTACCTGTTGAGCTGAGACTGGGGTTCGCCAATGATCCGAATTGCGAGTGGGCTTACGTGGTTGACCTTGACGATTGCGTATTTGAAGTTTACGCGGAGGCCGAGAGCAAGAACGAAAACCCTACCAACCGATTCATAAATATTGGGGACTTAAACGATACAGTCCCATCACTAATCAAGAGTTTTCCTTTCTCCGATCTCCCGATTACAGAAAGAGAGTTCATCACCGCTTTGAACACGGAATTTAAGTGAACTAGGGAGCGGAAGACAGCAACCTACAAAAAGGGGAAATATCTCACCGAAGAGTTCGAGTTTTTCCGGAGAATGGTGGTAGAATCGGGAATTGAGGATTGAACAAAAGTACCTTAGACTGTGACAGATGGACGCAGAACTCAGGTCGAACGTTATAAGCCTTGCTTGTAGCCTTCCAGCCCTTTTCCATATGTCACACTCACAATCTTTTGAGGAGCTGGTCTTAGACAGACAGCAGTTCCAAATCCAGAGCCAATTACAATTGTGAGGCTGAAAAAAGTCTTCAAGAACTGGTTGCAAAAGCACTAGAAGTTTGAAAATCACATGATGATGTGAGCGAGTGGTTAAGAAAGCTTGAAAAAACAATGGATTGTATCTCTAGGCGAGGTCCTCTGATACTTTGTTCAGGAAAGATTCGGCGCAGGGAGGGACGAAAAATGCAAAGACGGGTCGTCGTTGAATTGATGTATTTTGGACTGAGAAACCTGCATTAACCCTGGGAATGCCCACGTTTGGTGGACGACACATCATGGATAACATATCTGAAGCCGTATCCATGTTATTGAAAACCCGCCGTGCCAGCTTTCTGAGACATTAACCGTCGGCTTCTGCGTAAGTTGCTGTCTCCATTTTGTGGCACTCCGTTCCCTTCCGTTACAGCACAAGCTGGCAGGCCCTGCCGGGTGCCGGCCATGGACCCACTGTGGCTGTCGATAGCCTTGTGTGCCTGCGTGGGAGCCCTGCGACATGACGACACCACAAGGCTACAAGTATCTAGAATAGCCTCGCACTGCTTTCATGTTCTTTGTCTCTCGTCTTGTACTTTATAGTGCATTGAATAGTAATATCGTCGTCGGATCTCCACCCTGACACTGTGGACCTTGTGCTCCCCAGGAGGGGGAACACCCTACTCGATAGAAGTCGATATCGACATGATCCACGCATCGAATCCAGTCTATGGACAACCTAGAGAAGCTCTATTGATCACACTCGACATGGTCCGTAGATTGGATCCGATGAAAGACTATCGCCATCTGTCAAACTGGGGATCAACTTGAAATGTATTGAATGCTCTGTCTACCTCACAACCGATCGTGCCAGGTTACTGGTATATATACACGTCGAGTTGACCCCTTTTCTTCTCCTATTTCTCCCTTAAATCCTACATAGGGGTGATAACCCCTTTTCCCAATAAAGGGGCACTTGCTACTATTCAGCCATTCAATGAGACCTTGTTCGACACCATCTGTCAAACTTCTCGTGCAACTTGAATTGAATGAATGCTCTGATTTTCTATCAAATTGAGGTCCTGCCTCGCATGTTTATATAGAGAAAGATTGTTGCCACTCTTCGGTGTCTCCGTGCTCGGCTTCATAGATGAGATCCTTACATAGCTGAGAATGTCGCCACAACATTGTTCAACACCATCGGATCCAATCCGTGGACCATGTGGCTGGATAGGGCTGGGGACGGTGTATGACGCCGGCATCGATATCTAGATGGTCCTTGGATCGGATCCCATGATATACCATCGCCATCGGATCTGATCTGTGGACTATGTGGCTGGGTGGGACCGGGGATAGTGGTCTCGTTCCTTCGGCAACTTGCACGGCGCAGCCTTGTCACGGTACCACGTCCCAAGGATTACGTGTTCAGGGGTTCTTCAGCACTTCCTGCGTAGCATCCCATCTTGACTCTCCTCGTGCTACGTCTTGCACCTAGAACTTGATCCTAGCCAGAATACATTGATTGTATCCTTGACCCCGAACCCTCACATCCTCTCCCCCCCTCCCGCCGGGGGGAGGGTGGGGGCGGCCTTCCATTCGATATCGACATGGTTCATGGATTGGATCCGATGAAATCCCCCTTCGCCCATCGGATCCAGTTTATGGACCACCCTGACAAGTTCGATTGATCATATTTGACATGATCCACGCATTGGATCCGATGAAATCACCCCGTCGCCCATTGGATCCAGTCTATGGACCACCCAAACAAGCTCGATTGATCACCATTTGTAGGACCGGGAGAGGGTTGATTGATTGAATCTATCTGAACGAGGCGCAAGCTGCGGTGCACGGAACTAGACTAGTCCCAATATGGTCTGCTAATAAATTCAACTAGATTAACTACTGCTAATAAGAAGTGATTCTAGGCAACAGGCAACGATAGGCAGTAGCAGAGTGTAACCACTGTTGTGACGCCCGCTGTGATATGAAACATTGACTTACAAATCAACCATGGAAGCATTCCGGTGCTTGATAATCAGATAGAATTAGATAGAGCCTCCCGGCAGGAGATTTGGATTATATATACCTCCTCTGCCCTCATAGATAGAATAGAACAAGGCTCTAGTCCTTGCCATTCCACACCCTATTCTTGTGTACAGGTGATTCCTCTTTGCCAAACCCTCAGCACGTTACACAGAGCTAGTGCAGGCAGTAGTAGACAGGGTAGGCAACTATGCGCAAAGACCTTCATATCTCGACGAAGTCAACAAGAAAGAAAAGAATAAAAAGGCTCCAAGGAGCGATCTAGCTACACAGCTTGCAGTGAGCTATAAAGAATAAATCAGAGAGTACAAAACTCAATGGGAACAATGAGTTGCAGCAATATAGGTGGTGAATGTAAACAAGCAAGACCGTGGCTCGCCAAGATCTTGCCGGCTCGTTGAGAACCCTGCATGGAATGCTGGATGACGTGAAATTCTTCATGCTGATGGATCAGTCTCGGCTTAGATCGGTTACCTATTAATCCACGATGGCTGGAGGTGTTCGATCTTACCGTGCCAGACCTCCAAAACTACGGAAAGTCAAGGAGGCCGTTGTCACTACTAATACAGGTGGTCAAGATCCGGAAGCAGACACTGGCGAAGGATCATCCAGATCGACTGGCATCGCAGCTTGAGCTGGCGAGAGCATATTAAGCGAATGGACAGGTGAAGGAGGTGGTATCACTACTGGAGCAGGTGGTTAGAATCCAGGAGCAGACACTGGCGGAGGATCATCCCGATCGACTGGCGTCGCTACACCAACTTGCCATATTCTACTGGAAGCTCTGCCATCACGATTCTTCGATAGATATCATACGGCGAGCGGTTGAAATTTGGGACCCGCCACAGCGGCATTTACACCGCACGAACTCCGAGGGAACGACCAGGCATACCTGGTGACATTGGCTGCGAGATGGTCACCAAGCTCGAATTCCGCCTCACCATTAACGATCACCGTCTTGGAGTTGCACAACGTGTCAGCTGAAGCTGGGTTCGGTGGCCAACGAAGTACCGGGAGCGGAGAAATAGGCGGGCTTTCTTTCACTAGAGCTAGATTGCAAAGGTCGGAGAAAGAGGTGGAGTACGCGCACAATGGGCATTCGAGCGGTGGCAACGTTTTCCTCCTAGCACAGCCAGAATTCAAGACTCGCGGACACGGTTTCCGTTGAACTTCGTGGATTGAAAGAGTGCTCTGAATGTAGGATAGAGCCCATCTATATATCTATCTAACGAGTGTACGTCATCATTGCTGCCTGTCAATGGTGATACAGCCTATTGAGCGAGTGTTGCAAAGCGTCCTAGTCTGTTGTAAATGATTGGATAGTATTTGTTCAATGCTATTGTCCAACAGTTTCCATCTGCCTTATGGCAGAAATGAGAAAGCACGTTCAGGTTGGATTGGCGGATGGTCGAGATGATACAAGGGCTGAAAAGCAGGGAAACGAGGGCTTCTGTCCGCACTGGACGGAGAAGGTAGACTTTCACGTTAATTATGGGCAGGCGGGCGGGTGGGTGAGAAAAATGAGAAGAAGCGGGTGCGAACATGCTGTTGGATTGAGGGACGACAATGCAGCCAGCAAAGCCTCCAGCGTGACACTATCCGCAAACCCTAAAAAACCCGAGGACGTTGCTATGAGAAGACCGATATTCGATGCTTCGCCGCACCTTTCTACAGACAATGCAGATTCGTTCGAAACACTATCAGTGACCGAGACGATGCGGTGTGCGGTATGTCCCTCGAAGTGAGAGTCGTAGGTAAACGGTTAGACGCCGAAAGGCCTCGATACCTTGTACTGCACTGGACGTATCCTCCAGAAGACGACGCGGCTGATCTCTGGCAGGTGTCATCCAATGGTTCTGTTAATGCCAGTCGTCCTCTTCAGATTCGTCATCTTCGTCAAAGTTCAAAACATTTCGAGAGATTCTACAAGTTTCTTCGCCTTTTTACGCAAGATGCCAGTATCCGCTCCCTTTTCTAGTAGCAGCCTCATGATTGCCTCGTTGCCTTTTGATGCCGCCAACTGGAGAGCGCTTCCACCGTATCCACCCCGTGCGTTGACATCTGCCCCGTTCTCTAGCAGCAACTTCACGATGGCCTCGTTGCCATTTGACGCCGCGTTCTGAAGAGCGCTTTCACCGTATCCACCCCGTGTATTGACATCTGCCCCGTTCTCTAGCAGCAACTTCACGATAATCTCGTTGCCTTTTGACGCCGCCTCCTGGAGAGCTCTTCCATCGTAACCGCTTCGCGTGCTGACATCTGCCCCGTACTCTAGCAGCAACTTCACGATAGCCTCGTTGCCTTTTAATGCCGCCTCCTGGAGAGCGCTTCCACCGTATCCACCCCGTGCGCTGACATCTGCCCCATTCTCTAGCAGCAACTTCACGATAGCCTCGTTGCCGTTAAACGTCGCCTCCTGGAGAGCGCTTCCACCGTATTCACCCCGTGCGTTGACATCTGCCCCGTACTCTAGCAGCAACTTCACGATGGCCTCGTTGCCTTTTGATGCCGCCACCTGGAGAACGCTTCTGCCGTATCTTCCCTGTGCGTTGACGTCCCCTCCATGCTCCAGAAGTAACTTTACCACCATGCCACGGTCATTTTCCGTGGCCCTCACCAGCGCGTATTTAGTAAAGTCGTTTTGTGCGTTGAGGATGGCTCCTTTTTCTTGAAGAATTTCTGCTATTGCCTCGTGGCCCTCTGCCATAGCAGCAAGGAGAGCAATTTCGTAGTCCTGCGCGGTCATAGCTGCTCCGCTCTTCAGCAGCAACTTCACGATGGCCTCGTTGCCACTTGACGCCGCCTCCTGGAGAGCGGTTCCACCGTATCCGTCCCGTGCGTTGGCATCTGCCCCGTTCTCTAGCAGCAACTTCACGATAGCCTCGTTGCCTTTTGATGCAGCCTTCTGGAGAGCGGTTCCGCCGTATCCGCCCCGTGCGTTGGCATCTGCCCCGTACTCTAGCAGTAACTTCACGATAATCTCGTTGCCTTTTGACGCCGCCTCCTGGAGAGCGGTTCCACCGCATTCGTCCCGTGCGTTGGCATCTGCCCCGTTCTCTAGCAGCAACTTCACGATAGCCTCGTTGCCTTTTGATGCAGCCTTCTGGAGAGCGCTTTCACCGTATCCGCCCCGTGCGTTGGCATCTGCCCCGTACTCTAGCAGCAACTTCACGATAATCTCGTTGCCTTTTGACGCCGCCTCCTGGAGAGCGGTTCCACCGCATCCGCCCCGTGCGTTGGCATCTGCCCCGTACTCTAGCAGCAACTTCACGATA